TGTCATGAGTGACATTATATTCCAGTAGGGTGTGCAAGGTAGAAGACAAAAGACAAACACAGAGATTAGTGCCCCATCACTGCCTACTTCCATTACACACAGCCGACCAATAACCAAAATGCTGGTTATATTTCATTTATTTGTGTGTTTTTCACACACATTTAAATTTCAGGGGGAAATTTTATAGGCCATGTGTGTCCCTCTACAGTAAAGGCTTCATATTTTTTCAATTTCCAACATTCACTGGTTTACTGGGCCCCTGTCACATTTAAAATGGCATCTCTCAACTGCACTATACTCCCATAATGACATACCATGTCCAAAATAAGACAGTCTGGGACATTTTGAGACTTTTCACATGGCCCTTTCAAGTTTCACCAAAATTAGCTGTATTTTCTTTTCTTGTACAAATTGTATTATAATGGTAAGTTTCATAGGTTTTGTGTGTTCTACTTCTTTAAAGACTTCTGCAGTATTTTCCAATTACAGCAATACCCCACAAAAGTATACTTTTGCCAGTTGTGTGCAGGACAAGAAGGGTCAAATATCAGACATACCCTAATTTCGACAAGCCTCTATTCTTACTTCAGAAATGCTATATTGTGAATTGACACTATCCGAGTCAGCGTATTGGCCATCTTTACATTTTTACACTATTTAACCCAGTCTAACCTTGGCAAATCCAAGCCTTAGCTAAACCAAACTCTAGCTGACACTAACCCTAGCTAGCCCTTTTTCTGACAAACCCTAACATCAATCCCAACTAACCCTACATCAACCCTAACCCTGGCACCAACCATAATCTTGACCCTATACTAACTCCATTTCAGTCCTTAACCCTGCACTAATACTAGCACTAAAACTAATACTAACCTTACACTGACTCAACTAATCCCTATAAATACATCATCCCTAACCCCACACCAAGCTTAAAGGGACACTATAGTCACCATAAAAACTTTTGCTTAATGATGCAGTTTTGGTGTAAAAATTATGCCTCTGCAGTCTCACTGCTCAATTCAGAGGAGTGATCTATACACAAAAACTGCTTAATTGAACTAAAGTTGTTTTGGAGACAATAATGCCCCGGTTAAATGCTGATGCTGGGTAATTCTCTTTATTTCTCCAATTAACACAATACAGCACTTTCTGTGAAACATTTTTAAAAATAAAAGTTGCAAGGACATGGCCTTTGTACCATAACCACTTCAGTAAAATTAAGTGGTTATGGAACTTAAAGTGACCCATTAGATCTCTTTAAGCCTTTTTTGGTATACTCTTTAGTGAGAAGCACCACTTATTCAATGTAAGGAAATGCAGGTAATTTAGAGTTAGAGCACCTTCATGAATATGACGTGTGTGTGTCAATGTTGCGATGGCCGCGGCTGGACAGTGGAGTACCGGGAGGTGCATGGAGGCATGCAATGCCATGTCACATTCTGACGTGACGTCGACGTGCTCCACCTTCACAGGGTTTCAAGAAGTAGGAGGAGGATCCGCTTTGGCACAGAGTGTGGACGACGCCATTTGGTGTATACCAGAGGCCGGACTCCGGAGTCGCATACTAGCAGCGGGATTTAGTATATGGGAGGAATGGGATTTAGTAGACAGGGGGGACTGGGATTTAGTAAGGGGGTGCTGTAGTTTAGTAGAGGGGGATGCTGGGTTTTTTCTTTATACTGTACTTTTTAAAATAAACCTATGTTTCTATGAAAATTAAAGTTTTTTTGTTTTTCTTGCGGCCTACATAAACTTAAACCTTGTTTATTTGACCCGTGCTAGACTTTGAGTTTGACATGCTTGTTTTACAGTAATGCTATCATATTTTGAATATTCATATTCCATTTTATTCTTTATTATAACAATATTTATACATAACTCGCTGGAATGCTGTCTACGCTAGCACCACAGATATCTTGGTGACTGAAATTATAAAGTAAGAATACTTAAACTAAAACTCTAACGCTGCCTAGCCTGGTTGAACCAATTGAAAAAGCCCAGAAGATCAGTCTGTGAATTGGCAATGGTACTTCTCAATCTAGGCAAAGTTTGCTTTAGCATTATGTTGTGTGTTAGGAAGGTTGTAGCACGCACATGTTTATTGCTGCACTTTTATACATTACTGTTGATTAGGATATTTTTCACTAATTATTGTGTAAAAGTTAGCATCCTTTATCTTGTCTTTTACTTAGACATATGTAATTGTTGTGCTGGTTGTTTCTAACCACTACAGTGTCCTGAAATTGTAACAAAACTATTTCCTTTTAACAGGAAAAAAAGGAAAGTGTTGCCTTTCCACCTATAAGCAAATTGCCTCCCACTGGATCACAGTCGCTAAGGGTAAGCAATGCCTTTCAATTTTTTGATGTTCCACTTACCAATTCACCCTTGCTACAGTAAGGCTTAGGAAGAAGTTGAGGCTCATGTCCACACAATCTTACATAGTGGGTATAAGAGAACTACATGGAGCATGGTTATGGATATGAACAGCAAAATCATGGGATGATACATAGCTGTGGGGTGGACCATGGGAATTCATTTAAAGGGCAGTCACTCTTGCTACCAAACACTGGTGACTGGTAAAATTTAAAGATGGAGGGCCACTAAACACTCCCATGGACTCTGGACTCTGTCTGCTTAACCCCATGTGCTCCACCATGAACCACTATAATGCCTTGTTCAACACCTTGAACTTTCATAGTCACATGTATTTGGGACACAAGAAACATTTCATACTTTGCCCACTGATTCTGTTATCCAGTGACCGCCCTCAAAGACAGGATATTGAGCAAACCTGTCTTTCAGGCATTTATGATTTGACGACTCAATGTCATTAGTCCTGTTAAAGCAGTCTAAACATGTCTGATGGGGTCTATACCGCAGGAAATGGCACCAAATCATTTGAAAAAGGTATTGACATGATTGGTTGCTCAGTCTGTTTACACAATCTCCAACCGTCAATGTGTGGAGGGGGAGGGAGAGCGGGAATGGGTGAGGGGAGGCACAGAACTAATCAAGACAAACTCTACATTTTTTTCTATCACACACTAATCATTAGTCCATACTATGCCAACAAATGTTTTAATGCCCCAAAACTCTGTGTGTATTGGGGGGGATGGTACTGCCCCACCTGCCCCTATAGACCAGTCTGTATTGTACAATCAGGTGAGTTCTGAATTGTGGTCTTGCTTCCCTAATATTACTAACGATATCTAAATGTGCGCTTCATCAACCTTTAGTATGAAAAGTTGATAGCACTGACTCTCAACTTAAGAAAAATCATGTAAAAGAAAATGGGCTTAAGTCATCTAACATGTCATCTACAATTTTATTTACTAACAGGTATATTCATTAAAGTAAGAGTTGTTGGAATTCAAAGTGTGACCAGAATTTAAAGCCAGTATTGCCTAACTGGAAAAATTCAACTATGCTTTCAGCTTTTGGGCCTCAAATTTGAAATTTACTCGAGTTCTCGAAAATTCTCACGCTAGGGAATAGCCATGTAAAATGCAAATTGTTAGGATCTCAAATTTCATATTTTTGGTCAAATTAGTTAACAGACTTGGAGAATTTTTATAGACTGGCAATTTAGAACGAAATTGTGAAATTCATGTTGAATTCAATTTCGATTCCCGACAATTCATATTTTACATCATCATTCTGATAGTGTCTTGTGGCATTAATTTGTTTAGCATAGAAATTTCCTATTTTTTTCCTAATGAAATAAGCAAACTAAGCCTGAGGGAGGCCACTATTTGATTTCTTTTTAGCCGACATCGCAGAATGTAGCTGGGATGAATGAACGCACAGTAATGTTTTTACAAGTGAGTAGTCCATTTAGTCTTTTGTTTTTTGGTAAAATTGCTTGTAAATTGTCCCAATGTAAGGCGCTGAAATGTAGTAAATTGTCAACCAAACTGAAAAATTTAGGCTTTCAATTTCAGCTCATTTTTCATAGTTTTTTTGCTTTTTTAAATTAAAATTAACTAATTCCCAATACATTTCAAATTCAGCATGATTCAGTGCTAAATAAGACAAATATTTTTTAAGTTAATTAAGCCTAACTTATACTCTGAGTCACTAAATGACAATTTATTGTGTACTGAAATTTAGAGGCATGTTAATTACATATAATTCACATTTAATAAAAATGATGACAGTTTCTTCATTAAAGTGCATTTCAAATTTAAGGCCAAAATAGTGGAACTGGATGCATAAATGATTTAGAGATTTTTTTGCAGTTCAACTACTTTAGCCTGAAATATTAACTTATCTATGAATCACTTTTAATTTAATGCAATTCACACTTTCGTAAATAACCTTGGAACACTGCAAACCTACTGCAAATACTCAAAATAATAGTCACTCAGTCTTAAATGGTAAAAAAAAATAATATAATCTTATATGTTAAATACATATTTAGCTGTCAAAATGTAAGGGGATAGATCAAAACCACCTCCTCAAGAAATATTACCTTATTGAACCCCTCAAACATTAACCTTTATTGGATGTACCGTGACTGGCATGGCAAGAGTCTGAGTGGACTTCGAGCAAAACATTCTTAATTTTTGTAATGAATTACTATAAAAGATTGTATGTATTGTAGCCCATTTGAGTATAACTTTTAATGCAAACATTTAACTTACTATACATTTTTAGAGCATCTCCTGGCTCAGCTTTGCTCAGTCATTTAGTCCTCTCTGATAGGAAGTGTTTGGTCAGAACTATCACATATGCTTCAAGACCATGCTCAATATAAATTCTCACTTTAATAAGTAACTCTGTTACATGTCACATCTCTAAAAATACTTTATTACACAGTGCCATACAGCAGTTTTTGTCAGAATTTATTTTTTATCTGATTAATTTATGTATAATTGGTGAAACTGCCTTTATGTGTTATCACAATTGTGCTACTTGTACTAGGCACAGTATATACTTACAAAGACTTTTTTGCCTTGTAGAGGAGAAGTTGGGGTGGTCAAGCAAGTACCCGATCTCTCCAGGACATGTTTTTCTCCATGCAGATATCTGATGCTCAGAGGTTACTTCACAGGCATACCAGTCTGCGAGACGTTAGTGTGAGTATCTACACGCAGGTGTAAACATGGGATTTATTTTACAGATTTATTTAACAAAAACGGCCATCTAGTGCACAGGGTTATTAATTTACTCTTAGTATATATGTACATTATTTGAGCTATGGATGATACAGGTTTTACTTAACATGAAAAGCTGAGATGGTAGAAATTAAAAAAGGGGTGGTAAAAGGCAAAAAAACAACCCTTTTTTTAAATGCTAGATGCGCAATGCCAGCAGAAACCATCAACAGAATTTTGGGATATGGTAGCTTTGCCTGACTCTGGTCAATAAAATAAGCTCATATTCTGCTTCCATTAGAGTTTTGTTCCAGAGACCCCACAGAACAAACACACAGGACCATATGAAATATCACCTTTAATAAAGAGAAGGGTAATGTGTGGTACTGAGTGACACAAACATTTAATCACACCAATACAAAGTTGGGGCACGAGACATTTTTCTAACCCTGTAACTAGTATCTGTTCATTGGATGAGAAAGATGAAATGCAGGTCAGGACACAATATTTTTTCCAAAGGGAAAAGTAAAGCGTTAATTTTGTGTAAGTGAATAACATTTCAATTTATTTGCTCTCTTTCTAAATAAAATATACTTGTATTCATATTTCATCCATATTACACACTTATTTATACTATATATCTTGATATGGATAAAACTATATGCCTTACAATATTATAAGTTGCCTGTGTGATTGTTATACAATACTGTCAAATTTACAGATCTCCAGAGAAAATATTCCCAATTAACAATTGGAGTATTAGTACTTAATTTGTACATAGAGGTGTGCAGACATGCAAGTCGTACATGTGTCAGGAAAACTATTTATTGATTTTTTTTTATTTGATTTTTTTTGTTTTCAACTTTCAATACATATATCTTGTTTTTTAATGGAAACATTTGTTCAATCTAATTTAATCAATGGGTCCAGCTAGAAGACTGCCACTGGAATAAACCATACCAGAAGATAAGGGGCGAGACTAACACTCAAATCAAGACACATTTGAAGGTGAGTTCTTTGAAATTGTGGTCAGGGGATACTGGAAGCCTTAGGCAAGTCTGAGCCTAATATGACCTTTACAATATCTTCCATCTTTGCTCTAAACAGCACCTACAAATTAAAATGTTTGTTATTGTGACATAACAGATAATTATGGACTTTTAATACTGTTTTTTTTTTTCCAAATAAAGCTGACTTACTGCAGCAGAGAATATCTCACCAGCCTTGATTGTGTACCAGAATAACAAACGTGGAAAAAGCTCCTCTGGTCCGTTTAGCCTAAATTCAAACTTTTTGTTCTTAGTGCTAAACATACAGAGCATCCTTTATATTGACATGAATTGTGAAATCAGTTAGAATTGAGGGCAAGAAAGAACAATTCTAAAGATAAAAGAGTTTCAGTCTGCAAGACACATGATACTGCAGTGGAGGTTCACCATGTAGCAGAATAAATGACCTTGGTTTAAAAAGCAAGATCTTAAACAACTTAGGAAGCCCAGTCAAAGCCCATACCACAGTCTGATAGAGCATTACTGTTCATCAAGTGTACTCACCCAACCTGGCAGAGCGTACACAATCTGGCCAAGAGCAATGGGGCACACTTGGTAGAAAAATACCCCAAAACAGTCATAGTTGTTATTGCAACCCAAAGTGTTTCTATCTAATAATGCATCCAATTAATTGTATTTTCCGTTGTTTAATTGCATTCAAATATATTTTGCACCTTTAAAGTGATGTGTAAAAATCCCATTAAAATCCATTTTAATTCCAGATAGTACACTACCATATGTGTAAATGTCCAGCACATGTAATTATTTATTGCAAGGTACTGTAGATATTAACTATTTACATCCCAGTTGTTAATCTCATTATCATGTTTACACATTGAAGCAATACTAAAGATCAAGTACAGTAACTTTACATTTGGCTCTCATTATTCCTTTGTTTTGTTTAGTTACATTCAGTGTTTTTCTCATTTTGCTCCTATTCCCATAAGCATTGTACTATCCACAATGACCATTGACTCTTAATTTCTTCCTATACCATGGGCAGTGAGTCCACACAAAACTGGTTCGCCAGTTATAGTCATGAAGTGTAATAATGAAGGACTGGAAAAAAGACCTGTTAGTAAATAAGTATGTGCATTGTTGTGTTTGTTCTGTTTCTATAGAAAGCAGGTCAAAGGCCATTGTTGGTCAATTGTCTGTTTGATTGTACATGTTCTTGTGATTATGCATAATGGATGTTTACTTACAAATGTGTCTAGCTATATACACAATGACTGAGACACTTCAATGGTAAAACACAAGTGGTTTGTCTGATAGAAAAAGGCTTACAGTTTATAATTTACCTAGACAAGAGGTGAGCCAAGGGTAACTGACATCAGGGTGAAAGAGTTTTCAGTGCCATATATTGATGTACCTATATTGATTTTCCCTTTCCTCATCTTGTCCCTTTCCTTCATATGTATGCTCCTTTTATATGATCCATGCCTTTCATATTAAAGGGTATCATAAGAAACATAGACCTCAATTTAATATTTTTGGATACGATTTACAAATGGTTTAATATTTTGGATAAACTCTTAAAATTATTTTTTCAAAATATTAAAATATCAAAAAATGCATAATGCATACAAAATATTAATCAAAAAATATATAAAAACACATTTTTTATAATATTACATTATTTTAACGTCCTCAAAAATCTATAGAAACATGATCATTAGTAATGATGATTAAGCATAACATTGCTGATTTTGTGAAGCCCACTTCCCATTCCTCAAATCCAAGACCATTCTAAAAGTTCAGAATTCTTACATTTTCCTATTTGGTTTTGACAGAATCATATGTACCATCGGCGTGTGAAAAGAGTCAATAATGAGCCTGGCTCGGCAGAGGAAAGTCAGTATGTACTGGAGCACACAGAATCTTTTTTACTAAAGGTAACTGCCTACAATGGAGACAGAGGGTAATATAATCTAGAAAATTATTGACTTCACATAGTGTCACATTCCAGAAAGAGAGGTGATCAGAATTGAAAGTTTGTGTGCCGAATAACAATAGGCATGCATAAATCGATCAATATAAGGATTTTATTGTCTGATTTTCAGATCATAATTATCAATGTAACTGACAAAGAAACTAATGTTAACAAACATAAGAGTGAAGAGATACCTGTTGAAATGAGTTTTGTATTTACAATGTAACTAATAGTTTGTCTTTTAGAATTGAGTATGGGGACTTACATGTCAGAGAAACATAGAATGTGACGGCAGATAAGAACCCATAAGAACTCATCTAGTCTGCCCAATTTTCTAAATACTTTCATAACAATTAATCCCTGGCCTTATCTTAAATCCAGGATAGCCTTATGCCTATCCCACGTATGCTTAAACTCCCTCACTGTGTTAACCTCTACCACTTCAGCTGGGAAGCTTTGCCATGTGTCCACTACCCTCTCGGTAAAGTAATACTTCCTGATATTATTTTTAAACCTTTATCCCTCTACTTTAAGACTATGTCCTCTTGTTGTGGTAGTTTTTCTTATTTTTAATATGGTCTCATCCTTTACTGTGTTACTTCCCTTTATATATTTAAATGTTTCTATCATATCCCCCCTGTCTCGTCTTTCCTCCAAGCTATACATGTTAAGATCCTTTAACCTTTCCTTGTAAGTTTTATCCTGCAATCCATGAACCAGTTTAGCAGCCCTTCTATGAACGCTTTCCAAAGTATCAATATCCTTCTGAAGATACGGTCTCCAGTACTGTGTACAATACTCCAAGTGAGGTCTCACCAGTGTTCTGTACAATGGCATGAGCACTTCCCTCTTTCTACTTCTAATACAACAAGCATTCTGCTAGCCTTTCCTGCTGCTCTATTACATTGTCTGCCTACCTTCAAGTCATCAGAAATAATTACCCCTAAATCCCTTTCCTCAGATGTTGAGGTTAGGACTCTATCAAATATTCTGTACTCTGCCCTTGGGTTTTTACGCCCAAGATGCATTATCTTGCACTTATCCACATTAAATGTCAGTTGCCACAACTCTGACCATTTTTCTAGTTTACCTAAATAATTTGCCATTGGCTTATCCCTCCTGGAACATCAACCCTGTTGCAAATCTTGGTATCATCAGCAAAAATACATACCTTACCATCAAGACCTTCTGCAATATCACTAATAAATATATTAAAGAGAATGGGTCCAAGTACAGATCCCTGAGGTACCCACAGGTGACAAGCCTATGTTGCCTGTCACTCAGCCACCCATTCAACAATATTGGAATGCAAACTTAAAGATTGCAGTTTATTGATAAGCCTTCTATGTGCAACAGTGTCAAACGAATTACTGAAATCTAGGTAAGCAATGTCTACTGCACCACCCTGATCTATAATTTTAATTACCCAATCAAAATAATCAATAAGATTAGTTTGGCATGATCTCCCTGAAGTAAACCCATGTTGTCTCTGATATTGAAATCCATGTGATTTTAGATGTTCAACAATCCTATCCTTTAACATGGTTTCCATCACATTCCCCACTACTGAAGTAAGGCTTACTGGCCTATAGTTGCCCGACTCCTCCCTATTACCTTTCTTGTGAATGGGTACAACATTCGCTAATTTCCAACCTTCTGGGACTACTCCTGTTAACAATGATTGGTTAAATAAATCTGTTAATGTTTTTGCTAGTACACTACTAGCAGAGATATGTTTTATATATCCACGTCTACTAATGAAACGCTTGCATCCTTCATATTTTGATACTAGAACAAGAAAGCTTTGCTGTTGTGGTATATCAAAGGTTAAACATCAGTGGCAAATGGGAAGCAGATACCGTGTTTCCCCGAAAATAAACCCTACCCCGAAAATAAGCCCTAGTCGGATTTTCGGGGTGGGCTGCAATATAAGCCCTACCCCGAAAATAAGACCTAGGCATTTTACCTTTTCGGCGAGACTTCCTTCTTCTACTGTAGGAGGAGCGTTGCGGGCCGCGGCATCGCGCAACGTGATGACGACATTTTGCAGCGCCGTCAGTCTGCCTTCACGGATCTTCAGCGGAAGGATCCATTTCCAGGCGGTGAGGCTCCCAGTGGTCGGACTCGGCAAGGAAACTTTGAAATGTGAGTACCGGTAGATATTTTATGTCTGGGACTGAATTAATTAAAGGGGGCGGGGGGTGAATTAATTAAAGGGGGGTGAATTAAAGGGTGGGCTGGATTAATTAGAGGGGGGTGAATTAATTAAAGGGGGGGTGAATTAATTAAGGGGAGGTGAATTAATTAGAGGGGGCTGGATTAATTAGAGGGGGTGAATTAATTAAAGGGGTGGTGAATTAATTAAAGGGTGGGCTGGATTAATTAGAGGGGGGTGAATTAATTAAAGAGGGGTGAATTAATTAAAGAGGGGTGAATTAATTAAAGGGTGGACTGGATTAATTAAAGGGGGGTGAATTAATTAAAGGGGGGTGAATTAATTAAAGGGTGGGACTGGATTAATTAGAGGTGGTGAATTAATTAAAGGGGTGGTGAATTAATTAAAGGGTGAGCTGGATTAATTAGAGGGGGTGAATTAATTAAAGGGGTGGTGAATTAATTAAAGGGTGGGCTGGATTAATTAGAGGGGGGTGAATTCATTAAAGGGGGTGAATTAATTAAAGGGGTGGTGAATTAATTAAAGGGTGGGCTGGATTAATTAGAGTGGGTGAATTAATTAAAGGGGTGGGCTGGATTAATTAGAGGGGGGTGGATTAATTAGAGGGGGGTGGATTTATTAAAGGGGGGTGGATTAATTAAAGGGGGGGTTCAATGTACATACCGGTACCGTAAATAAATAAGCCCTACCCTGAAAATAAGCCCTAGTGTGTTTTTTGTGACTAAAATTAATATAAGACCCGGTCTTATTTTCGGAGAAACACGGTAGTGACCTACATCAAATCAAGCAGGTCTGGATTTATGTCCTAAATGACCCTGGATAAAAGGTTGGGTTTTGGGGGAAGTTAAGCAAAGTATGCTTATGGACATATATGGATGAAATTGGACAGGAACAACACATATTTGTTCATGGTAGAAAATCTGGCAGTTATTATTATTATTATTATTATTGGCATTTATTTAGCAGAAAGTTATTTTACAGTGTTTTGCAATATTATAAAGGTGGAAATTTAAAAATAAATGTGACAATTACAAAATGTTACAGGAACAACAGGTTCGTGAGGACCATTCTCAAACAAGAGGTGGGGTATAAAAACACAACAACATTGGGATATGCAAACTGTACCAAAGGAGAAGTCTTGCAAGTGCTAGTTAGCGGTAAGGGTACGAACAGCGGAAAGGAGAAGGTCACCAGCAGAGAGGAGAGACCTACAAATCAGTGAAGAAATGTAACATGGGTTAGAGTTGTTTAGAGCTTTATAGGTAAGGGTTAGTATTTTAAACTGGCTCCTATATGGCACAGAAAGCCAACGTAAAGATTGACAGAGGGGCGAGTTGTGAGAGGAGCGACAGGAGAGGAAAATCAGCCTGGCAGCAGGATTCATTACAGACTGTAGCAAGGCAGTACAGTTTCTGGGGAGACTAGTTATGAGAGAATTACAGCAATCAATATGAGAGATGTACAGCATTTAGAGTTTTGTTAGTTTGATTTTTGGATATTTTTCTGCTCCGAATTCAGGAATTTTGCAGAAGGCCTGATAGGCCCAAATTTGATCGTATTGCACTTTTGTATGAAATTAATCTTCAAGACTAGTGATCATTGTCTTACCTGTAGGCCACTTTTGACCATCTGTCAGGAGTAATCTAGAACTGAGACTTATTTTCAATAGAACTCAAGCAAGTAAAAAAAGTGAATTAGTTTTTTACATTTTCTCATTTATAACAATTTACCCACGTGGGTTACATAGTTACATAGTTACATAGCTGAAAAGAGACTAGCGTCCATCAAGTTCAGCCTACCTCACATTTGTTTTTTGCTGTTGATCCAAAAGAAGGCAAAAAAAACCCAGTTTGAAGCACAATTTTGCAACAAGCTAGGAAAAAAATTCCTTCTTGACCCCAGAATGGCAGTCAGATTTATCCTTGGATCAAGCAGTTATTACCCTACATTGAAAGATTATATCCTTGAATATTCTGTTCTTGCAAGTATGCATCTAGTAGCCGTTTGAACATCTGTATGGACTCTGATAAAACCACTTCCTCAGGCAGAGAATTCCACATCCTGATTGTTCTTACAGTAAAAAAACCTTTCCTTTGCCTTAGGCGAAATCTTCTTTCTTCCAGTCTAAACGCATGGCCTCGTGTCCTATGTAAAGTCCGGTTTGTGAATAGATTTCCACACAATGGTTTGTATTGGCCCGAATATATTTGTATAATGTTATCATATCCCCTCTCAGGCGACGTTTTTCTAAACTAAATAGGTTTAAATTTGTTAACATTTCTTCATAGCTGATATGTTCCATTCCTTTTATTAATTTTGTAGCCCGCCTCTGCACTTTTTCTAGTGCCATAATATCCTTCTTTAGAACAGGTGCCCAAAATTGCACAGCATATTCAATATGGGGTCTTACCAGTGATTTATAAAGAGGCAAAATTATATTCTTGTCCCGAGAATGAATGCCCTTTTTTCATGCATGACAATACCTTACTGGCCTTGGCCACTGCTGATTGACATTGCACATTGTTGTATAGTTTGTTGTCTATAACAATTCCCAAGTCCTTTTCATGTGTTGTTATCCCTAATTCGCTTCCATTAAGGGTATACGTTGCTTGTGTATTCTTTACGCCGAAGTGCATAACTTTGCATTTTTCAACATTAAATTTCATCTGCCATTTGAGTGCCCAGTCCCCAGTCTATCTAAATCCCTCTGCAGCAAAGTAATATCTTGCTCACATTGTATTGTTTTACAAAGTTTGGTGTCATCTGCAAACACTGAAACATGACTTTCAATGCAGTCTTCAAGATCATTTATAAACATGTTAAATAGAAGGGGTCCCAGAACAGACCCCTGAGGGACACCACTTGCCACCTCTGTCCAGCTTGAAAATTTACCATTAATGACAACTCTTTGTACTCTGTTTTTAAGCCAATGCTCTACCCAAGAACAAGCATTTTCATCTAGACCGATTTCCTTGAGTTTGAACACTAATCTATTGTGTGGGTATTCCAATGGTTTATACAACAATACTTACATCTTAGGTTACAAAATACCTTATCCTATGACAATTTTATATTGAATGGTTAGAGCAAAACATCACTGTCATAGAAGCAGGAAATACAGGTTCGATTACCAGACATACCACCACCCCAGTAAGAGTCCTTGGGAAAGACTACTAACTATTTATTTACCTACCTCAGATCCTCATAGATTGTAAGCTCGTTTGAAGAGGGTATTTTCTCACTTATCTATCATTGTAAAGTGCTGCAGCACTTTACAATGATATGAACATGCTAATGCTAATGCTATGTACATGATAATAATAATAATCCATTTCATATCCATTCATATGACCTTTGTGATTGAGTTGCAGTTCTGTCAAATAGTAATAACATTCTTGTATATGCAGCTTAACTCTGTGAATTTAATTATTTAGTCCAGACAGAAACCCACTGAAAAGGAAACTGTTCTGAATTCTGAGGCCATTTCTGAGCCGCCAGATGAAGGTCATCAAGCTGAAGAGGCCATTCCGGAATCTTGGAATGGCACCTACATGAATACATGGATGGAAACGACAAATGGCAATAATCATCCAAACAGCGCACAAACCAATGTTTATTCCTTATCAAATTACAAAGGAAAATACAGTGGAGATGACAGAATTGACTCTAGAGGTGATGAGATAGATAAAACACCTCCATATAATTACAGAGAACACGCAGAACAGAAAGATGATACGTTAGAGCACTTGTCTGACACGGAGATCAAAATTATAAAAGGTCACATTAACCTGCCATATACAGCACAAAGGAAAATTTTTATGACCTACATAAGTGGAGGATACCAAGGTAAGATTGGTGATTCGTACACAAAGTGTATGTGAAAGTGGTGTAAAACGTGTAAGATTTGGTGTAAATATATGTATAGAGTCAGAGTCAATTAATATCTTTGTCTAGTAGGCAATGATGGACAGTGCTAATACGATGTATGACCTGATCTCCCTATTGTCTCTCCATGTTTACCTTATATGATTTACACAGTATCATAGTACTATACTGTATAATATATATATATATATATATATATATATATATTCAGCTAGTTCTATGATACTGTGTAAATCATATAAGGTAAACATGGAGAGATAATAGGGAGATCAGGTCATACAACGTTTTCGCACTGTCCATCATTGCCTACTAGACAAAGATATTAATTGTAATTGTAGAAAATAATCCAGGCACTCCAAATTGTTCCAAACGATAGGCAATTTTTATTGGACCCAAGAACCACACAATGTTTCGACCCCTTCGGGACTTTGTCAAGCTTCTCTTTGGTACTGGGACTGATCCAGCAGCACCCTGAGAGTCCAAAGGGAAGGGTTGAGTGCAGTTCCACCATCTATATATAAAAAATATTAATTGTGGCGTTCCAAGGCTGCCCATTAGTACTATAAGGGCTAATATAAAGCTGGCTGAAGTTGACCTTGAAACACTGAAGTCATTGAACTGTTAGCTGAGTAATTTAGTAGCTTTTGGCCTATTTTAATGTTCAAGTAGGGTTTAAAGAGTGACTAGGATAATGAGGATACACAGGAGATAATGCAAGAATCGTGTCTAGTTAAAAAAACAACTTGACACAAAAACTCAATGGTTTAGACCCAACATGTCTTTACAAATCTTTTGTAAGTCTAATGTGTCAGGATGGCTATTTAAAGTAAAGTACCTGTCCTAGCAGGTACTTTGTAAATTTTATTTTAGATGTTTACATAACAAGCTAAAACATTTGAAGTAATCCTGCTTAATGTTCTATTTTTGTCTGTTTGCCTGGTGTCCTTGTCAACCCAACCACAATTTGTTTTTGCTCCAGTGTAGATCACCTACTGCTAAGAATATTTGTCATAATTAGTCAACTGATGTTGTTTTTAGATCTCACATTATTTTATTATTTATTTTTGATTTTGGAGTGTTTTAATATATGACACAAATCTTCTTTCTGTTTTGTGTCTGCACATGAGACTCCAACTTGTAGGGACACTCTAAGCAACCAAACAAAGTTAGCTTGCTGAAACAGTTTTATTCTCGATTCTTTGCTATTTATGAATTATATCACTTTTATTTTTGTAGCCCTAGCCACACCTCCTCTGATTGCGACTCACACAGCCTCCATAAAAAAAAGTTTCATTTTCAATCAGAGTGTGTTTACTAGAATTTCTAGAGTTTACTAGAATTTCTTATCTCCTGTTTTGTTATTTGAACTTTAATCATACACAGGTGTCTATGGAAGGGTCTAGCTAACAATTAACAAATCAGTATATAAGAAATTTAATATTAAACACACTGTGCAATAAGGGAAGCTTAAATCGTTAGACTTGTGTAGTGAGTTGTGTAGTGAGGCTGTGTTAGTCATTGCCAGGGGTGGTGTCTAGGGCTGCATAAACAAACTTATTTAACACCTAAAGGGTAGAGAATTAAGCCAATAAACTGCTGGGGCATGATCTATACAGCAAACATTGCTAAATGAACACTTTCCTTACTTCAGATGATTTAAATTGCACCTTAAATAGTCTGGCCCACCCTTACCAGATGCCCCTTGCTTTCTCCAAACTCATTTTGGACTGAATTCCTTATCCTTTCGTTGTTGATCTAGTGGTTCCTAACACAGTTCCCAAGATGCAACCACAATCCAGGTTTTGTCAGGATTCACATTGGAAAACAAAATGTTTAAATCTGAATTTTTTTTGTGCCTTGTGTACACTGGGTTGGAAACAACAGGTTTGATTTATTTAGGTGGAAAATAAGGACACAAGCATATATTAACATTTAATTTATTTATTTTTTTGCAGATTCACACCCAGAAAGAAATGCATTATTTGAAAAGGCATATCCAGATTTATATGTTTACTTTAAGGAGAGAGGGTTTGACTTCCGCATGTTTGATCTGAGATGGGGCCTTAGTGAAGGGATCAGCAATTACCATATAATGCCTTCTCTTCATCTGAAAACTCTTCGAAAATGCCAAGAAGAAGGGCAGACTGCATTTTTTGTAAGACTACTATATATTATATCATTTTTCCCATTATCTTTACAGGTCTCTGCCACTTTAGCAATGCTGAATATAAAATTTTATCCAAGACAAAAAGTCCATTACAAACAGATTTTTTTTAATCAGAAAACATTTTCACAATATTTTATTATTATTATTATTATTATTATTATTATTATTAGTTCAGCTCAGTTTTCTAAAACTTTGTTTGCCATGGATACAAATATAGAACCTTCTAACCACTTGGTCTTTGGACTCATGGTTTATTTTGATGTGTCCAGAATATCTAAATGGTATTAGTTTTTCATAATACACAGTTCATGACTACACAAGTATATTGAAACAATAATGCACACTGTACAGTGTATAGTATGGGAGTAATAATCATCATAAGGCACTTTTAGTAATATTTCCTGGCCGTTCATAGATTAGTTGATTTCCCAGACAATGTCTCCTCTCCCAGTAATGAAATAGAACATCTGTATTATGAGCTCACCATCCAGAGGGGAGGAATCAAGCACAACAGCCACAAAAGGCAGTTGATGCATGGGAGTGGAACTCATCCCAATGTCAGACATATCAGGACATGTTTGTCCCAGGGTTGGTCTAGGATCATTGAATCCCGAGCCCTTATTAAAAAAATATTATGTAATATAAAGCATATATAATGCTGAACCGAGTGTTAGGGAAAAATAATGCCAGCTTGGGTTTTCGGAAACATTCATAAACCACTCAGTCTTACAGATATTATGTTGTCTTGATGTCTCTATATATACATATAAAGAAATAATTATGTACACATGTTTCTGAATATGTTTCTCATAAACTCTCTTTCTCTCTCAATCTCTCTCTCTCTGTATATTTATATATATATTCTTTATTTTTGCTGTGCATTGCCGAGACATATTTCATAGTTTACAAGAGTGTAGTAAACATGCATGAAAATATGAATTGTACATATTAAAGAAACCAAGCCTTTTTTATATTTATAAAAAGTTTCTTGGCTAGGTACAACAGAGAAATGTATAGCTCATGAGAAATCACCAGGAAGAAAATATACACTTACTTGTCCCAGTTGTTAAGTACTATATTTGCTCACAGAGGTAGCACGGAAATATCTAGCTTAGGTAACAGCATTTATATGTTTGTAAATTCTAATATACGTTAAGTTTATATATGTAGGATGCATATGACGAGTGAACCAAAGGGGCAGAATGTGTGGTGGGCTTATGCAGAGTGAATTAAACCAGTTGGTAGTACACCTATATAAGCGAAAGTTTGTAAACTATGCATTGTGAGAGGTTACGAGAGGGAGAGGAAAAAAGTTGTCCCTTATTGATAACGAGATAATTAGGGACCCCAAATAATGCAATGACATTCTAGGTGGATTGCCCCGATATTAAACAATGTGAGGTTTAAGCAAAGCTGGGGCCTGTAATATCGCACAACATGAAAAAGAAAGAGGAGTTAGAACAAGAAAAATAAAACAGTTGCATGTTTGAAACTTTCAAAAGTAATGCCTGGGTTGCAAGTAGGCATCCGTCAAGTATATTTTAAGTTGTCCTTGGAGTTTAGATTATATTTTTTTTGTCCAAAAAACAAAACTGAAAATCACTATAAGCTCAACCTGGAACGCACTAGATCCCTTTACACAAAGTGTTCCCTCCAACAAATACATTAGTCAAAAGAAAGAAAAATAGTAAAGGAATGAAAATACGTCCAACTAAAGTGTAAATATATAGAGATACAACCTGAAATTATTATATAGAAGATTCAGAGGAAACTATAATCTCCAAAATAGAAAAAAAAAAACATAAATATATATAGTATAATACCATCTATGTATTGCTGGTATTACCCTATATATATCTATATATTTACACTTTAGTGTGAGTTGGACGTATTTTTATTTCTTTATTAATTTTCTTTTGTTTGACTATATTTTTTATTTGTTTAGTGTTTTTTAGGACAGAAATTTGACCAGATTACTCTTCTGGATACTGTAAATAAAGAAACATTTGAGGCCATTAAATGCTCAGTGGAATTGATGAAGAAAAGAACAAGCATTCAAAAGCAAACTGATCCTGGTGTCATGGGGCCAAGGGATGGCGATTCTGGCCTTTACACGAATGGTGATAACCAGAGTAAGACCGAGGCCCACCAGAATACAACTGATCAAGATAAACTAATCCTAAACCATGTCGCTAATGGAACTGAGGAAAAAAGAATTTTTGAGCCCATTTCAAAGAAATCCTCTCTGAAGTATGACAAAGATTTACAATTGCTTACCAAGTGGTATAGATTGGATGAAAACTGCAATCCTATGGTGTACAGGCTCCAACCAATCAGGTAAAAGAACGATGGAACATTATAAAGCAGGGAGATTATGGAGAAAGGCATTTAATTAGTTAATTTAATGATATTCATTAGTTACGTGTTTGTATTTGATTTTAATTTCAGTTTTGCTTACCAGATATTAATACATATAATAGATAATATTTGAATGCTAACACACCTACATATTTTTTAAAATATATATTTTGGGGTGGTTACTCCTTCCCTCAGTACATCATTGAAATTTAGTGATTCTTCATGGTGACCTATATGACAATATCTACATGACAAGTCAAACAGTGGCTGAAACTTGCATAAGGAATCCTCTGATGGAGAGTGCTCAAGCCTTGTATAACTTTTTGGACAAGCTGTGATTCTCTCAGCTGTTCGCTGCCCAGCACCATGACTGCTTTAGGGAAACCTAAAGTGGCAAAAATAAGTAAATCCAATAATAACTTTGATTTTTATTTTATAATATTGCCAGGGTTTGATGTTCGTGTGTGTATATATTATAATTATATATATATAATACCTTTGTCCCATTCCTTGAGCTAGATTTCTAAGTATGATTTTCTATTCCAGCATGCCTAGTACTTTTTTAAAAAAAAATATTCTAGCTGCCAACAGTAATGCATTGGCATATTGGTAACATTTCTTGTTTCATGTACCTGTTACTATCAACATCTACATATTTTTTTCTGTAGACTGAAGTATATAATTAAATATTGGTATGAGTAGCGATTTGCTAGGTAAATTCTACCATATAGTGTCAAAGGGAGAGATGTTTACAGAGTATAAAAGGTTTTCTTTTTAGGTAAAAGTGTTCCCAAATATTTGAGTCTTGCTGGTTTCCAATTTAATTGGGTCAAGAATGCCTGTTTTGTGAAAGGTTCACCCGACAAGCTCAAAGCTGTGGACTTAATGAAGTTTATGTAAAACCCTGCATTGGTGCCATGAGTATGAACAACATGCATTATATCTGGTAGATTCAGTTTGTTTGAGATATACAAAAGCACATCATCAGCAAAAGCTGGGACTTTAATAAAGTGAAAGCCCACCTGGATGCCTGTAAAATCCTCTAAATTATGCAATAATCTAATAATAGAGTCTAAAAGTGGTGAAAGGGGGGCCCCTTGTGCACCTCTCCCTCCCCCTGCCCTGTCCCATTAGAATTGAGTTAGAATCCAGACCACTGGTGGTCACGCTAGTAAGTAGACACACTTTGATGAGGTAATAGAATCTATATTTTATTAAAATTGGCCAAGCAACAATATTAAATACGATGTGGGCATCAAGAATTAGCAACATAGTTTCCTCAGTAATTTTGCTGACACTATATCTGCTATTGCACTACTTATTCCCTGTGTAGAATGTCAGCCCAGGACAAAGCCCTACTATTTGGGTTCAAAATCGCGGGTAGGAAATTTTGAAGTCTAGTTGTCACTACTTTAGTAAGTATTTTGAGGTCCTGATTCAGAAGTGTAATGGTCTGTGACTGTGACTAGATGATACCCAGGTCAGGAGATAGTACCAGCGGAGGCCCTCAGTTTTAGTTGTGCATTGCCTTTGGGCAAAGTAAAACAAAACAGGAAAAGAAAAGAAAGTGATTAGAGTTCACTGAAGCTGTGTTCATGGGGTTTGCCCCATGAACTCAAAGGAGGATGAGGTATGCATTGTGGCTCCTCTGATACAAAATATATACACCAAAGACTATGTCAAACAGTGTCCAACAGGACAAACAAGAGACCTTTCAGTCCAGATCAGCAAATTAATTACTATTAGAAACAAATAAGGGCAAAAAAACTGCACTGGGAGTGCAATAGACAAAAAAAGAAGATGAACCACTACAGTTTGTTTAAATGTGATGATATGATGTGGCTATTCATCCTACTCACTGAGTATTTCCTAGATCTTACAGCTCCAAGATGGTGGACAGGTTGTTTGGGCCTCTTTGTAGACCTCCTGCTCTCTCGTCAGCTCAACCAGGACATGGGACTGGGAGTAAGGTCTGGAAGTGGCTGGAGTGATGAGAAGCCCTTCTGGGGTTTTGCTCACTTGTGGTGTGTAGCTGGGCTGTCCGAGGTCTGTGTGTCTGCAGCTAGGGCTGGTGGTAAGCCGATGAATGTGGCCAAGTGGGCCTGCACCCCAAATCCCCACCCAGGCACCCTGGTACCCAGGTAGGGCTAAAGGCAACAGGACACAATGTTAAGGAAGGGGCAATCTAAAATTAGGAGCATCCATGCTCCTATTAGTTACTGTGTCACCTCCTATCGGCAGTGACCAAGAATTCAATGTCCAGGGGAGAATACAGAGAGGCTAAAAATAATGCCATTGATATGCTTGCCAATAGCTCGAGCAGCTTGGGGTCACGGGTGGTAGCAGGATTTTTCTTTGATGGACTCTGATCAGTTGCCCTTATTTGGAGCAGGCTGATGTTGTGGCCATACTCCTCGGCAGTCAGTAAATCAAGGAATGGGGCAAGTAAAGTAAATTATAATATATACACACATGGAGAACATCAAACCATGGAGATATAAAAAAAAAAAGATTTGATTAATTTATTTTTTGACTGTGAAATCTAATGATGTATCGTTTCATATATATGCCGCTTAAGATGGAATTGATATAATTAGCCAGTTTTATTTACTGTGATGTTATCAATGTGTTTATTTTAACAAGGATATTTTGTTCTGTCTTTAACTTCAGCACTTTCCATGCAGATATATTTAGCAAAGACCCATCACGCAGACAACAAGCTAAAAGTAAATGGTTAGGCACACAGCAAAAGCTGTATGAGATATTCCAAGAGTATATACCTCTGTCTTTTGGGAAAGATGCAGCTGCCACCCTTCTTAAAACAGGTGCGTTAAATAGGCATTACAAATATGTAAACCTAGAAATCTATAGCTGTGACCTAGTAACAAAGCAAGTTTACTAGATACCGCAAAACGTATTTTGTTTTTAGTGTATGTAGATTCAGGGATGTATGTGTGGAGGGTCAGTCAAAGTGTGAATGTATGGGTTTATTAGTGTGGAGTGTTAGTGTGTGTGTGTGTGTGTGTGTGTGTGTATGCGAATGCATGCAGGTGTTTGTGGAAGTCTAGTTTGTGTTAATGCAGAGGATATGTCCATGTGCGTGTGTGTTTTGTGAATGTGTGTGAAAATTATAGAATAACAGTTTTCAGCACATTCTCAGAAATGTGGTACTTGTTTATAGATGCCTATAAGGTTATGTTTTGTTTGCCTGTGACCTTCAACAAACCTAAAATGGGTATATGCTATTGTTAAATTGGTTTATTTATCATTTTAATTTAAATGAGGGAAATTACATATGATAAATGGCTAATAGTAATCTAATATGAAGGGTAATAGAATCATTAATGGAGTCCTACAAGAGAGTAGGGATTTCTGATCTACAACAACATAGATTGGAGCTTTCTGTTTGTATTCTTAGTACTGGAACAGGAAATAGACCAAGCCTTCTGCGTGACTGGTAATCCAGAAAACCACTTCCATTGCTTTGAACGAATAATCACCGACATAAAACAAAACCTATCCAACAAGCGTGCCTCCGAATACATGGACATCCTCCCAAACAAACCTGAAATTAACCACGTGCTATTTGATGCACAGCAGCATGTGATCAAGGGAATTCATCAAAGAGTATGTTTGGCTTATATTACTTTGTATCATATTTATTGTTCTGAACTTCTCATTCATATATAGTTGCACAATGTTGAACAAGGCTTTTCTTGCCTGTCCACCTATCCAGCCTGTCCTATGATGTTAATAATGTTTTGTTGAGCTCAATATGTGAAATTGTATATTAATTAGTTTTAGAATTTTTCACAAATTTTGATTGAACCGTTTGTTTGTTTTTTCCCATTATTACACTCATGAGACTCACCAGGATGAAACAACTGTGGCTAGGCATTTGTTGATTTAAATCATACTACATGCTTTGGCACATAAGCTATGCTTTAAACAAAATGTCACTGAAAACAGAGGCTACTAGGAATGGATGGAAATGTAGGAGTAACGATATTATTGGTGTATATTTTGCTTAACATTCTGTTGCCAAGATGCTGAGTTTGGGGCAAGTTTTTGCTAACGTAAATCAACGCTGCATAATTTTCACATGTCTAAAACACAAATAAGATGGCTAGGTAAACGAAGGCCTCAATTCCATTCTACTGAATCTACTGGTTCAGCTGATCATTTTAAAAAGTTTGTGCTGTTAATCATTAAAAAAAGAAAGTAAGTAAAAGTCAATTTAAAGGGACACTCCAGGCACCCAGACCACTTCTGCCCATTGGAGTGGTCTGGGTGCTAACTCCCACTACCCTTAACCCTGCAACTGTAATTATTGCAGTTTTTATAAACTGCAATAATTACCTTGCAGAGTTAACTCCTCCTCTAGTGGCTGTCTATGAGACAGCCACTAGAGGGCACTTCCTGCTTCATAGCACAGGTTTTCTGTGCTATAGCGTCGCTGGGCGTCCTCACGCTATTTGAGGACCTCCAGTGTCGCTCAATTCCTCATAGCAAAGCATTGAAAAGCATTTTCAATGCTTTCCTATGGGGAGGTCTAATGCGCGTGCTCGGCTGACGTAAGGAAGGGGAGGAGCTGTGGCGACCTGAAACCACCGCCGAGGGACATCGGCGGGGGTCTCAGGTAAGTGACTGAAGGGGTTTTCACCCCTTCAGCAACTGGGGATGGGAGGTGGGAGGGAGAGGGGACCTGCAATCCGTTTTCTTGGCACTGGAGTGACCCTTTAAATAATAAAGCAGGGATGATATAGTGCCATCCCCATTGATGGGCGTTGGGGCTCTAATTAAATATACAAGAGGGGAGGACGTGCCCAGGGCCGGTTAAACATAGGGGCTGATGTAGCTGCAGCTCCAGGCCCATGCCCATGGAATAGGCCAATTGTTAAACTTTTTTTTAAAACTTTTTTCTTTTACTACTCTTTACATGCTCTTGCTTAAGTATGAAAACTTAAGAGGGATGTAGAAGAACAAAAATTGTGTGGACTGGCTGACAATTAAATTAGTTAAGGTAAAGCTGACTTTGTGCACTATACAAATTCTCTTGCTGCGTCAGTCTCTCTAACACTGTGGCATGTTCCCTTTCTTCTACACTCAATACATACACCTATTCTCTGTCCCACACTGAATAACAAGAGCTTCTGTCCGCTAGTAAGTGGAATGGACAAGTGAGTGCTAGGGGACAGTCCTTAGAAAGCAGGACGCGAGGGTATCATTAGACACATTTATGCCAAGCTCAGGGTGCTGTCTTCATTGTTTGCTCTTTGTTGGCCAGTCTGCATGATTGTCAGGGAGCCTGTCATGAATTTACACTAGGATGACCTTCTAATTCTTCAGGTCTACTCGCACCCTTTTTGGGCATGTTCGCTCCTTTGGACAGTTTGGTTACCCCGCCCACCGACATTCTGCTTCAATGAACAGGCTGTTAGGGGGTATGAATTTACTTAAAAGATGAAAGCGAGAGATTAGCATAGGGTATGTGTTTTCTGATAGCTATATCCTGTGAGTTTCCCTCCAACACCACCTCCACCAGATACATGACTCTTGGGAGGTGTAACAGATCACCTGACACCCCGACTGGGTCGATGCTCCTAGCACTTCCTGAGGGCTCCAAGCACTCCAGCCAACATCATAACCACCGTAGACTTCTCCAGAGAGCAATGCAGGAACAAGCTCTTACAAGAGCTTAGTAGTGATTTAGCAAGGGAGTATGACAAGCATAGCAATCCCTTGTAGCAGATTCCCCCAATAAGAGACGGCACTCCAAATTGAGGGTGAAGTAGAATTGTCTAAAACTTTATTTTACTTGAGACTAGCCCATATGGTCATTACATTAACATTGCTGTGAAAACTCAATAAAATTACAAACAGTCAAATCATACCAGGCAACATACAGTGACTTATTATAATACAATTACATATTTATAAATGGGTGGGGAAGACCGTAATTAACACAAAATGTCTCTCTTGCATTCAGAATTAGCGTTATGCAAATCTACCCGAATATGCAAATTACCAGTCTTGCTATTCAGGTAGTGCATATTACTGTTGCTACCAACAGAGGGCACTACACAAGCTCCATAGCCAAATCCACCTAGTTGGTAGCAATCCTCAGCAGTACAGGAGAGCAGGCAATACATCCCAGGGGCCATAGTCACATGGCAGGAGGCTGGCAATCAGTCTTCTCCAATGCCCAGTGGCAAGGCTGGTTCCGCCACAGGAGGTATAACTATTTTAGTGCTTTCTGTCCATAAGATTCTGTAATTAGGCCCATCACAATTGTCAGCACCAGGCACAATGGGCTCTTAAAGGACCACTATAGTGCCAGGAAAACATACTCGTTTTCCTGGCACTATAGTGCCCTGAGGGTGCCCCCACCCTCAGGGACCCCCTCCCGCCGGGCTCTGGAGAGAGGAAGGGGTTAAACACTTACCTTTCTCCAGCGCCGGGCGGGGAGCTGTACTCCTCCTTTCCTCCTTGCTCGCGACGTCATCGGCTGAATGCGCATGCGCGGCAGGAGCCGAGCGCGCATTCAGCCGGTCGCATAAGAAGGCATTTACAATGCTTTCCTATGGACACTTGCGTGCTCTCACTGTGATTTTCACAGTGACAAGCACGCAAGCGCCTCTAGCTGCTGTCAATGAGACATCCACTAGAGGCTCTGGAGGCTGGATTAACCCTCAGTATAAACATAGCAGTTTCTCTGAAACTGCTATGTTTATTAAAAAAAGGGTTAATCCTAGAGGTACCTGGCACCCAGACCACTTCATAAAGCTGAAGTGGTCTGGATGCCTAGAGTGGTCCTTTAATCTGGCCCTGGATGTGTCATTATTCACGACCCCAAAATGCCCACAAGTCCCCCACACAAGCATCTAGAGGCTTGCAAGCCCTAGCCAATCTCGAATAAAATAAACTCTGCATACTCCCTCACCCTAATTATTGTATGGGACTGGGGCAATTAATCTATTACCTGTAAAAAAAAAAATCATATTTACCATCAAATGTCTTAATCTTCATTTCTTCAGTCTCAAAAACCCCAATAAGACCCGATAAAATGTATAATAAAAAAAAGAATGCATCGTAAGAAAAAAGATGAAAAAATTGCAACACCAAAAAAATTATCCATCTTTGGCCATCGAGGGCTCTACACAGACTAAGCTTTTATAGTGGGAAAAACCTTTATAAGGGCTTCCACATGCTATGCAATTTCAGTCAGATATTGTTTGGCTTCTAAGTCAACCAATCAGAGCACTCTGACAGGCTGCATGGGAAAATGTAAGAAAATTATGTCCTTTGTCTGATTTCCATACATCATCACCAACAAACTTCACTACCAGTAACTACATACATTTCTATTGCGATGTATCTTTTTCACTAGTAATTTGTTCTTGAATAATAATGTGCTGACGGCAATTGTGAAATAATTGCAACACGTGGTTAAAGAAATACTTCCATCATCTCCCTCTATGCATCTTTCAGCTGCGGCATACGAATATCTACAAGAACAATGTCAGCTGGGGATGGGATGGAATAAATCCAATTACCAATAGATCTCATGCCTACTACCTTGATCGCCTTTGTCGGGATTTCCAGAGAAATGTTACTACACATTTCAACAGGTCTGCTTACAGGTCACCTTAGAGACTTAGAATATCATTTGAAAGCATACATGATGATTTATTGGGGAAGATTTAAGACAAAATCATGTGCAATTTGGGCCAAAGTGTTGGGGTGTGTAATTTACTCACCAAAAGTCATAATGCTTTGCTGTGTTTCTCTGGGCAGGACAGAGAGAGTATGTTTAGTTCTAACCCAAAAAGGGATTTGAAACCCACATTTGGGGCCGAATTATTCACTTTCTGGCTGAAGCTGTCTCATTTTGCTAGTAGGCGGATGAAAAAGGAGATGTTCAGGGCACTGATTTTGAAAAAAAAAAATGCCTCTTCATTTAGTGAAGAAAATGCCTCATAGAAATACACAAATCAAAAAATAAAGTATTGGAGAAGCTATCTTATATTTTCATCCTAGAGACACAATGCATACCTTGGCTAGCCAAAATGTAGTATTTTCATCTATTGTTTAATTTCAACTTCAGTGATTCCTCTTAGCCTATGACTGATAAAGAACCATAGGAGTGACAAACGTGCACTGCAGAGGACACACTAAATTAGAGCTACAGGTTTATTCACTAACATGAGAGTTAAAGGTGAATTTAAAGTGAATTTCAAATGTAAGGTCACAGGAACTGAAATAAAAGCATAGCTCACTTAGACCTCCAGTTCGCTAATTTGAATTACAGGGACACTATAGTCAAAAAAACAACTTTAGTTTAATGAAGCAGTTTTGGTGTGTAGATCCTCCCCCTACAGTCTTAATGCTCAATTATCTGTAACTTAGTTAAATCACTTTGTGTATGCAGCCCTAACCACACATCCCTGCATGTAACTTGCACAGCCTTCCTAAACATGTCCTGTAAAGAGTAATTTAATGTTTACACTTCCTTTATTGCAAATGCAGTTTAATTTAGAAGTTTTTTAAATCTCCTGCTCTGTTAATAGACCCTGCAGGATCCTCCTGTGTGTGATTAAAGTTCAATTTACAGAGCAGGAGTTAAAAACTTTTTTAAGTAAGTTACATCTGAAAAGGAAAACATTTTTTTAATGTAGGATGTGTCAGTCACAGCCAGGGGAGGTGTGGCTAGGGCTGCATAAACAGAAACAAAAGTGATTTAACTCCTAAATGGGTGAAACGTCAGAGGCATGATCTATACACCAAAACAGCTTCATTAAGCTAAAGTTGTTTTGGTGACTTAGTGTTGCTTTAACTTTAAATTCTCTCCTATCGTGCCACCTAGCAAATTACAGAAACTAAAGAGACTAATAGGATAATAGCTTGTTTACCCCAACATATAACTAAAATAAATCACTCGTAGAAAAAGGTTACAATAAAATAGATTGAATTAGAAAACGTGATTTTATCTAGCATTCTTTACAAGATGAACACATAGAAACATTTAAATTATGACTCCATGTAAAATTCTTTGGAATGGCTTTTATATCAAATAGAATACACATGTGATAAAAATGTATGTTTAAACAAATGAGGCTTGTCTGGTATGATTTTTATTGTGGCATTTAGAGGGATAGACAGGAGAAACATTACTTAAAGGAACACTATAGTGTCATGAATTCAAATGTGTATTCCTGACACTCTAGGTGTAAAACACCATTTAGTCCACCTTGCTCCTCTACCTTTTTCTGGCACTGCGTGGGTCTCCTTGAGGCTCCGCCTCCTTTCCTGAGATCATCAGTTCTGATGATCTCAGCCAATCTAATGCTTTCCCATAGGAAAGGCTAAGGCACACGTGCGGCAAAACACTGTGCTGCGCCATTGAGCATCTCCTCGTAGAGATTTATTAAATCAATGCATCTCTATGAGGAATGTTCAGTGCCTCCTTGCCAAGCATGGACACAGTGTGCAGCACTCTCTGAAAAGGCAGTATTTACATTAAAATGCCTGCAGGGACATGACGTAGACACCAGAATAAATACATTAAGCCATAGTTATTCTGGTGACTATACTGTCCCTTTAAATTGAACTGTAAAAGACTGATTCTAAATAAAAGTGTTATCCTGACCTTTGCTTAGTGATCTTGATGACTAAAATTTTAATAATGGTCAGTGACTAAATAAAGCACTCATGAGAATAAACTAATTGTAGCTCCTAAAGTACTGAAAAATACTTTCTGTAGCACAAACGTTAAATATAGACAATTATATGAATTTTGGATCCATAGTTACTTGTTTTGGTGTTCACTTGCTCACAATAAATTATTTGATGTTATATAGTTATATATTATGTTATATACTTGTTTGTCCAATACCATCATTTCTCTATATATTTAATTTGTTTATATATATTTTTTTCCTTAGATCGACTTATTTGCAGAATTTGCCAGAGAAGACAAGGAATCGTGATCATGTTTTCAGAAATCAAAGAAACGAGGAGATTTTAGAACATGCAAAGCACTGCCATACTCTGTGAGTCCAGGCATCCAGTGTCTTACACGTTTCATTCTTTACAGCTTGCCATTGCCCATTAACACCCTTTTCTCCTTGTTACATATCCTGTATATAGTTTAAATGCCATATGCAGTTGGTACTTTATCTTAGTTTTTGACAATGCAAAATAAGCCTGCATCAATCAACTTTATATCCATTTTAAGTGCCTAAAAGTGAAATAAGATAATTCTGGAAACTGATTTTTATCTCTTACAAAATAAAATGGAGAAACAAGGAAATACTTCAAGCCATCATATTTAGATGTTTATTTGTTTCTATTGCCTTGTCTCTGTTACTTTACAGTGTTAACTGCTTTATGGAACGCGAAACATTCTTGCAGGAGGTTGAAGAGTGCACTAAGGCTGCTAGAGGATATGTCACTGTGATACAGGGAGAGCAGGGCAGTGGGAAGAGCTCCGTTATGGCCAAACTGGCCTCCTTGGCCAACCAGTGGATAACCGGGTATGTCCATGTCAAAACTAAACTCATGGATCTGTCATTCTTTCAGCAGTCAGTGGTAAATGTAAATTATGTTTAAGACTTTGCTATGTGCCTAGTCACAACACAAATCTAGAACACAGACGTTAAGTGCAAAGCCATTTTTGTGACATAGATACATTAGAGCAGGTGACTGAAGCAATGGTATACTTTCCTAATTATAGTGGAGATAGTGATATTATGGAACACTATTTACAGTGGAACGTTTGAGGTTCCACCAAAACATTTTGAAGTTTGGTTCTCATAATAAGTTATTATATATACTTTAACATAATGTTTTACAAGCAATTCCTGGAAAGAAAACATGTTAATGTCAGTCATCAGCTGTATGGGGATTTAATACTGTAACTGTATCTTCTTGTTTAATCCATCTCAGTAAATAACACAGTTTGCTCTTCTGCTTTCTTTTCACTAATTTATTTACATTATCTGTGATATGACTATGATATGATATAAGATCTAAACTGGAAGATACTTGAATCTAATTCATGGAGCCCCAAATATATAAATATATATAATGTAACAACAATAAAGATATTGACAATCAATATTAAAGGGGAGAGAAGAACATGTACCTTGCAGAATTTCATAAAAATCACAGTAAACACACCCCGCACTTTCTTAACACTTACACTACCCCTACCACCCCCTACAGCCCCCTAACCATTAACTCCTACACTATCTGTGTTATATTGTATATATTATGTTTACAATGCTGTAAACAGAGCCCCTCGTGGCATTATTTTCCTGTAATACTCAGCTCTCACTATGTATCTCTCTTGCTCTTTCTGAGATAAGTACAAAGCATTGCTCTCCTTTGCAACCTGTAAAATTAATAATTTATCAATAATAATAATACACAAACACATCAGTTCCAATCTAGCAATGCTACTCAAAATTAGCATATTTGTCTTTAACATGATCATGTGTGTTATTGATTGCAACACTGATTTAAATGAAGTCCTTATACTCCATGTTTTAAACGATATCCCCAACGGAACAGTGAAACTTTCACTATTTGCAGGGGGAGACCAGGGACCACTGGCCCAGTGAAATAAGAATATTCTGTTTGATTACTTATACATATTACTATTGGGATGTGTGTCTCTTTTGTCTCTTTGTGCCACATGTGTCCATTTTAAAATCTATGAAAATATCTGTATTAGTGATGCATCTCTTTTATGAATCTGGTAAACATTTCCTTTGAATACACTGTAACACAGGGATCTAAGGATTGTCACTCGGTTTATTGGCATCACTGGAGAAAGTCGAGATATACGTTTGTTACTACAAAGCCTTTGCTACCAGATTGCGGACATATACAACCTTTCGACACATTTCTCAGAGGTATATTGAATTATTTAATTAATGGAACATCAAATGTTGCCTCTTTGAGCATTGGTTAAACTAACCTATAGTACTTATAAGAAAGAAGATGTGGAACCTACTAGCACCTCCAAAGCTCTAACACAAAGATTTTAGTTGGTATCCAGAGTCATTTGTAACAATGTAATTTGTTGCTTAGCCCTTCCAATAACCAAATTGAGTATAAACAGTTTTATTTTCATGTAGTTAGCAGTGTGAAAGCTAGTCCATAAAGTGTCACTCACCCTTTAGTTATGATTGCCAGCGAAAAGAGGAATACATTTTTCTGACAGAAGCCACTAGTCATTGATATAATGCCTGTAAATTTGCTGAAAATGTAAGCTCATCCTGTACTTCCAAACAGTACAGGAAGTTTCAGTATATCATATTATTCCTACAGTCATGGAGGGGGAGGAGTGAAAGGACCATTTTACTATTAGCATTATATTAGCAGTCCAGAGATTGATAAATATTGCCATAGTAATTTTAAATACATTTATTTTATAAATATTTTATTTAACTGCAATTACTGTATGTTGGCATTATGTTCATATGCCGGCATTCGTTTTACATTCTGATGCAATCTTAGTGAGCTGTACTGCTAATAATACCTTCGTGGCCTACAGTATATGCAAGACATTTGACCTTTTTTGTTTATCTAATTTTGTGACAGCTAGTGTATGTAAGAAAAATGTGCATTTTTGCTTTTATACTAGCATTTCAGACCATGCAGGTGACACGGGTCTGGTCGGGAAGGGGTACTGACCAGAGCAGCAACCTCTATATGTTGGAACCCAGCATACTCAAAAATCAAGCCAAAGACTAGTGTATTGTTATATACAAAGAACACAATCGAATTAAATACAAGAACAGATAACTCAATGTAAGAGAAAGAAGCCCACTGAAAACAGGGAGGACTCTGGATATCTGGAGCAAGGAGACCTCTGGATACAGGGAGCCAGGACCTGAGGAACACAGCTAGCTCAGGAACGCAGCTAGCTCAGGAACTCACGGAAGGCAGCTACCACAGGAACTCAGGGAAGGCAGCTAGCTCAGGAACTCAGGGAAGGCAGCATGTTCAGGAATTTAGGAAAGACAGACAGCTAGCTCAGGAACTCAGGAAAGACAGCTAGCTCGGGAACTCAGGAAAGATAGCTAGCTCAGGAATTCAGGAAGGAAGCTAGCCCAGGAACTCAGGAAGAAAGCTAGCTCAGGCCCTTAGGGAAGCAGCATCCTCAGGAACCCAGGGAATCAGCATGATCGGGAACCACAGAATGGTAGTGGCACTGTGAGGTACTGCACCAAACATAGTAAACAGAATTGTGACAGTGAGACACATTACAAAATAAAGGATACTGTAAAGCTTTTAATTTCCCAAATATTTTTATAAAGGCTGAACGAATAAGTGAAAAATGGAAGTTGGGAAAACGTACATAATTTTAATTTAGTTGGTATGCACAGCAATCTATAAACAAATTTGCTGTGTGATATGTTTATTTGCTAACCGTGCGTCTATTGCTTCAAATAACTGTTATGCTAATATTTCTTCAATTAGAAAGTGCTCAGTAGTGAATGGGTTAAAGAGAATCAGTTATAAGGTATCCAACGTAAGACAGCAATAGACAGCCCAAACATTTGATGGGTTTTACAGATGTTCTTTTCCATAAGGCTCTAATTGAGTACCTCTTAATGAGATACTTCAAACAACCACCAACATATTTTTCCTAGTTCCTAAAAGGACCACAGGGGGCTCTTCATCAGGTCTGTAGGCATATTTATACACTGACAGAAACTATACAGATATCATTCTGTAGGACTTTTTTGTACAGAAATAACAAGCGAGACTTGCTCTCATTACACACTAATCAAGCTCATGGGTTGACTACTGGATTAATGAATGGGTGGAGAAGATTGATTTTGGAGATTGCTAGTGTGTGGCATTGGTCTATTCAGTCTGCACTGAGGGTCCAGGAATAGTCTGTAATCCAGACTTATTTTGGGTCGTTCTGTAACGGTTCCTTCCCAAGGTCATGTAACTAGTCCTTGTAGCATAGAAAGGTATTGGTAAGGGCAAGTAACCAGAAAAGTAAAAAAATAAAGGTGAGATATACCTACAGTATATTCAAAAGCCAACTAAATACTCTTTGACCTATTGGACATCATTATGTAACATGCAAGGATCGTGTTGTTAGGGAGTTAGAAAAATGTAATTTATATATAAGATCACCCGACACTGGCGTTAATATGAGATTTATGTGCTGTAAAGGTTTGAAATCCTTAAGGTAAGACATAATCTCTGTGTGTCTCATACAATATCGTGTCTTTTGAATGAATAACTATATTATCTGTCTTCCTTCATTTTAAGGACTTAAAAGGACTAATAAATGAGTTTTCATCGTTGCTGGAGTTTGCCACAGATAGCATGCCTCTGATGTTGGTATTGGATGGGATAGACGAGTTATCAGAGAATGAAGCTAAACTTTCCTGGTTACCTGTTATAATACCACAGCATATCTATTTCATTGTCTCAGCTTCCACAGAGTCTGACTGTGCCTCATTAAAAAACTTACAGGTAGTTACATTTTCATCAAGGTGTATACTGTACTGTGTAGGTACCAAAGAGAGAAATATTATTGAGGCCACAACCTACTCACAAGTAAAGAATGTCCTAACTACAACTTCACAATGTTGAGAAATTGTTTTAAAATGTCTGGCTCAAATATAAAAAAGTATAATGTTCATATTTCTAAATTAACGTTCTCATGTTTATTTACAGAAACATTCATCACATTTCAAATTTCTTCAGATACCAGCCCTCAGTAGCATGGAAATAAATACAATGATTGGGTCATGGTTGAGAAGGGACCAACGTAGACTCACCAGTCACCAAATGAATGTATTGTTAGAAGCTTGTGTTACTTGCCCTTTACCACTTTTTGTGTTATGTTCATACACAGAGTCATGTTTGTGGACTTCCTACACTTCTGACAAAGATGCATGCCTTCAGACTAATCTTTCCAAAATGTACTCATGGATCTTAGCAAGGCTTGAAAGGAACCACGGAGAACAGGTTGTTAAAAAAACAACTTCTTACATCTCATTTTCAAGAAATGGTATTACTCTAGGAGAACTATTGGACCTTTTATCTTTGGACCAGATGGTTATGAATGAGATTAAGCAGTATCAGGGAGTTACTGTGTCTGTATTTCCACAAGCTCTCTGGTTAAAGTTACAGAATGACTTTGGGATCCATTTGGTGGAACAAAGGACAGACAACACTTATGTGATTAACTTTGCCCATGAACTTTTCAGGACTGCTTGTATAAACAAATATGTAAAGTCCAAGGATTATCAGCTTTCTATCCACGCTTCTTTTGCCGATTACTACTTAGAGAGTAAGAACCAACACAGCTCTAATAACCATTTAGCACCGATGATGCCTCTGTCATGGTTGGCAAAGTCAGAGAACAAGACTGACCATGTGTTTAACCATCGTAAAATCTTAGGAATATCTCACCATCTTATTCAGTCTAACCAGATCTCACGACTTGTAACGGAATGCATATTTAATTATGAATACCTCCTGCATAAAGCATGGGCTACCTCTGTGATTAATATACAGGATGATCTAAAGGCTGCTGTCAACCCTGAAAGGTAAGGGAGGTAGAACAGCGTCTACAAGTATGAATAGGTTTGAATTGACAATTGAGAGTTCATGCATTCTTGAGAGTTCATGTTGACCTTGAGAATAAGTTAAAAAAAAAATATTTTACCTTGAAGGGTGGCAATGATAGACAGTATTTCGGTCTGGAAAGTTATTTTCTGCAATTTGTTTCAACTTCCTTATCTACTTCCTCATCTCATTTATTAACACAACAATGTAGATGGTGGGATGGATGATAGGAATGAAAAAAATCCACTGTAACTATCAGGCTCCATTAGTCAGTAAATCATTTTTACACGGTGTCACAGTCTTTGCATATAGTTGTCTACATACTATTTTAATTAAAATCAAGTGTAACACATTTATACATCTTTTTTTGAGTCATTAATGTTGCAATGATCCATGATCTTGTCTTTCTTGCAGGCCAATACAGGATTTGAATCTGTTGTCCGAAGTTTTGCAATTGTCCTATGACATTTTACTCCATGATCCATGTCAGTTGGCGTCACAGCTGATGGGACGTTTGCATCAGATAGAATCCTCAGATAAGCCTGTGGCTCCAGGTATGAATCAACTTGCACTAATATGTATCTGTCTTCCACAGCAAAAATACTGGATTTAAACCTTGTATATCCATCATATTAAGAATGATTTCTGACTGGAGGTCTGGTCCAAAAATATATTATAGGTTTCGTGGGCAAATGGCATGCTTGGGATATGGTGACATACATACTGCCTTGTTATAATCATCCTGTGCATGGGATGTCTCTCTCTACCTGTCTGACAGGTGTGGGTTGTGTTCTTGTTAAAACTTAATTAACTCCAATTGTTAAGGCTAATTACAAAACAGGTATATGGATACAGCTATACAGGTATATTGAGTTCTATGGAGTTTGTGTCATGTGGTAGACAGTTTGCGATAGTTGATATGTCCATGTCACTCTGTTAACATGTTTCCTTATCTCTGCCCTCTTTTGTACTCTGAGATTTTATACTCCTGTCTTAATCTGTTTGTTATAATAAGTTTTAGGCGTTTTCGAATTTCACAAACATGTAAAATACACATAAACTTGTGAAACACCATCTTAAACATTTCATCACTCTGTCATTATGTCTATAAATGTGCCATTTGCACTGTGTGACTAAACAAGTTGGATTTACTGGCCCTTGTAAAGTGGTGTTAATGACACTAATACTGGATGAAGTGTCATTCCCATTACTCTAGAATTAGTTGGAGGTGCAAAGAATTTCTTTAGAATGTTTTGTTATAAAGCTTAAAGGTAAAATTCAATGAACTATTGTATTTTCTTGCTTTAGTTTTGAGAGGTTATTTAAATATTATTTGTGTTATTTTTAAGAAAGTTTGGTATTATATATATATTTTTTCCAATTACTACACCAAGCTCAGTGTATCAATAGATCACCAAGTAATGGTTCAATAATGTGCCTGGGTTTACAATTAAATTCACTGTTGACTAGTATACTTAGACCTCTATATAATATTATTTTTTAGCTTTTTTAGCTTTTGAAATGTTGGCCATTTGTTAAAAATAAAACAACTTTTCAAATGATTTCTCTACAGAAAGTCCCATAGACGTTAATGGTTACGTCTGTAGAAAAAATCATTTGAAAAGTTTTGCAAATAGCTAGTGATCATTTCAAAAGTTTATCCAAAAAAATTTACTTGAGGCCTATCTTTACTAAGAGGTGAGAAAGTAAAAAAAATATTATACTTTATTCTATAAAGTACTTTGCCTACTTTAAAAAAATCTATGTAATACGACTGTAATTACTCAGTGATAGTTTTGCCAGTTTCTGACATAAAACAACACTTAGTTGGAATGCATTGCCCAAAATGTAAAAATATTTTGAACACAAAACCTATACAATATTCAGGTTTGTGTGAAAATATAAAAATTTTTAATAATATATTATTTATTTTTAAACAAGTTATAAAATAAGGATAGTAATAAGCTATAGACAACATTGCTTGACAGCAATTATTACAAACATAAATTATAATAACAAAGAAAAAATACTCAACAAAAGGAACCATGCATGGGAGCTAGCAAAGAGTTGACAGACTCGAAAGATTCTGTGCAAAAAGGTACAAGAGTAAGTGCCATGGAACTATGTGACATTCAACATACAGAGCAAATAATTGTATTGTCCAAGGCAATAGTGATAAACCTTCAGAAAGATAATGATACTGGAGTTGTTGTTACCATGAAAACAACTCCACGATGTTCTACAACTCAATTGAGAGTCGGGAGGGACATACAGTGCTGAAATGACAGCAAAGAACGAGAAGGCTGAGGGTGGAACCAGATAATGCATATTTGGAAGTAAAAGTAAGTGATTGTTTAAAAATAGGGGTCAAGATTAGACAACAAAAAAAAAGTATGGTATAAGAGGAGAAGAGCAGAACTAAATAAAAAGAGTAAAGGGAGTATTCACTAAAGAGGATGGTTGAATATTGATTTCTGGTCACAATGCCATCAGGTATGAAAGTAATAACTCAGTAGACCCATTAAAGGAACACTCTCAGCCCATAATAGTTTAAGCATATTTAAGTAGTTATTGGGTAAGGAATGTCTTGGCCATTGGCGGAAGAGGAAGGTGTAACTTCACCTCTGTCTGCATCAATGGGACTTCATTAGCCAGCTCAGAGTTCTGAGTGGCTAATGTAAATCCTGTGCAAATTTGGCATTTGATGCCTATGGCTGCATGCCCTCCCCCCTCCTCCCAACCATGCTGCCCTTATCCTACCATCAGTCCATCTCCCTGACCTTCCTCACCCTCTGGCAAGAGAGAGCGACGTTAGCCATGGAGGATTGGGCTGTAAGGAGAACTTGGCTTTGGTGCCGGATCGAAGTGAGCTTTAGTTTTTTTAATGGGGAGGGTGACGGGGGCAGCACAGTAAGGATTACTCTAACCAAAACCAGAGTTTTATGAAAAAACTGTTTTTTAGTTGGAATAACTATTTAAGTTTTTCTGGAGTTGTTTGGTAACACTATGAGCTGGGAAATGAACATTAACATGCTCTTTTTTTCTGCTTTTGCCTCTGGTGTCCTCATTTCAAACATATATTACTGAATACAATAAATACATTGAGCATATTATACAGTTTCCTATTATAAAGTGATCCTATATTTGTTATTGCAGGTGATCCAAGGAAGTATCCTTTTTTGCCATCTTTATTATCTCAGTGTACACAGTCATCGATCCCTGTGTTTGTGCCGTCATTCACCTGCCTTTTACCTCCTGGAGGACTTCTCTATGAAACTATAAAAGGTAAATTATAATAGAACAAGTATTCAAACTTACTTCTAACAGCCCTGTCCTTTTAGACTATATTCACACAGTGATTACATGCTATTGGGAATATTAATTTTGTGTGCAGTGTCCAGATTCTCAAAAGTGATTACAAAAATTACAAGAACCATTGTCTTTTACACATGAACAACTTTTAAACAGTAAAGTATAATTATTATTATTAGCAGTTATGTAGCACCAAAATTCTGCAGCATTTTATAATAATTCAAATGGGACAGTTAGAAGTGAAGAAGACCCAGCTCAAACGGCCTTACAATCTGTAGCAATAATTAATCTGACTGATCCATTGTTGATCAGATAAGGACTTTTAAAATTCAGAATGAGTTTAAACTGTTATAGACATCGTAGACATATGCAGACTTATCCTCCGATTCGAATATTAGAGGAGTTTATTTCCAATAAAACAAAAACAAAAAAGTTTCGTTTTTCCCCCCCAAAAATTGAGTTAGTTTCAATTATTTGTTAATTGTAATAATGATGATTTAGTCTCACCATACAAACCTTAAAGTATTTTTCGACATCTTAGATTTAACCCATGGGTTAACATTGACATGTAAAATACATTTCATTAATGCAGCAGTTCCTGATATTCTACAGAATTATTTATAAAAATTCACTCCCTGTTATTTTTTATATTCTAGATATGTTTGTCAAAGTGACACTAACTGTTACTCTTTTCTGTATTTAACAATTGCTAAAATTGATCATGGCTGTCCACAGCATGGGACAAGAGAGGGCAAGTGTCTTGGGAATTGCATTTCAATTGCAATTTCTAAATTTCTAAAAAGAGCCTATATAGACTATGGTTGTGCCCCCCAACCACCAGACCTTTTTTTTTGTGGCTGTCACTGACACTGAATGCTGATTATTTCATATATGAATTGTTAGTCATACTATACAAAATGTACAGAATTGTGTTAAATCTTAGCATTAAAATTCGAATTTCATCATATGTAGGGCACACTGACAGTATTACAGCAGTTGCAGAAGCCCAAGATGATCTGCAGGTAATAACGGCCTCTAAAGAAGGCACCTTAAAAGTGTGGGACCTAACGACTGGAAAATTTGTTTTCACTCTTCATGGAGTTGGAAGAAACATTGACTCGATCACTGTCTGCATGCACAACAAACTGGTTGCCGTCACAAAAAAACACAGCCTCCAAGTATGGGATCTTCATCAAGGTAAAATGGTTTATGGCGCCAGTGACTTTTTGGATGTTCCAATTCTAACTTCAGCTTTGGATGGTCAGCTACTTTTGGCCTTTTTTGATGGAAGCCACTTAGTCAAGGTACGTTTTTGGTTTGGGTTTTTTTTTTCTCATTCAAACATAATTCTTTTTGTCCTTGGTGCATTTATTCTACAGTGACTTTTTGCATGTGTTACCTTTAATTGTTTTTAGTCTATAATTTTACAGTGACTGCTTACTGTTGTAATACATTTTTTAAAATACCCCCCCCCCAATAAATGGCCCCATGGTGGGGCATCTCTTAATAAGCCTGGGAAGGGACATAGTGTCCCCCCCGAGCCCCTACCTGTGCTCCGCGAGTGGGGGCTATTCAAGTAAACAGGGGACATAGGGTCCCCCTTGGCCCCCACCCCTGAGCTAGTGGGGGTCCTAAATAAAAAAGGGGGGACCTATTGTCCTCCTCTCCGGCCCCCACCCCTGAGCGGTGTGTGGGGGCCCTAAATTACAATAAGGGGGGACCTGTTATCCTCCCCTCATGAGACCCCCACCCATGAGACCTGTTATCCTCCCCTGGTCCCCACCCATGAGCGGCTGGTGGGGCTAAATGAAAATGCTAAATGAAAATGCGGGGGGGACCTATTGTCTTCTCCACCCCCCTGCCCCCACCCCTGATTGGCGGGTGGGGGCCCTAAATTACAATAAGGGGGGGGAGCCTATTGTCATCCCCCCAGCCCCCACCCATAAGCAGCGGGTGGGGGCCTAAATGAAAATGGGGGGACCTATTGTCCTACCCCCCACCCTCCACCCATGCACGACTGTGGAGGCTAAGTGTAAATCCCCCTAGGTGACAAGGGGTCCCCACGGCCCTAGTCACTCCCCATCCCAAAATGTTTTAATAAAGACCTACCTACCTCCCTCACCCTAAAAATAGTGAGGGGGGAATGAGAAAACTAGACCTCTGTAAATAAAAAATAACCATTTGATGTCTTCTTTTTTCTAAAATCTTCTTTTTTCAGCCCCAAAAAAGGCCAAATAAAAATCCATAATACCCGTCGAACTTATCAAATAAAATAAAAATCCAGAGCGCAAAAAAGAGAATCCGATGGAAAAAAAAACACAGACGCTAAAAAAATAATCAATTTTCACCCAGCAAGGGCACCGCACAGACTGAGCTCCGCAAGGCGGGAAAGCTTATAAAGCCTTCCCATGCCCTGCAATTAGACTCAGAGCGCTTTGATTGGTTGGTAAAATGACACTGTCCTAATTTGTTTTATACCCCACCTCCTATAGATTGTAAGCTTGTTTGAGAAGGGTCCTCTTCAACCTATTGCTCCTGTAAATTTTCTTGTAATTGCCCTATTTATAGTTACATCCCCCCCTCATAATATTGTAAAGCGCTACGGAATCTGTTGGCGCTATATAAATGTCAATAATAACAATAATAATCAGAGTGTTATTATGAGTCAAATTACACAGCATGGGAAAATTCCAAAGAACGTTCCCATGCTGTGAAAAATTACTCAGAGCACTCTGGTTGGATTCCAAGCCAACCAATCAGAATGCTGTGACAGGTAAATGTAGAGACTTACCTGACAGTCTCTTAATTTACCTGTCAGAGTACTCTGATTGGTTGGCTTGAAATCAACCAATCAGAGTACTCTAAGCCTAAATGCAGGGCGTGGGAAGGCTTTATATTTTTCATTTAGGGCCCCCATCTGCCGCTCATGGGTGGGGGCCGACGGGGGAGGACAATAGGTCCCCCCATTTTCATTTAGGGCCCCCACCTGCCACTCATGGGTTGAGACCAAGGGGGACACTATGTCCCCCTTTACTTGAATAGCCCCCACTTGTGGGGCATGGTTGGGGGCTGGAGGGGGACACTACGTCCCCCACTAGTTAATAGATGCCCCACCATGGTGCCATTTGTTAGAGGGTGGAGGCTTTTTTTTTTACAATAGTGAACAGACTGCTCACTGTTTAATATACATACCCCTACTCGTGGGATAGATTGTAATCTCCCTTATGCTATTATGGGGGTCATATTGAGTGAGGGAGGACTTGGGGGCTTAGGAAGTGCTTATAAAGCACTGCTCCCTGACGCTTCTATTTTTACATATTACAAGGAGGGAGCTGCAAGCTTTCTGACGAATGAATATATGAAATTCCTGTTCGAATGCCCAAGTGTTTAACTGGGCATGCGCAGGAATTTCACAGCGCTATCTAGTGTGGGCAGATGACAGGGACTTCATCTACCCAAAACAAAGATGGTCTGGGCACAAAATAAAGATGAAAAAATAGGTAAGCTTGGGGGTTAAGGGGCATTTGGGTGTGACTCTGGGGACAATTAAATGTAGTGGAGTCTTGAGGGGGGGTTAAAAGAAAACTGGATTCGGCCATGACAGTACCACTTTAACTGCATGTTCTCACTCTATTACAAACTGTGGCGCTATGTTACTAATAATGTCTTGCTTAGTTTGAGGAGCCTGTGTGTCTCGGTGAATTCAAATTCCTAGGACCTGCATGTCCTTAATTTCATCTCCTACCCATAACTATTGAAAACTCTAATAAACAGATATTCATCTAAAAATTTTGAGGAACATTACTCTGGCACTTGAGTAACAGTGCAATGTTCTTAACTGTACTACATCTGTTTGATAATTTCCTATACATTTTATTTTAGGTGTTTGACCTTGCAGACTCTTGCAAACTTGTCTGTCAAGTTGATATTCCTGCTGATGAGAGGCCCATTCACAAAAATTATTCTATCCTGGTATCCAGAAATTCTGTGAAAGATAACATTCTATTTGCTTACAGGTAAGGCAAAATGCACAAATGGTAACTATACTTTTTACCTTAGTATAGCTGCAGTACACTAGGGATGTCCTGAATACCAGTGGACAAGTAGCCTCCAAATAAAATAGAACAATAATAAATCCCACCGACTTGCACCTTAAAATGGCTTCCTGGAACATCAGTAATAGGGAGAAAAAAATACACTTAGCCCGAAATATATGCCAAAGTAACAAATTTATTAGAAAAGGGGGAGAAGGATATATGTACTGCCACTATACTAATGAAAAAAATATGGTAAAATTTAGCATATAACAGCAGAACACTAGGGACATAGCAAGATCCAACAAAGGGAGAGTCAGTTTAAGTAACCACGGCTTGAAGCATCTTATGCCCTGAAAGATGCTTCTGCTAAAGAGAAGATGTCTAGCCTGTAATGAAAGATCACTCATTACCAACCCTAATTTGGCCACTATGGAATGATGGCTATTTTTATATTTTGAGTGTGCCTTTAGTATGAATGTTGATTTAATATTGGGATAGAAGACAATCTCTGAGAACTGACACTTCCCTGGATTTTCAATACTATGCTTACTTATGAGAAAATAAGAAATATCTATTTGTGAGGTGTGAAAAATAAATTAAATGTAGAAACCCTCTTGGGGTGCCCCATCTTAACTTTCTGTCAATCATTGTTATAAGCCTATAATATATATTTAGAAGAAAACTGAGAATCCTGTGAAAACGGATTAAAACAAGCTATAGGTGATATCAATATTTTGCTCAGTGGTTTAAAATTCAATAAAGTGATAGTTGCCCAATAAAAGCCTTTCGTTAGGAATTTTCTAAAGGCCCACTTCACATTTAGATTGTCGCACACTTACACACTCAAGCCACATTTTCTACTTTTAGAGCTGTAGCTTGACTCCACTAGAAAAAGAAAATGCCTTATAATGAGAGCAAGATATAGTAAGTAATTTGCATGAATACTAAATAGTCAGGAGAAGAAACATATCAATAGCACAAATGAAAATGCAGTGGGGTCAATCCATCGACAAATTAAACAAATGTTAACAAGGAATATAAAGTGTAATCAAAAGCCATGCTCTATATGTTGCCCCCTGCTATAGAGGCAGTATAGGAATGTAGGCTAACTGGAGGAGTTTAGAAGTGTGCAAAAGAGGTAATTGGGACAAATAAATAAATAACATAATTGGGATCAAACGAGTAACTACAAATTTAAAAATGAATTGTACGCGATGCAATACAATAGGATACAGAGTGTGTCTTATTTTAAAAGCATACATTATGTATGCAAATTATATTATGTTCCAACATGTGCAAACTGTAAAGAGACAAATATAGTCCTGTAAATTAATATTATTATTTTTTTTTTTTTTAAAGAACAATATGTAAGGCAAAGTCTGGTGATATAGTAGAATAAAATAATGATTCCCGGTGTATTATGCTGTTACCCTTGCTACATATAGATTTAATGATAATTCACTACCCAACCACTGAACATTAACATGTTAAGGATTTTACACAAAGAAAAAGAAAGTCCTTATTAACAATGTGATTAGAGATTTGCTCATATTTACACAGAGAAACAAAAGCTTTCAGCAGAACTGTGTAATTTTCTTGTTGGTGTGACTGCTGGCAGAAGAATGAGCCATGTATAAATCTTCTGAAATTCTATTGTGTGGTCTTTTTTTTTTAAATCTTTGCAATAGGAGCGGTAAAGAAGCTATGGTGCTGAGTGCCAAAAGAGGGGCCGTTGTTGCAAAACTAACCACACAAAACCCAGTAGCATCTATTCAAGGAGTGGCCGTAACTAAGGAATACTTCTTAGTCATTTGCAGGTAAAAAAATATCAGCTGCCAACAATGTGATGCAATTTTCTCTAGGATAGAGATATAGACTTAATTCTATCATGTTCCTTGGCACCTAGTGTTTTTTGGCATTGAGTATTATTAATAATCTGTAGTCCTTTATAGTTGGAATACATTTATGGTTTACATGCTAGTTGTCAGAGTCTCAGTTGTAGTAACTAAAGTAGTCCACTAAAGGATGTGAAACAACCTGAGGATACGTAAGGATTGATGTCCCTTGTATACCCAGGAACAACAACATATGTTTAGATCATTAAGAAAATTTAAGATTGAAATCTGCTTAGCTGGGCCATAGATGTTTTACTATCATCATCATTATTCTATCTATGATATACTGATTATTATTAATGTAGCTCCTTGATTCATCAAACAATTTGGTGCACAATGTTGTCAACCAAAAGCAGCACTCATACTAACGTAGATGACTTTCTATGTTTCTGGTTTTTAAACATGCAAATTAAAAAACGCTGGAGGTGAAGCAACCACTGCATGGAATGTGCGCGTACTCAAAGCTGCAGCAAGAGGTGGTCATGGAGAATATGGAACAGTTAAGCGGAGAGAGGGATCTTGTTGGAAAACTAGTTAAAGAAATGTAAAACACAATTCATGGGACATGGTGAAAAGAGACTCTGATGTAATGCCTTTTAATCAGTGTTCAAACGAATCAATCTATCCAGGATTTACCTGTGGAGTTTTATTGAATGAATTAGACTTCATAGGTAAATGAGAGCAAGGAAGAACTGTCTTTTCTAGATCTTAAGGTCACATTTCTGACATCATAGATTTATTTATGTTCTAGCCCTTTTACATTGCATAATCTGTCATTTTCTCTTATATTTTACAGATACCCATCTCTGAAGATGCATGATATTGTACACATAGAACTGTTCAGTGTGCACACGTTTGCTTACATACGTACAGTGAAAGGGTGTGGGCATGATTTCATTACAAAGTTTGCTGTGAACCGACAAGGATCTCATGTCATTGCCTTTTCCCAGTTACCCAACACCAACATCACTGAAATATTGGTTTGGAATTTGGAAACTGAAGACCACAAGCATATGGCAAAATTCTCATCAGTTCCTAAAGGAGGTTGGTATTAATTTAAAATTACCAAAACCCTTTGGACTTTTCATGTGTGCATTCAATGAAAAGCATCATCATCAATAATCAATCTTCAATCGGTACTCTATGTAAATGTAATCATTTCAAGTCATGTGTCTCTATTTCTGGCATTTTATAAAATAATAAAGACTTACATTTCCCATTTTGTAGGATTATGCTTTGACCTTCGATACTGCCTGGCTGTCTGTGAGGGAGAGAACTTCTTGCGATCGTGGAACCTGGCCAGCCGTATAAATGACCAGTCTCTTACAGTGAATATTAATAAAACAAAAAAGACTGATGGAATTCAAGAGGTTATTACTATGAAACATTTCCCTAGGTAAGCTGTTGTGTTAACAGACAAATCATGAGTACCGAATTTAAAAAAAAAAAAGTATAACAATTTCTTGTTGACAGACAAAGTTCTGTAGATTCAATGATGCAATGTTAAGGAACCACTTTCCCAAATTCTTTCTACCTCTCTACTCATCAATACATTACTGAAAACTAGACAGTAGTGAAATTCTAATACTTGATGAACTTGAAACACCATTGTGGTTCTGTGATCCATACATCAACAAACATATCCAGATTAGTTGTTTATTGGCATGATACACAGCCTTGATCATAGGTGAAAGTGCCAGCAAGAACCCTTGAGTAGGACAGTCCTAATCCAATAATTATGTGTTTTCTGTTACACATTGTATCGCCAGGAAATTCACAATTGGTTCTTCTATACTTTTTATTTTCAAAAATTCACACTTTTAACAAGATAGCGCAAGAAGTTAGAAAAAGGGAACTCATTTATGTCCTTAAATACATTGCAAGTTAGGTTTCCCAAAACCTCCATATTATTAATCATCCACTAAGCACAAAGTCAATGGTATATATCATAAATTGCAAAAATGATCATAAAAATGTCAAAAACATCTTAAAATAACAGTCTGTTTCCTTAGTTGGGTTCCTGGCGGACCTGTGGTTAGTTGCACAATATAAACTACTTAACTACACAGAAAAATGTTATATCAAACAGACAAATAACCTATACACAAAATGGACAAAATACACAATTACAATTGCCTTCCCCAGGCTAATTCTCTCTCAAGGAGTCTATACACCTGTACACTCTAATGCATCCCTGATAGATCAAACCACTTCATAGGCTAAACACAGAATGCCACATGGGCAGTGCTTTAAGATGCCAAAAGTAGTCAAACTGTTTTAGAATAGTTTGACCTTTTACCTGGGATAATTAGATGCAACTCTCCACCACCACTACAGCGACCAGACAGCTGGAATCTCCTGTTAATCTCTAAGTAGTCTTAGCCAGGATTATCTCAGACAGAGAGCTTCCAGAGCTGTGCCCTTGAGACCCCAGGTAACAAGTCAAGCCATTCTAAAGTAGTTTTACCATTTGTAGTTATGTAATAGTTATGGTACTTGGAGTGTTACTTTAAAGGGAAACTATAGTCACCGGAACAACTACAGCTTATTGTATTTGTTCTGGTGAGTATAATCATTCCTTGTAGACTTGTTGCCATAAACACTGTATTTACAGAGAAAAGACAGTGTATGCATTGCCCCCCATGGACACTTCCAGTGGTCATTCCTCAGATGGCTACTAGAGGTGCTTCGTGGGGCAGTGCTGCACAGCGTGCAGCACAACATTCAGGGTCTCCACCCACTGCATAGAGACACTGAACATTCCCCATAGAGCTTATTAATTTAATGCATATCTATGGGCAAATGCTGATTAGCCAGGGTGGCGTTTGGCTACGCCCCCTAGCCCACCTTCTCGGTTGAGATCACCAGAACTGATATTATAAGCCAATCCAATGCCTTCCTTCTGATGATGTAAGCCAAGGGGATCAGGGGGACAGTGGGGCTAGATAGTGATTTAAACACTATAGGCTCAGGAATACATGATTGTTTTCCTGACCCTATAGTGTTCCTTAAAGTCTTTGTTTGTAATTTCTAAATCAGAACCATTTATTTTCATAAAAGGGAATGATGTGAGTATTTATGGGGCAATTACAAAGTTATTCCCTACAAAATTTCTAAAAGTCAGATGCTCTAAAGATTGGGTTTATTGGCATTTGCTGATATAAAATCACCTTAAAAATAAAGTGAATGGACTCCCGGAGCTGGCTAGTGACTGAATGTGTGATAAAACCTAATAGGTATTAAAACAGTGAAAAGTGGAAAATACAAAAAGGATAGAGAAAAGAAAATGAATAAGATATGGGACAATCAAGAATAGAAATCCAATAAATAAAGTAAAAGGAAGAAAATAATGTGTACTGTACCTTTAAAGTGTAGTGATGGATAATACAAAGTATGTGAAGAAAAGTGAGAAATAAGGTTGTAATATAGGTGAAAGATAAAGAGACCTGGACAACTACAAATAGATATAGATGAAAATGGAGATGGAAATAAAAATATAGATAAAAGTGACCACAAAGGTGAAAATGGAAATACAGATAAACCGCAAAAACAAATTCCTTGAAGGCAAATGTGCAACTCAGGTACCTCAATCCCCAACAGAAATGAGGGGTAGATGGTATCTGTTTTAGATTCATATACTTTGTATTGACAAAGACCACAAAAAATGAAAAGTAGCAAAATCAAATTGTCAAGCGTTACAGTATATAGAACTGTAAGCTTAGATACTTAGTATAGTAATGAGCTGAAGCAACGTAACACTGAATGAGTTAGCAAAAACAGTCCAGTTTATTCAACATAAAAATATATGTAAAAAGTATAAAAATCACAAAATATATATAAAAAAATGTTCATGGATGCATTACCAGGCTTATATGTGTCACAAATCAGCAAGGACCTTCGGATTACAGGAGGATGGATCTGGATATTCTTTGGAAGTTTTGTTGATGTTATTCCGGCTGCCGTTGAGGACGGCGTGTTGCTGAGCGCACGCTCCGAACAAGAGCCTCACTCTTGGTATCGTGCAGAACAGACGGTGCCGGTCGCTAGTATTCCCAAAGGTCCTGCTTGAAAGGTGGAACTACCGCTGGTAGATGCAATCAGAATCTTCCTCCAAAGGAATTGTCTCCAAAGGAAGATTCTGATTGCATCTACCAGTGGTAGTTCCACCTTTCAAGCAGGACCTTTGGGAATACTAGCGACCGGCACCGTCTGTTCTGCACGATACCTATTAGGTTTTATCACACATTCGGCCATCAGTCACTAGCCAGCTCCGGGAGTCCATTCACTTTATTTTTAAGGTGATTTTATATCTGTTTTCTCTATAGGTTTTTGGTGAATCCCTATCTTCTCCTAGTTTGAACGGTCTAATGCTAGTCTGTCTCCCTCTTTCCTGTGTGTTACTCTAGGTATACCAAAATAGCTCCTTTATTGGCATTTGCTATCTCGGACCCCCCAAAAAGTTAGTTTTCATTTGTTCTTCCAAATTTTAATAAAATGTATACTAAAATGGTCTAACAGCAACGGGGCAGATGCTTTATTAATATAAAACAGAATTATCTGAATATTGGAGTAATGTTTGTTCTCTGATGCCAAAATACAGTTTACAGTTGGTATTGTTTTTTATTAAAAGGTATGCAGTTTGTAGAAGTGTGAGGCCTGGAGTAATTACAGTTTGGAACATTGTAAAGTCAAAATGCAAAGGTAGTGCCGTACGAGTGGAGCGTGGATTGGTGGAAAACACTGACGTGGTACTAGTGAGAGACATGAAACTCTTTATCCTTACGGACAGAGGCATGGCATCCTTCACAGACACCCCAAGACCAATTTTTCAGGTATGCAGTATTGATGGGTTTAACATGACACTTTAGGATGTAAAGGGTATTTGTCTTAACAAGTTCACTCCATGTTGTAATCAATTCCTTTTGTACAGAAGGTTTTAATATATGGATGGATTAAAATATTAAGATGTATCAATCAACCTCTTCTTGGATGAAATGCTCAACTATGGAAGAGGATCAGAGTCTGATGAGGGACATTTAGAGCTGATTGTTATTTTGATTTTATTTATTTAAGCACTACTTCATGCATAATGTTCATAAATAATCAACATAAATAATATACGCCTTGAAGTGTCCATTTAGTCTGCATTATATATACACCACCTTAGGTTTTCAGTCTTTGTTGTAAATATATACAAAGAGAGAGAGACACAGACAGATACACACACACACACACACACACACAAAGAAAAAATAATACCAGGTATTTAATATAAAATGTGGGTGAGCAAAGCATGTGTAGCAACAGATTAATTCACTAAATGACGTAAATAGCCCTGCTGCTGTGGAAACCAGTTATGTTGGGAAGTCCGTTTAAAGATCCATGACCATCACAAGTTGAGAAGTTTATTTCTGAGTGTAACTGAGCTCGGCAGGTGTAAGCCTGACAAGTATAGCTGTACATAGTGTCACTGTTTGCAGCTATAATTAGTGCAAATAGTAAACAAACAAACTTGCTAAGTCAGTCTGTGAGACCTTAGCATGTTGCAAGAGAGGCCAGATTAGCTCGTTTGCACTGTAGCATGAACACTGGTAAAAGGGCTTTTTTTTTAACCCATGAACCCATGATGTCATTTAACTAATACCTAATAGTCTTATTGTTTCTATGGTTTCCTACAGTGTGTTTGCGATCCGGTCACAATCCTTTATTAATTGATGTAGCAGCAAAGTTACACCAATTGATGAATATTGCCTTTGCTGTGATTCACAAAGAAAAAAGCCCTGCAGGCCTTAGCGAATTGATGTGCTTGTCAATAAACTTGTTTTCCCCTAGTATACAGTTTCAAAATAAACAGATAATTATATACACTAATTGTTCCAAACACTACTTACGATCAGGTTCACTTTTTTAGTTTCCATGTAAATAAGAGTATAGAATGATGATGCAGAATGAATATATCACAAATTAATATTCTCTTTCCAGGTAATATCTTTCTTGGTGTAATGTCTGAAGCTCTGGGTCAGTAATTTATGTATTAGAAACATTTATGTTTGTAAATCCTAATCATGTTTAAATATTGAACTGAAAATAAATAACAATCAATCTTGTTTGCTGTCCATAGATGTGTTACTCAAAAAGCTGTCTTTTTTATATCACAGACTCTGCTTACATATGACTTGCTGAAAAAAAAATACATCCGTAAACAGACAGGCCTGTACGTGATACCGTGTCCAAAACATGAATATAGGGTGCTTGAGGGGGGATTGCTACTGGGGCTATCTGAAAATAGGTGAGTTAAATACTGCACGTTCTATATTCAGTAGTACAACAGTGTGATTCACTAAATAGCTTGGATGACGACGACATTCAGTGATGATGTAATAATTATAAACCCCCTTCATTATACTAAATGGTTTGCTTTTTCATGGGATTGTGGTTTCCTGGTTGGAAAGAGTACATTATTTTCCTGACTGTAAGGTGGGGCAAACTATTTAAGGATTTTCTATTCATAACGGAGTGCTGTTTCCAGGGCAAATATTAAAGGGACACTACAGTCACCCAGACCACTTCAGCTCAATGAAGTGGTCTGGATGCCAGGTCCCCCAGGTTTTAACCCTTCAGATGTAAACATAGCAGTTTCGGAGAAACTGCTATGTTTACATAGCAGGGTTAAACCAACCTCTAGTGACCGTCTCCCTGACAGCTGCTAGAGGCGCTTCTGCGACAAGGGAGTGGGATCCTGATGATGGGGGGGGGTGTCAGGAAACAAGTTTGTTTTCATGACACTATAGTGATCCTTTAACCCCTTAAGGACACATGACATGTGTGAAATGTCATGATTCCCTTTTATTCCAGAAGTTTGGTCCTTAAGGGGTTAATAAATTTTATTTGGGTTTAATTGTTAGAGACGGATTTGAAGAGACTCGACACCCAATGTCAACATATATTTAAGGGCATTGAAATGGAAGCACATATTCTTTTTTTTTTTGTTTGTTTTTTGTTTCAGGGCCCTCAGTATCGGTTGCATTGATTTATTAAAATGTTTCTGCGAGAATCTTTTACACAACAGCCTATGATAGTGGTTATTTAGAGTACCCTGACATAGTTCCCTCGTAATGGGGCAAGCTATTTTGCATGGTTTTGTCTCTTACCAGGGTCCTGCTGGTTGCTGAGCATCTCTGTATAGTGACTGAACCACATCCGTGGTTCTGCATAGCTGTAGATTTCGGATGACAATCCTGCTGCTCATTCATTGGCTGAGAGTGTCAGCTCAGTACACTCAACCTATGAATGAGCATCTGTGAATAACATATGCACTGAATTGACATTAGCCAGCCAGAAACTCTAATGATGGTTCTGTGGATGGAGTTAGGCCTCTGGCAGGTAGCCCAAATTACTCTGTATGTGCACTGTTGAAAACAAAATAATGCACATACAGGCCCCTTGCACCATGACCACTTCAAATCACTGATGTGTTAATGGTGCTTGCAGTTACCCTTTAAGGAGGGTAGAGTCAGAAATTAAGGACTCCCTGATGGAATAATTCATTGTAAGCACAGGGCTGTTTGAAAGAATGAATGATCTGGGGATGCCGGCTCTTCCACCCCGTCATATTATCCCTCCTATCAACGTACATTGGGTGGGGGAATATGAGTTGAACAAGGATCCCTGATTGATTTTCTTTTTATGTCACCCCAGATCTCCTTGCATTGGGGAATGGAGGAGTAGACAACTGTATTTTTATGGCTTAGCAGTCATCATATTATTTCATTTCTTACCACCCACATAGGGTCTGCAACTTCCTTCCTTATTTTAGTTATTAAAGGGTCCCAATGAGCTGATTTCTCCAACATCTGTCTCTGAATTTGTTCCTCTTCATAAACCATGGGACATCTTTTTCTTAGCACGATCCTTATTTTCCACAACTCTGAGTGATCTGTGTTTGGTAATTTCGATGCGATCTTTCACATGTATACTTGCACGCATACATACATTACTAGCCAGTCACACACACACAATAACTGACAACACACTCACAAATATATACATCAATACAAAAATTCACACCTCAAGGTGAAGAAGGGGCTGGGAATAGAACATTTGATTTCTGTAGCATGGACCGTAGCCTCTAGAGGAAAATGACCTGTCTCTATGATGCGGTATAGGAAACAATTTTTATTTACGATCCCCCTTGCACACGTATTAAGTTTGCCAAGAGGATGACATCTCATGTTCCCTTCTTCTCACTCTCTGATACACGATTCCATGTGGGAGTGAAGGAAAGCTGTCTCTGCTACCACAGCATGCAGAGACAGCATATTTCAACAAAATGTATTGAAGAGCTTCTCGGACAAACTACATTTCTGGACAATTAAAAAATGATTTGATTTTCCCCATATTTCTCTCCTTGAGAGTCATTATAGATGTGAAAGGAGGGGACATCCTCAATGCTTCTTGCAAAACAGGGAATTCATTATGCACTACAAATAGTGCAGTTAAGAGATTAATCCCAATTATGTTTATTTATGCTGTATTATTGTAAATGTGAATTGTTATGTTTTGCATGAAACAAGAAAACATGTAACAAATTAGACTTTGCTAATGTAATATACTCTTTCCTGTAGGGACCATTTTGTTATTTGGGATTTGGAGACTGGCTTTATAAAGCACCGCTTAAGGCCACAATTTAAAGACAAACCTTCTTCTTTAGACCATGATGTTTATAAGGAGAACCTACAAAAACAAGTTTTATTGCGAAGACAGAAAAGAAAGGACACAGGTATTTTATGAAAGGCTGAACTTGATGGACTTGAGTTTTTTTTCATCCTATATTACTATTTATATATGTAAAGTACCTGCAGGGCTGCCATCAGAAATTTTGGGGCCCCTGACACAGCTCAAGGTCTGAGCCCCCCAGTGCCTGCACCCAAGTCCGTCCGTCTCCCGAGTCCACCCACAGGGATGCAGTGTCTGCAGGGCCGGTGCAAGGATTTTTGCCGCCCTAGGCAAAAGTAAAGTTTGCCGCCCCCCATGTGACATCACAATGCCCCACCCATATGATCTGCCATGTTAACTAACACAGTGCTGCAGTGCCGCCGTGTTTACAATAAAAGGCCTGCAGGGACAGGCTATAGACACCAGAACCACTACATTAAGCTGCAGTGGTTCTGGGGACTATAGTGTCCCTTTAATGTGAGGTAAATTAGAGATTAGTGCCACGAATAATATACTAGATTGCCTACTTACAACCAGATGAGGATGATGATGGGCTCTAGCTGCCGTCTGGCTCCACTGATCTGGTGTAGAACAGGCTCTCTGGAGGCGGTTTGTAACTGTGGTCACAAAAATCAATGTTCTGGGAGAACGGGAAGCAGCTCCATTTTTTTGAGGGCCCTTTACACAGCTCAAGGTCTGGGTCCCAGGGTCCACCTTCATGTTCCACCAATGAGTTTGTTCACAGGGGTGTGTGTGTGTGTGGGGATGTCCTGATGTGTGTAAGGAATGCATTGTGTGAATCTGTGTTTGTATGTGTAAGGGCTGCAAGGTGAGTTTGTGTATGTATGGGATGCAGTGTGTGCGTCTGTAAGGGATGCACTGAGTGTGTGTAAGGGGTGCATTGTGTGTTGCTGTGTGTAAGGGATGCATTGCTTGTGTATGTGTGTCTGTGTGTAATGCATTGTGTGTTTTTCTGTGTGCAAGGGGTGCATTGTGTGTGTGTGTGTGTGATGGATATCAATCTCTCCCCCTACCCCCTCAATTTCCTTCTCCCCCCCCTCCAATTTCCTTCTTCTCCCTCTCTCTCCAATTTCCTTCTTCTTCCCCTCCCTCTCATTGCCTTCTTCCCCCTCCAATTTCCTTCTTCTCCCCCTACCTCTCGTTTCCTTCCTCTCCCCCTCAGTTTCCTTTCTCCCCCCCTCTTCCTCTCCCCCCTCCAATTTCCTTCCTCTCCCCATCCAATTTCCTTCCTCCCTCCCCCCCTCAAATTTCCTTCCTCTCCCCCCCTCAAATTTCCTCCCTTCCCTCCCTCTCCCCCCTCACTCCCTCAAATTTCCTCCCTTCCCTCCCTCTCCCCCCCTCAAATTTCCTCCCTTCCCTCCCTCCCCTCAAATTTCCTCCCTCCCTCTCCCCCACTCAAATTTCCTCCTTCCCTCTCCCCCCCACACCCTCAAATTTCCCTCCCTCCCTCTCCCCCACTCAAATTTCCTCCCTCCCTCTCCCCCCCCTCACTCCCTCAAATTTCCTCCCTCTCCCCCCACTCACTCAAATTTCCTCCCTCCCTCTCCACCCCCCCACCCCACTCAAATTTGAGTCCGGACCCCCCAGGACCGCCGGGCCCATGACAACCGTTGCGGTTGTCATGCCCTGATGGCGGCCCTGAGTACCTGCATAATATATGTTTCACTAGGATAACCAAACACATGGAAATTTTAACGTTTAGAAAGTTTTTTTTGTTTTTTTTTATTGTTAACTTACAATTGGAGTAAAAAGATAGATCTTCATAATAAATGGTCAGAAAATGTATTGACTTTCTAGACACTCATCACATTTTCTGACGTATCTGATATTTGATACATTTTTAAAAACATTTTATTAAGAGAATTTTGTAGAATGTTAACATACTTCACACATTACTTATATTATTATTATTATTATTATTTTATTATTTATATAGCGCCAACAAATTCCGTAGCGCTGTACAATTGGGATATTATTGGTTACTCTTATTATCTATTGCCTAATGATGGAACAACTGTCACGAGTCTAGACAGAGTCCACAGATCTTGGAGTCCTGAAGGTTCAAGGCAAAAGAGAGAACTGTTGAGAAATCTCAATGATTTTAATGGCTTTTAAACATTTACAGGCCGGTGAGTTAAATCAGTGGGCTAATGCATCATCAGTAGAATCTGTTCAACCCTTGGGTCACAGGTTCAAATTCCAGCAGGGTTGACACAGCCCTTCATCTTTCTGAGGTAGAGAAAATGAGTACCATTAAATTGGGTAATAGCCCCTGAATGTTGGGCTAAGTTAATATCCCCAGGAGTAATCTGAATTTAACTTTCCTGGTTAAATACTTTGTTGTTATTATTTATAATAGAATAAAAGGGGATAGGATGGAAGAAACATGTGGGAGTGCAAATGACTATTTTGATAAATATATTTAAAAAGTTTACAAAATGAAGTAATATCTTAAAAATACACCAGAGGGTGCTAGACACCAGGCATATAAAAATAGTTACCAATCTTGTAGCTGTAAATGCATACCATACTTAGAAGTTAAAGCAAACAATTTATGCCAGTACAAACATGTAAAATAACATAAGCTAAAATACAGAGAAATAAATACATACAAATCACTTAATATGTTCCACTAGGGAACCAAAGTCCAGGACCAACTACTAATACTTAAACCAAACTGCAGTAGAAGCCCCACTATTTGTGACTCCTCGGGGCTGTTGTACCTTAGTATAAAGAGTAAAAAGTGGTGGACATCGAAAGTCTTGTGCACAGTGTTCCATTTCGCTCAACGCATTGGGTTCCCGTTGCAGTCGCGACTTCCTCAGGAGTCAATTCCAAAAATGTGTGATAAATTTAATTGTAAATGAGTAAGGAATACCATATCATTATATGACAGAACGATCAGTGGATGGATTTTTTTTTAGAGTTTTGTTACTATATTATGTGCAACAATGTACTCATATGCTATACAATGCATTTTTGTTTGTTTATCCAAAAAATACTTATTTCATTATGGACATGTCTGTTCTATTACTGGGTTCTGAAAAAAAAATGGATTTTAAACTTTTCTATGGCTTTTGCCCATGTTGAGTAGGATCATAATTTGAAATTGTAAAAGCCAAGGTAACAGGCGCACAAATTGGTAAAAATCTCTGAATTGCAGATTACAGAAGAGAAACCTATACAATACAAAATATAAAAAACATCATAGTGTAGTATGTTCAGATATATTAAGTAAGTGAAGAAATTGGAGCACTCCCGAATTTAAGAGCCATTTAGAAGCTGACTCTAACTGTGTAGGCGTTTTCTCAATACTGAGTTGATGTTTTAGAAGTCAGGTCCCATCAGGTACACCAGTTTCATATGGACAGTTACTCAGGAACCAGTATAGTTGAAAAAAAGCTTTTATTTCAAAGTTTAGTATAAAAGATATATAAAACCAAGGAAATACCTGTTTAGTAAATAGCACAACATGTTTCAACCTCTAACATGCATATAACAGAACAGTGCTTACAACTTAATATATGCAGAAAATAAATAAGCCTAATTAGGTCCGGGTGCGTTAATTACTTCAAATTAATGCCCCTTACCATATAAGGACAAATTCCGATCACAATTTGCTGTACTAAATTATCTCACTTGATAAACACAAAATAATATCTTTTTCCAATTCCTAGTTCTTCTCACTCCATGGGAAAGACGTAACGAGACCAAAACTGCAAAGCGGCGGCGTCAGGAGAAGGAGGTTCAGCAGGAAGTGGAGAAACTTTGGCAGCTGCTCAATGAGAAGAACAATGCTATCGATCAGTACTTGCTTAGTGACAATGAAAAGGTGATGAAATTTCTAGAAATCCTATTGTCTTCTCGTGAATAAATAAATGGCATATTCTAAATTATTTATACATTACAATCTCAGTGGATACATAGGACATTTTAAGTGATTGTGTCATCAAGAGAAAAATGTATTTGTTTTTAAATGACAGTCCACATTTTAACTTCATTGATCATATTTTTTTTTATTATTCACAGAAATTTGTAGACTTGTTTCATAAGTACTTGTATGGGAAAGCTAGTTTGTACATGCCCATTATCACAGAAAGAAATACAACTGCTCTTATGGATATACTGACTTTTTAAACATATTATTTCTCCTCTTTTAACACATAAATCTAACATCAATGAAGATTACCAAGAAGATTAGTAGTGTGTAAGTGTCCTTAAAGCGGCACTGTCATGGCTGATTCCAGTTGTTTTTTTTTAACCACCCCTCCCGACTCCACTACATCTAATTTGACCCCTAGTCACAACCAAATGCCCCTAAGCCCCCCATATTACCTATCTTTTAAATGTTTATTTTCTGCCTGGATGTAGGTCCTGGGCGCCGCCATCTTTGTGTGGGTAGAGTAAGTCCCTGTGGGACTAGATAGCGCTGTGAAATTCCCACGCATGCCCAGTTTAACATTTGGGCATTCGCTACGGGAATTTTGTGCATTCATTAATTCGTCAGAAAGATGAATGAATGAACAGAAATTTCAGCCGAACAAACAAACATCATTTTACTTGCTATTAGTAAAGATGGCTGAAAGACCAATCTTGGTCTTCAGTCTTTTGGTAGATAGCATCCTAATAACGTGCAAGATGCAGCCGCAGCATTCAAATTAAATTCAGTTCCTAACAAAAGTCTTGAATTTCGTTCTAATACGAATGGACGAACTGCTCTCATACTGCTAGGGCGAAATTCTGTAGTTTTGCCGGCATTCATGAATATGGAAAGGAAGCATCGCGAGAATACGGAGGAAAGGTGAGAATTGTTGGAAAATTGCTCTGACCACCAGAAATGAAGCACACTTTACTCCTCCGCTGGTCATAGATGGTCAGGCATAGGAAACCTACATAAGACAAACAGACCCTACTTTGTCTTATGTTTTAAAGAAAACTAGAGCAGACATTAAGAAATTAAGCTTTAGTAGTGTGTGGAACTGCACTCACTCCCATAAATCTGAGCCAGGGTGCTTGCTGAACCGTAATCAAACACCAGATTTCCAAAAATTAATAAAGTAATAGAAGTCCAGGCACTCCTTGGTTCAAGACAGGTACTTTATTAGGAACCACAACAGCAACGTTTCGACCCCAAAAGGTCTTTGTCAAGCTTGACAAAGACCTTTTGGGGTCGAATCATTGCTGTTGTGGTTCCTAATAAAGTACCTGTCTTGAACCATGGAGTGCCTGGACTTCTATTACTTTATTAAGAAATGAAGAACAGACCCTGAGAGAGGGAGAGAAGAGAAAGCGATTAGGGAAAGGTAAGTTCGGCATGACAGTGCCGCTTTAACTGTGGGGTTCAGGGCTATCCCAGATATGTATGTATAATTTTTGTAAAATAACACAATGGCATCAACAGTCCCTAACCAAACTGACTGCTAGTTTGTAGATAGTCACCTCTATACCTAAACAGCTTAGCATTAGTGGAAAAATACACAGAATATTTGCTATCTAAACAGAAGGGGCACAGTCTCTCTACAGCCTGTTGAAACAAACTGATATTTCATCTGAACGCTGGTCACAATTCAGTCTTTCATAAATGTAATCCAAATAATAAAGTACCAATGTCATAACAGTAAAACAAACTTGTCAACCGTATTTCAATATCCTCTGAGCTTTTTCATTGCCATTGAAAAAGCTCAGAGAAGAGTGAAACGTACTTGGCTGAACCAAGTGAATACCAGCCATTTAGCAGCCTGGGATCAGATACACTTTTATACAGTGTTGCCAATCAGACTGTTATTTTCCATCTCTCGCACCCCTGGATACCGTGACATCACACAAGCATGCTCAGTGTCATCACGGCTTGCCATAGAGAATCATTTTATTTAAAGATTCTCTATGATAAGATTTTGATCGGCGGATCAAGCTCCTATGGTCCTCTATGAAGTGCATTGGACTAGTATCCTGGAGGTACGGCTCCAGAATGACGTCATGTAAGGTCAAGCCTGCAGGAGCACCGAGGGAGACTTAGCGCTGGAGAAAAGGTGAAAAAAGGGTATATTTGAATTTCAGTGCAAGTGCGCATTTTGTTTAGATTTTATTTTATATTGGATAGGTTTGAAAGCATTTTCCAGTCATGGAATCCTTGCTGCTATTATTATATTATTTCTTTCTTTTTTCGAGGTGCTACAAACTGACATGTTTTATGTTTACCTCGTATTTACTAGATAGTTTTACTGTAAAACTTTATTGGGTTATGCCTTTATGCCATTTTTATGCTGCATTAGATCACCTGACTATATAATGTAGTAAGAGTAAACTGTATTGGATTCCATTTACTATATTTTCAGGTGATTGTGTGCTCATACTATGCGCACCATCTCTGTGTATTTAGCCTGGAGACCATGAGCCATCTACATACGTTGGAAGACAGAACGTCAATGCTCTTCCTTCATAGTGCAGCACTCACATACAACGGAAGCTTCCTCGTTCTCTCCAACTACTGTGACACTGACAAGATCAGTTATGTGACCTTGTGGGACCTTCGCAATGGGCTGGTAATAAGTGCAATAGGATTGTTACTTTGTAATGAAATATGAAGACAAAAGTCATAGATACCAGTGGTTTTTACCCCCTGGGTTGAGGCCTAAGAGTGGATCTCCATGATTTTTCAGTTAGTCCACAATGTTTTCAACAGGTTTATCATATTCATGAGGTTGCAGTCAACTGCCCGATTAACTTGGGTTTTTGTAATGCTTTCATGATACCAGTTGTTCAAGCATAACACATAATACATTTTGTATGTTATAATAGCAAAGTAAATTTATACATAATATTTTTTTCTACCTGCATACTGTGTGTTCTGTTGTTAACACAAGATGGCTGCCATATATAATGACTGGAAATATTACATATTCATATGAAGAAAAAAAAAAACATATTTTGGCCACATTCACAAAAATGTTGTCTGTGTTACTTAAATTATTGTTCAACTATAAATCAAACAGATATGTGCTCTATCTGGTGGCCGCAACACTTAATGTTATCTACTAACTAAGAGTTTAATTATTTTAAATTAAACAAGATACAACTCTATTAATTATTAAACATAAATACATATTTTATTTATTTAACGTAAACTGCTCAAAATTGGTATAGTTTGTTTGGAGATCTGGCTTTGATGTTGTTATGTCAGTAGCATTTATTTATATATTTAGCATGTTTTACAAATTTGGTAAATAACCATGAGTAGAGTTTCAGACAGAGCCATGTATAATTAGATATACTGATAATTAGTAGGGAATATAGATGGCATATATTTGTTAGACTTCCTCGAATTCCTTGTTTTCATTAGAAGAAAAAACAAACAAATATATAGTGTGTAACATTGCATTCTCTTTCATGGTATAATGATTTCATTTTTTTTTTACTTACAGGTAAAGAAACGACTAAAGAACGAACCAAATGTTTCTTGTATGGCACTTACTGATGATGCCAGTCGAATTGTTTTTGGTGTGTCCTTGGGAAACATGTAAGCCATAAATATAGAACAGGTCGATTTAGATACTATTGGTGGAGGGAAGCTATTTTCCTATAGTTTCATTTCTCATTTTAGAGAATTATTTCCTGGAAGCTGGCTAGACTACAGGGGACGTTAAGACACCTAGAACACGTCTGCTCACTTGTATCTAGTTTGGCCCTAACATACTAAAAAATTCTGCATGTGATTTTATAGTATTCCGTTTTTTACAAACCCCTCTAATGTTCTACCTGCTATTCTTAAGATCAGTGGCAGACAGGGTAATTTACTGAAGAGAGAATTAAAAATGGATTTCACGGGGGGCGTGGCTTGGACGCCAGACGAGATGGCGGCATAGACCGAGAGCTCCCCGCTGGTTCAGCACGTGTACCCACCTAAATAGCACTTGAGAAAGCAATAATGTGTAAAACACACAAGCCCGCACAGGGTAACCACCCGATCAACACCCCACGTGGATCCCAAACGACGGGAATGCACCAATTCCTTACAACACAAGCCGACCAAGCCTCTCAGGCCTCAAATGATTCAGAGGCCTCGGGCCTATCCCGCCCAGCCTCACCAGGCGGGAGCCTACCTGCTAACGCTTCGCAAACTCCAAATACACAGTCGCTGCAACCGGAGTGGATGACGCTACTCCACAATCTACCTACAAAAACGGATCTGAAAGAGGCGAACGTGGCGCTCCAAAAATCCGTTACGTGGGAGCTGCATGCTCTCAACGGGGACATACATTCAGCATAGGCTTCCTCAACTTGAGGCCACATGGCGACGGCACAGTCTGCGAATACAGGCATAATATAGAAACAAGAAATGCAACTTCGCCAAATGGCATTACACGTAGAAGATCTTGACAATCGAGGAAGAAGGCTAAATATACGGGTCAGAGGCCTACCGGAGGAACTGGACCAGCAGGCAGCGATAAAAGACACTAACTGAATTATTTAACACTCTCCTGCAAAGGCAGACAAGCACACCCATCGAATTCGTCAGGGCGCATAGAGCCCTCCGTCCACAAGGCCCACCTCCATCCACAAGGCCCAAGGGATGTCATATGTTGCTTAAGCCACTTCCAAAGGAAGGAAGACATATTGAAAAAGGCAAGAGACATCAAGAAAGTCATCTACAAGGGTGCAGATATTCAACTTTACCCGAAACTGTCTCCAGCAACGTTTGCTTATAGGCAGGCCATGCGCCCTCTTACCAGAACCCTACAAGTTAACAAGATAAGATACCACTAGAATTTCCCAATGGCACATTCAACATGAGAACCGACGGAGACCTGAGCGACCTACAAAGAGAGCTACAACTGCCACCGATACAAATGAAATGGCCAGACCCGATGGCATTCTATACCTTCCCCCCAGAACTGCAACACCAAGCTGCACAACCAATTAGACCAAGAAGAACCTGACAACAAACCACCCGCCCGTCGGGCACCAACATGTGAAGGCCACACGCTTATCGAGAAACCTGGGGGTCCACAAGACACAAGCCTGGGCCATGGACAATGTCCCCCAAGAGACTGAGCGACTAAGAACCTCCTCATAACCGCAAGTATACTGCCCAAGGTGCAGCCTAACAGAGACACTTACCGGGGTACCGAACGCAAGACCAGGAGGGGGGAGAGGGGAAAGCGGAACTTGAACGATGGACCTGCGAAAACTGTGACTGATCTTTATATCTGCATCCTCTCCCCCCCCCTCGAAGTGAAGGGGTACCGATAGTAGTATAGGTTGGGGAGAACAATGGGGAAAGGGGTCCCTAGATATACGAAGGGTTCATAGACAAGCGGCAACCCGACTCACTGGGTGGGGAAGGAGGGGGGAGGGCCTGGCTCCTTACACGGAAACAAAAGTGGCAAACTCCTAGCCACGACGCTGAGAAAACAAAGACAGCAAACATACATCGTCAGAATTAGGGATAAAAGAGGGAAGCTACACTGCCTCCCGACCGATATTCTGACGGCATTAAGAGACTTCTACCTAGATCTCTATACCTTACCTCAACCACAAACCGAAACGGCAAAAGTGCGAATACGGGAGTCCGTTCGGACATATCTCACAAAATATCTGATGCCGACCCTAGATAGGGAGATATCCATGCAAATAGATGACCCAATTACACTGGAGGAACTCGCACAGGCAATTAAACAAACTAAATTGGGCAAGAGCCCGGGCCCAGATGAACTCCCAACAAAATGCTACAAGTCCTTTGCAGAGGACCTTTACACCCCGATGGTGGAGGCCTTCAATGCAATAAGAGAAGGACACCACATACCCAAATAAGCCCTGACAGCCCATATAACCATCATTCCCAAGGACGACAAAGACAGCGAATACTGCGGGAACTAAAGGCCAATTTCACTTATAAACTGTGATATAAAGCTACTATCCAAATCCTGATTCGTAACGGGACGCAAAGCAAGAGACAATACCATCCGGACACTTACCCTCATGCATGGGAGGGGAGGGGACAAGAGAGGCCTTCTCCTGCTATTGACAGACGCAGAGAAGGCCTTTGAAAGGGTCCGATGGACCTACCTATTCGAAACTCTAAAACACATAGGGCTGGGGCCTCACCTATGACGCTGGATAGAGGCACTGTATCACGAACCTATGGCACATATAGTTGTTAATGGGGCACTCATCGAGGTATTTCCCATACGCAACGGCACCAGACAAGGCTGTCCCTTGTCGCCGCTACTGTTCGTGCTGGCCCTGGAGCCATTTTTAACACACGTCAGAAATAATGAGGACATCACTGGCCTAAAGACTGGCAACGTACACCACAAGGTGGCCGCATTTGCGGACGACCTGCTGTTTGTGGTGACCAATCCGGAGATCTCCCTCCCCAATATAATGAAGGCCGTTCAGAGACATCACCAATCTAAAAATAAACCACACCAAGTCATACATTCTCTTACATATCTGAGAACTCAAAGTGAATTGCAAATTTAAGGCCAGAGTAGCTCCACTGAAAGCACAGCTGACCTACAGAATTCTTCTGGTGCAGCTGTTTTCATCTTAAATTTAAATCGAATCTCACTGAAGTGAACAACCCTGTATGTGTATAATCAGAAGCTGAAAATTCACTAAAAATACTATTAAAAAGTGCAACTGGTTAAACTCTAGTTTGCACCTAATGCAGAATGATAAATTAATGGCCCGCCAAGAATTCCGCTTTGCTTGTGGTGCATAGGATTTAGTCAGAGCAAAAGTCAGAAGTGTGTCTTTTACACTATATGAAGACAGAGTTTGTAATTGCATCAGCCTTGTGATTACCATGTGCCTTTTCAGTACCATGGACAGGATAAGAAACAGGCATACCTAAAGGGTTTGTCACTGAAGTGTAAATTCACAGTGGATTTCAAATTGAAAGTCAAAATATCCAAACTGGAAAACATTTTCTAAATCCAGTTTGGCTAGTCTGGTCTTAAATTAGAAATTAACTTTGAGTTCTGATTTAAGAAAATAACCCTGTTAGTGCACTCACCGCTTAGAACTCTTATTCATGTGGTCTTGTGCACACAATTTCATTGTCTGCAAAAAAAATAAGCAATCCAGTTATATGTAGAACTATTTTACAAAATAGAAAGATAATCTAAAATTAAGTGAATAAGGATCAGAAACTTGCAGATTTAACACAAAAATCTGAATAGATTAAGAATAAAATTGCAATAGGAATATATTAAACTACTGGATCATTCTACAAATATATAGACAGCTCTTATATTCCTTTGATAGAAAAAAGAAAAGAAAAAAAACATTCTTTTCTATGAGACTGGTCTTCTTTACATGAAGCTCTACTGTTAAAGAGGCTAATACAGATTATGTATCTGCATTTTAATGAGGAGTGTAGTCATCCAAACATCGGTTTGCAAATTTGCAGTAAACATACATAACTACAAATCAAGATCAGAAAGAAGCCAATATAAGCTTATTATCGATATCTGTGTTTAGTACACAAATTCAGTATTATAGAATGTTGTATTAAACAAAGCATATCTGAGTGTTAATTGTAGTAGAGGTGCTGTGAGCTGTTATAAATTCTATATGTAATCTGCAAATAAAGACAGTCTAATTTTTTTTACATTTAATTAATTTCCATGTTCTCTGGTCAATTTTTAGCCTTAAGGTCTGGGATCCTTTCAGGCATAAACACAAGATCATCCCTGGGTATGACAACTTACACCTCACCATTGACAGCAAGCTTCACGTTATAGAAGGAGGATCAAAGGCAATCTTGCTAGCAGGTGAGTTAATGTTAATTATCATATCCAAATGTCGACTAGGCAAGGAATATTTAACTCTTCTAGATGTTTTATTATTTCATAACTTAAAGCAACACTGTGGTGTTAAGAATACAAATATGTATTCCTAATTCTATAGGGTCCTACTATGTATTTAGGTGACTGCCCAGTAACTTCCCCTGTTTGCAATTAAAAAAATAATTGGGAGGTTAATGCTCATGCGCATAAATAATCACGCTTCGTCAATCAAACGCTCTCTATGAGCAGCATTTGATTTAGAACCAAGTCTGAAGAAGGCCATTAGAGGTTTTAAAACAGCCGAGGCACTGCACCCAGAACACTTCAATGAGATGAAATAGTTTGGGTGCCTAAATTGTACCTCTGATAATATTGTATCAAGCATGTAACGATGAGAGGCTGATTTGACGTTACTGGGAAATTATACCTCTAATTTTAACATTCTGCAGCTATGCTAACTGCTGAGCTGTACGACTAACATTTGCATGTCTCTGATCCAATTGCAATGCATAAGGATTATTGCACATCATATTGCCTTAATTGGGGGTTATTTACTCAACTAGGAAATGTGGGTAAATGATAAAGGAATTGCAACTTATAGACCAAACTAGGAAAATAGCTGAGTTCAAATAATAGCAAAATGTTTTGAAATAAGAATGTTTCCAATAAGCATATTTTGGGTCTAAATTTGTAATTACCCTGCCAGTTCTCCCAAATTCACAGTTTAGTGAATAACTCTGAATGTGTCTGTGTGACTCTAGATGCTATCCCTCCTGACTAGAGAATGTTAGGGTGATTCTGTTATCCAGTGTTATACAGTTAGTGTACTAGGCTTTATATAAAGCACATCCCTCTTAAAGAATTAACATTCCAGATATTACTGCATGTTCTCAAATCTACTCTTACATGTGGAACACAAATAAAAAGAAAAGCATTGACTCGTGTTGATATAACAGAGCATTAATCTAACAGTTTTTGAGAAGTCGTGTGACAAATAAAAGTATGTTTTTCAAAATAAAATGAACAATTTCTTGTGTTTATTCTTATAGGTGACGTTAGCTTGTGGGACCTGGATAATGGAACAGTAGTGTCTGTCTTTTCCCCTGACAGCACAATTTGCTGTTTGTCTTTAGCAACGGACAGAAAGACAATACTTGTTGGTATGAGCGATACCCCTTCACTCATCACTCTTAAGGTAGCATCACAAGACCGAGAAAACACCTATTCCATGGGCGCTGACTTATTTGGAGAGGAATCAACCAGCAGTGAAGATGAGCCTGATGACAAGGAGCAACCTTTAAGCATTTAATTAGAACATGATACTTAAGATGGCTTTTTCAACATTTACATGTTGGAACAAGTAAGGATCTAGCAAAAACTCGATTTGCATTTTCTGCGAACATTAATCCAATCTGCCACAGCACGATTTATACCGTGAACTTTGTAGTATCTTTATGAAAATGTAACTTAAAGTTTAGGTGATCTACCCCACCACCTAAAACTTATAAGTGCGAGTGCAGCGCTTAGAAAGTATTTAACAGTCTTACCCCTTACAAATACAGAGGGTTAGATTCAATATACATGAAAAGAAGGTAAAATAAACATAATATAGTGAATAATTGTTAATATGTAGGTAGTTGGATAGTAATAGATATATATCCAACTCACATGTAATAGAGCCTTTTCACATTATAGGCTCTAAACAGTGTGGCTTTCGTGCCTTTCAATAGGTGGCAGCATTAACCTTTTTCTACCCAGTTGGTTTGGATTGTCTTCACAGTAAGTTGTACAACATAAAAAGAGACTGAAAACAGATCTGGGTGCAATCAGTATGTTCAGGTGAGGGAACCATAAGAAATGATAAAACTTGCTCACCTGGTTAAGAGCCTATTATAAAATGGGCTCAAAACTTGAACTTGGTGTCATATTTGAGGGTGACACTCCCTTCTTTGGAACCAGGAAAACCAGGATACTTCAAACGATGTACAATAAGGTGACTTTAAAAGGATTTATTTTCTAATATAAAACAAAATAAAAGTAGTGTAAACACAATTAAAAACAAATTAAAAGTCTATTCCTTATCTTTGTCCACTCTCCAAGACGCGTTTTGATGGTGGGGATTTTTCAGTTGGTGAATGCATGGTTTGCCAGTTTCAGAATTTAAAGGCTTAAGACCCCTCCCATCCGTACATATTACCCAATCGACTGTGTTTTTTTACAGGAGTTTATCATATTAATTGATTGAAGGGTCTGTCTCTCTTCATTGCGGCTGTTCTTGCGGCTGTGACTACCTGTCCCACAAGGCCTAGTGGCGATATGTCATTTGCGGTTTTCGATCGTAAAAGAAAAGAGTCCAATGTTTCACAGATTTGATGGCCATATATGGGAAAAGTGAATAAATGATATATAAAATGGGATTAACATATGGAATATTTTTCAAATCATTGCATATATAGAACATGATATCTGTAAATAACCAATACATAATCCATAAGATATCTATAAAAATATATATCATCTAAACAATATCTTAAAAAGTACATGATAAAAATATGTATATAGCAAATATAGTATATTAAAAAATGCAATATATGTAAACAATGTAAATATAATGAGTAAAAATATAGACCAATTTATAAGAAGTGATACAGCTCAAAATCTTCATTTAAACCTGAGGGACTTAGTGTGTTTAGATTAAAAATCCACTTCATCTCACACATTCCTCTCATGTCTTCTTCCCTCCAGTTGGTTTTAATTTTCTGTATAACAGTAAATTTAAAAACATTGTGGATCACTATTATGTACAGATTTAAAATGTCTTGAGACGCTGTGTTTCTCATAGCCCTTTTTAATATTGCGCACATGCTCATTTATTCGAATGTGTAGGGGAAGTTTAGTTCTCCCCACATAGCACAAATGGCATGTACAGGTTAGAAGGTATATCACATTCTTGGAAAAACAAGTGCTCATTTCATGTATTTTGTATTCTTTGTTTCCATGTGGGTCCTCAAAGGTTTTTATATGTCGTTTTTTACTTTTTGTACAACAGCCAAAAAAAACTTTTTGTTGAAGAAAATTATCTGTTTTGTTAATCTTAATATGATTTTTTACTAGTCTCTTTTTTAGACTAGGAGCTCCCCTGTATATTATTTTTGGTTGACTTGGAAGAATTTATGTAATATAGGATCATTTCTTAAAATTGGCCAACATTTTGATACTATTTGTCTTACTTTTTTACTATTGTTGTTATAATTACAAATAAAGGGAATATTTATATTGTTATTACTATTTTTTGTTTTATATTGAAGAAGGGATGTACGATCTATGACACTGATTTCTTCTATATTATCTTCTAAAGTGGCTATGTTGTAGCCCTTTTCTACAAACTGGTTTTTGATTTTATTTGCTTGGGTGTGGAAAGTGTTGAGGTCTGAACAGTTTCTCCTCATCCGGAGAAACTGGGATCTCGGCACGTTCCTCAGCCAAGGGGAGAAATGACAGCTGTTGATATAGATATAATTGTTCACATCCACGGATTTTAAATATGTTTGAGTTTTAATTTGGTTATGGTCAATATAAATATCTAAAAAATTGACTGAACAAGCACTAAAATTGATTGTTAAGATAATACCCCAATTGTTAGAATTTAAAAAGGCTAAAAAGGATGTTAAATCTTTGTTGCTTCCCTTCCAAATGAAAAAAAATTTCATCTGTATACCTGTGGTAGGAGACTAGGTTTGTACTCCAGCTATTGTTGTGATAGACAAAAAATTTTCCCAATATGCCATGAATAAATTGGCATAGCTGGGTGCAAACCAAGTCCCCATTGTTGTACCACAGATTTGAAGAAAATAATCGTCCTGAAACCAAAAATAATTATTCTTTAAAATGAGATTAATCCCCTCCATGATAAAATCAATCTGCGATGTAGGATGTCTTTTTGGCTCGGATAGAAAAAATTGTGTTGCCTCGCATTCTTTTTCATGTTGGTATACAGCGAGCTTTATATCGACAGTTAACAAAATGTAATCAGATTCCCATTTTACTGTTTCCAAAACTTGTAGAATGTTTAAAGTATCTTTTAAATATCTATTGGTGATTTGTACTATGGGTTGTAAGATTCTGTCAATATAGTCGGCTGGATATAGAGTTTATCCCAGAGACTATCGGCCTCCCTGGTGGGTTGAGTTGATTTTTACCAAAGAAGATGGTAAAATATCGGTACTTTTGGAATTTTTATGTCAAATATGACACAAAGTTCAAAGTTTTGAGCCCATTTTATAATAGGCTCTTAATCAGGTGAGCAAGTTTAATCATTTCCTATGTTTCCCTCACCTAAATATTGATTGCACCCAGATCTGTTTTCCGTCTCTTTTTATGTTATACAACTTACTATACAACTTACTGTGAACACAATCCAATCCAACTGGGTAGAAAAAGGTTAATGCTGCCACCTATTGAAAGCCACACTGTTTAGAGCCTATAACGTGAAAAGGCTCTATTACATGTGAGTTGTATATATATCTCTCTTTCCAACTACCTACATATTAACAATATTTCACTATATTGTGTTTATTTTACCTTTTCTATGCATATGGAATCTAACCCCCTGTATTTGTAAGGGGTAAGTCTGTTAAATACTTTCTAAGCACTGCACTCGCACTGATAAGTTTGAGGTGGTGGGGTAGATCACCTAAAGTTATAGGTGGTGGGGTAGATCACCTAAACTTTAAGTTACATTTTCATTTTGGTTTACTTTGTTTGTGGATTCTTATGGGAGAACCACCGAGTGTTCCACAGCTGCTATACATATTTATCAATATATCACCACTAAGCGCCTTATCAGCACATTGTATTTGTATCTGTAGTATATTTAGCTTAGTACCTTTATTTTTCTTAAAACTCATTGTGTACATATGGTCACAAAATGGAGAAATAAAGTAAATAGAGTGCAGGTCAGGAGTCCGGATACAAGTCAAGGGCTCATGAGCTGCACCACTGTAACCACGTAATAGGGAGCTCCAATGAGGGGGTAACCCTCCAAAATATGTAGGTAATAGGAGTAGGTGATGTGTAGGGAGGCCCTACCTTTAATCAATCTAAGGATAAAAAGGGATATGCAAACAAAAAGTATAACTTGAAAAAAGGGAGATCTACTAAACGGTGCCCACGGGATCAATTGTCTGGAGTACTAGCTAGCATCTAAGTTCTAGTGCCCCTAGTGTCCGACTGACAGGAAGGTAGTGTAAACGAGGTTAGGGAGAGAGAAGAGGCACAGGGTCCCCAGAGAACAAGGGACCGGATAATCAGGTCTAAACGCAGATGAAAAGCCTCACACAAAAAATAAATAATTAAATAAATCTCTCAATTCACCCTAAAAGTTACCTCAACATCATGGTCTAACCACTAGTGTCCACCTGATCCAACGCTCCCTACTAAAGTTATAAATAAACACCTAAAAATCAATAACCATAGTGGTAACAAAAATAAAAAAGTGCTACCAAGTGCAGAGATTAAAGAAAAAGAAAACGCTCGACGCGCGTTTCAGCGTGTACATAACGCCGTCGTCAGGAGCCTGTGAGGTCTGTGGTAGCACTTTTTTATTGTTGTTACCACTATGGTTATTGATTTTTAGGTGTTTATTTATTTATAACTTTAGTAGGGAGAGTTGGTTCAGGTAGACACTAGTGGTTAGACCACGGTGTCGAGGTAACTTTTAGGGTGAATTGAGAGATTTATTTAAATTATTATTTTTTTTGTGTGAGGCTTTTCATCTGCGTTTAGACCTGATTACCCGGTCCCTTGTTCTCTGGGGACCCTGTGCCTCTTCTCTCTCCCTAACCTTGTTTACACTACCTTCCTGTCAGTCGGACACTAGGGGAACTGGAACTTAGATGCTAGCTAGTACTCCAGACAATTGATCCCCTGGGCACCGTTTAGTAGATCTCCCTTTTTTCAAGTTATACTTTTTGTTTGCATATCCCTTTTTATCCTTAGATTGATTAAAGGTAGGGCCTCCCTTCCTCATTTCTTATACAGTGGAGCTCTCCTGATGTTGGTTTCCCCTTGTGGGACCTACTCCTATTACCTACATATGGTCACAAAAGCTAAAGAACTTGTATATGTTAATATTTTATTATATTCTGTGCAATAGTCCAGATCTGTGTTGGGCCTAAACTTTATAACTACCAAATAGTTTTAATTATTTCCCTATTAAGCTAAATGTAAAGTAATTTCTCACAATTTTTATTTTTCATGGAAATCATATCATATAATGAATAGCATTCAACTAGGTAAGTATAAATATATATTTGAAAAACAAACAAACAAACAATAAGGGCTTAACCCAAAAATTGTTTGGTTATCCTTTCCTAAAGTCCCACTCATTCCCCATCCCCAAACACCACCCATTAACACGTGTCTTTACAAACTCACAATTACTTACTGACTCACACAGGTACACACAAACACAAATGTACAAAGACAATCAAGGGTAACAGACACACACAGGTAGGCAAATAAACACAGTCAGTAACACGCAGGCATAAGCTGACACACACAGGCACTGACAGACACAGTTAGACACAGACAGTCAAACATACACAAACAGACACAGAGGGATACACACAGGCTTTGGCAGACACAGATATGCACATATAAGTACATTTAGTCCCACACAGACACATGTAGGTAGTAGGTACATATAGGCAAAGACAGATATACAGTTACACACAGACAGGCATACATAAACAGACAAACAGACAAACACACACACACACACACACACACACAGATACATACAGAGCCATACATAGGCAGATAATGAAATACTTACACCATAAAGGATACTGGCTGCCTTGGAGGTAGTTATGTGGTGGCTGGGTAAGGACTGCTCATAACTGTTTCAGGCCAGAGGTTGTAAGTCTCCTGTACCTTCAGCCAGGAGGGGAAACAGCAAAAGTAATAGAGATGCTTAAGCCAATGAATATTATAGCGTCATATTCCCTGAATCTATCTATTGCTCCCGGCAATATCCCATCTAAGGATTATGAGCAGGGTGAGCAGACAGACAAAAATATTTGCAGTTACAGGGACTCACATTCGGTTTGGCCGCAATCATCCACCCCACTCCTTACGATATGCTTCTTTAAAAACGAAAAAAATCTAAATGTACCTGCTAAATAATTAGGCATTAATGTATCTTTATTATGTCTGCTTACATTTACCAGGTGGATTAACCAAATGGGCACATATATACAAGGGTTATACAACCTTTTGGTAGTGTTGTGCCAAAGTAATACTTGGACGTCTCTACAGTGATAGCCCTATTTTCTTTAAAAAAATATGAATGTGTGTGTACGTTAGTGAATTCCTTTGTTATATTTGGGTGTGATTGCAGCTTTGTGTGATTGTATGTGTGTTGGGGAGAGGCTGCGTGTGTATGTGTGGTCTATTTCTGGTGGTTATGTATGTGTTTTGAATGTTTGCAGTGGTGTTAGGAGGAGGGACTTTTTAATGCGACAATGTTTAACAAATGTTTCTAATAAAAAATATTTAATACAAAATTTTATTAAGGTTTTTATGACTCCTTACCTTCTGCATGCCTTTGCCCTGAGATGATGACGAAAATCTATAATGATCACTCATGGTCTGTTGGGTGGAGCCTGTAGTCTTCAATCCTGGTACCTCAATCCGGTCAGGTGCATCGCACGGAGTCAGATAGTTGCCATGGTAACCAACATCAAGAGGGAATGATACAAGTTGCCTATACATGCTGTGGAAGCATATTCCTTTGTGCTAGCAGAGCTGTGCTCAGGGCCTGCTGGGAAAATCATCTGATATCTCCTGCAGGCCTATTTTATTTTGGCAGCTTTGTGTGCCATGGGTTTCGGATCCCTACTGTACCATTAATTTTCTTTTACGGCCTAGTGAGGCATCCTCCTTTTGTATTACAATTAAAGACTGTGAATGGCCAGGGACCCTTATTTAGTGTTAAACTATTTTAAGACTGAGTGGAGGGACAATTCCAGGCACTATAACCAATTGAAACAGATTAAATGTTTATGGTTACAACAGTGTTTCTTTAAAGAAAGGGGTATAAGTCCTACTGCTTCAACTCCAAGCCTCCCACTGGTATAGTATGAAACTCTTTCAGTTTACCACTGAAATCGTGAAATATATACACAGTTGTGGTAGTTCTTTCTCCTCAAAATGCAAGCATATGTATTTTTCTTTCTTTCTTTTAAAAATTCTTTATTTTGGTAGTGCATTGGTATCACATTTTTGACAAGAGATATGTGAACAGAAAATATAGAAATAAAAGCAATATATACAGATTATGAATTATGCACCATTTAAAAAAATAAATAAAAATAAACTAGCGATATCAGAGTCACATGTGAATCTAGTCCCTCAAAAGTGAGAGGTTAGTGTGGTCATTGAGCTTCTCTAGCAGGGAAGTGTCATAGGATAGGAGAAAATAAACCAAATGCTCACCAACATGCACAGTAGTATAAAAACTTGCTAGAACAAGCCATAAACCTATGGTGCATAAAATGAATGAGCTTGATTGGCAAGTAGGATATGCATCCAGACTAAGTATCCCTCACCAAGGGGGCAGTGGGGTGAAATTTGGGCCATGTATTTTTCTAATGCTGCCTTGATATGCCCTGGTCAAGAAAGCCCCCAATCTGAACTAGGCACTTTTCATGCAGAGCGACAACCTAATATTATGCAGAACAATAAATGAAACATAAAAACTGGAATTAACTTAAATAGAGTCATCGTAAGCATTAACACATTTCAAATGTGGATGTCTATGTCGTTGGATGCGGTTGAGCAGGCTGTATTCTTCTCACTACACAGTAGTTACCGTATATAGTTCCTGGATTCAAAATCCTTGCCTGAAAATTTTAGACCTGTAAGCTTAACTTCTGTGGCTGGGAAAATATTTGAAAGGTTATTAAGGGATAATATTCAAGAATTCCTTGAAAAGAACATGGTTATCAGCAAAAATCAGCATGGTTTTATGAAACACAGGTCATGTCAAACGAACTTGATTGTGTTCTACGAAGAAGTAAGTAGAAGTATAGATCAGGGTGTTGCAGTGGATCTGATCTATTTGGATTTTGACAAGGCATTTGATACAGTTCCACACAATAGATTAGTGTTCAAACTCAAGGAAATCGGTCTAGAAAAAAATGCTTGTTCTTGGGTAGAACATTGGCTTAAAATTAGTGTACAAAGAGTTGTCATTAATGGTAAATTTTCAAGCTGGACAGAGGTGGCAAGTGGTGTCCCTCGGGGTTCTGTTCAGGGACCCCTTCTATTTAACATTTTTATAAATGATCTTGAAAAAAGCATTGAAAGTCATGTTTCAGTGTTTGCAGATTACACAAACCTCTGTAAAGTAATACAATGCGAGGAGGATATTACTTTGCTGCAGAATGATTTAGATAGACTGGGGGACTGGGCACTCAAATGGCAGATGAAATTTTATGTTGAAAAATGCAAAGTTATGCACATCGGCGTAAAGAATGCACAAGCAACGTATACCCTTAATGGAAGCGAATTAGGGATAACAAGACACGAAAAGGACTTGGGGATTGTTATAGACAACAAACTATGCAACAATGTGCAATGTAAATCAGCAGTGGCTAAGGCCAGTAAGGTATTGTCATGCATGAAAAAGGGCAATCATTCTCGGGATGAGAATATCATTTTGCCTCTTTATAAATCACTGGTAAGACCACATATTGAATATGCTGTGCAATTTTGGGCACCTGTTCTAATGAAGGATAATATGGCACTAGAAAAAGTGCAGAGGTGGGATACAAAATTAATAAAAGGAATGGAGTATATCAGCTATGAAGAAAGGTTAACAAATTTAAACCACTTTAGTTTAGAAAAACGGCGCCTGAGAGGGGATATGATGACATTATACAAATACATTCAGGGCCAATAAAAACCATTGTGTGGAAATCTATTCACAAACCGGACTTTACATAGGACACAAGGTCGTGCGTTTAGACTGGAAGAAAGAAGATTTTGTCTAAGGCAAAAGGAAAGTTTTTTTTACTGTAAGGATGTGGAATTCTCTGCCTAAAGAAGTGATTTTATCAGAGTCCATACAGATGTTCAAACAGCAACTAAATGCATACTTGCAAAAACAATATTCAAGGATATAATTTTTCAATGTAGGGTAATAGCTGCTTGATTCAAGGATAAATCTGACTGCCATTCTGGGGTCAAGAAGGAATTTTTTTTCCTAGTTTGTTGCAAAATAGGAAGTGCTTCAAACCTTCTTTTGGATCAACAGCAAAATAGAAATGTGAGGAAGGCTGAACTTGAGCTATGTAACTATGTAACTACTGTTGCTTACAAGCCTTCGACCCTTGGAACAAAGGGGATGATAGTGGTAGGATCCTAAGAGTTCTCTGGGGACCTTGCATTCGGAAGAATAAGGCCCAGTTTTAATAGGAAAGGTGATGTATCTCACATCAATTTGAGGATGGGTGTAGTCATAGAGTGGATGACCATCAGCCACTCCCTCCCTCCCCCATCTGTAGGACAGTTCTAGTGAACGCAGTTGGTTAGTAACAGGTCCATAGGACTTTCTCCAAAGTTGAGTAGCTCTAGTGAGATCTTGATTTAAAAAGAATATATGTTAGAGTAGAGTCCTCAAAAGACATAGGCGTTATGTCTTTCATGGCGGTCATGTTTTCACATTTCATGATGTTAATTGCAAAATTGTGCTGCTATTCAAATTAAGTGTAATTTACCAAACATCATAACTACTACAGTTTATGACAAAAATTAGGAAGCTGAGAAAGCATCAGTGGTGCAATGAGTGCTCTTTGGAGAACAATCAACAAACAGTGAATACGAGCCTGCTGCCAAGGACCAACTTTTAAGCATTTAATTGGAACACAACGTTAGGTCCTTTAGATAGCTTTGTCACCATTTACAGGTTGGAACTAGTGAGAAACTTGCAAAAACTTCTGTGAACATAAAGTCAGTCCGTTCCAGAGTGTTTTATACCATGAACACTACAGTGTCTACAGTTTTCTTCAAAATGATTGGGATTGCATGGAGACAAATTGTATGGAGTCATTTCTCATATTGCTGCCCAAAGGTAAAGCAACCTTTCAGAAGAACTTTGCCCAGTTATCCCTTACCTTTGCCCAGTTATCCTCTACATCATGGAAGAACTTGAACTAACAATAATACATGAGAACTCCTCACTGGCTCAGATCAAGTTAAGAAGATGGGTTTTTAGTGCTGGGAAATCCTTTAGATTATGTCAAACCTCTTAAAAAAAACAGCTTGATAGATGGGGCGTGGATTGGAGCTTGAACTGACTGGCCGCACATATGGGAAGCTCCTGTGGCTCGTTTCTTAAGGAGACAAAATAACCGGAATTCCGAGCATTCTAAAGCTACAAAAGCACACACTCACCTTCCTCAGGTTGCAGAGAAGTAAGAGTAAGCTTTCTAAAGCGGACAAAGCCTCCTTCTTCCTAGTGCGAGCACCGGCAGGGAAAAGCATAGAGGGCCGCAGCCCAACCAAAGATGCGTCGCCCTCACCACCTCTGGCCTCCCCAAGCTCCATCTCGGAAGAGGGGCACCTCACTGCAACAAGGATGAGAACCTTGATGTCTGAACTTACAGACACAATGCAAGCCACTATTAAGACACAGATTCAGGCCCTGACCACAGACCTCCAAAGGGAACTGCTTGATATTGGGCACAGAACATCGCAAATCGAACAGAAAATGGATGACATCGCAATGGCCCATAATAGTCTGGCGGACAAGCTCCAAGAGATGGATGCCATGCTAGAAACACAGAGACAAATGATCGCCAACTTGGAGGACAGGTCCAGGAGAAATAATTTGCGCTTCAGAGGTTTACCGGAGACAGTACAAAACTCTGACCTAGTCAACAATCTAACGGATATTTTCCAAGAGCTGACACCAGCTACACATAGATCAACTGGTGATAGATAGGGCCCACCACCTTTGCAGATCCAGCCACTTACCTGCCACGGTCATGCAGGACGTGATAGTGCGCATCCATTTTTACTATGTGAAGGAGTGCATCACCAAGGCCTGCAGAGACGCTGCCCTTCCTGAGCCATACAGAAATATAAAATTATTTGCAGACCTGTCTGCAACCACTCTGCAGTTCTGTAAATTACTGTCACAAATCACTGCCACGCTTCGATCCATCGATCTGATCTACTAGTGGGGATACAAGGCGAAACTACTTATCCAGAAGAAAGGTGTGATACAAGCCGTGGCTACACAAAAGGAAGGCCTGCAAAAGCTGAAAGAATGGGGCATACCATTGCCAGACTTCCAACCGGCCACACCAGCTAAGATCCCCAGACTGTCACCAGAGTGGTCTCCAGCTTGACAAAACCGGGCCCTGGCCCTAAGGGGTATCGTATAACATTATGATACACACTAATGTAAAGTTGGTTTGAAAATGTTATGTCTGTATAAGGTTCACTCCATTTTTGGGATCCGATTTTGAATTTTATAATTGCTAAAGCGATGTAATTTGCGCACAGTTTTACTTACTACATGAATGTATAGACATGCTACGCTCTCTAGTGCTACTTGGTTAGACACAGACACTGCCCAAATAGTAACACATCCTGGCATGTCATTAGAGCCAAGCTGTCACATGAACATGCAGCAAACAGCTGTCATGACTTTGATGAAGCTAAATAAATAAATAAATACATAAAATAAAAAAAATACAATCTTAGTCTGCCAATGTTATGCAGTACACTTGAGTTATAGCTTACTAATCCTCTTAGCTAGCAAATAGCTTATTTTGAGTACTACCATCTGAGTGACTCCCAGACGTGGAGCCGCTCAAGGCTACCCCTCCTGGCCATGCCATGACACACCATGGCTCAGACCTTCTGAGCGCTATTTTGTTCATTATTTCTGTTTTGTTTTCACTTTCCCAAGTTACCTCCACCCCCTCTGCATCTTGCATCAATGGCTACTGAGATGGCTACTCTCCCCAACTATGCCAACTACTATAACAGTCATTACAGATCTGACCATACACTCTCTACCAGCTTCCCAGGGATGACCAATAGGATCAACCCAGATTCGACGTATAATACACTATGAAAGTCACGACCCTTAATGTTAAGGGGCTTAATACCCCACATAAACGTAGCCTCTTACTCAGAGACTTAAGAAAAAAAGTAGTGGATATTGCCTGAATACAAGAGACGCACTTTAGCAGAGACCACACATAATCTATCTTCAACAAACACTACCCATCCCAATTCCATGCCCTCTCCGATAACTAGACAAAAGGGGTATCAATCTTTATTCATAAAGATGTAGCCCTTACAGTACAGCAAAAAATTATAGATGCACACGGCAGATACATCATCCTCATAGGCCTATTCAATAATGCACAATACACACTGTTAACAGCCTACTTCCCTAATACCGATTCCAAAGCGTTCCTTCAGTTTCTCGTACTTACTATCGATAAAGTCTGATCGGGTGGTCTACTCCTGTGTGGGGATTTCAATTTTATCCAAGCACCCACATTTGACACCACTGCCCGCCCCACAGGACGCAGGAAAAGGCAACTGGCCACCACTTCCAAAGCCCTGTCACGACAGTGACCCCCTTCACACAGAGTGTAACCCAGAGGAAGACGTTTACCGGACCTTAGAATGGCCAGGTTTACGTCAGAGAATAGTCAAAGAGAATAGCTGAAGGTCAAGGGAGTACAGAAGACGGACACACAAGATAAACCAAGCCAATAATACGGTAAACCAGAGAACAGAATAGTCAGAAGGAGAGCCAAGAGTAAAAAAATCAGTCAGAAATATCAAGAGCGCTAGAGGGAACCAACAAGAACCACACTAGGGCGCTGAACAAATGACAGGGGCGCCTTTTTATAGTGTGGGATATTTAGCTTTAAAACCACGCCCACAAAAGGTCCAGAAGCGTGGCCACGTTTGAACTTTGGCAGTACTATTTTGTTGAAGTTGGAGCGCATGCGCTGCGTCATAAAAATGGGCGTGTTGCGAACAGCCGGCATCAGTAAGACTATGCCGCCTCCCGGAAGTGTGAGCAGAGGACGCCGCACTGCGTGGGACCAGCGGGGAAAGGTAAGGTATCGTCAAAGCCCTAAGCAAATTACTGCACCCTCTTGAGAGGGATTACACTTTTTACTCCCGAGTACACAATACGTATACCTAAATCTTTCAAGACAACATCACCCTGGCTCAATTGTCAGACTACACAATAGGAGAGATCACCTGGTCTGACCAAAGCCCAGTCCACTTACTAATGCATGACGAGTTCCAATTCAGGGGAAAGGGGCAATGTGTCTGGCGAAGTAGCAGACAATATAGTATCGAATGCCCATAAGGCAGTAGTTAGAGGGCTATTTATCAGGAGATCCTCCTACCTTAAAAAAAAACCAAAAAGTCAAACCAAACTCCTGGATTGCTATAAAGAACTATCAATAATTTCCTCAAAAAAAACAAGGCAAACCCCTCGCAGGAACTATTAGCCAAACTGAATACATTTGAAAATAGCCAAGCTACATGCAGGAAAAAAAAAAAAAAAACTGTCTTCTGCAAAGACTGCGGGCCACCACATACCATACCATACCTCAGGCAAAGCTACCAAATGTATAGCAGCTAGGCTCTGCCCTATAACGGCACAATCTAAGGTATCCCATATTATAGATGATGAGAGAACTAAACACATCGACCCCCCAGCAATTAGTCGAGTTTTTGGAGATTTCTACTCCAAATTGTATAACCTACAACACAACAAAAATATAACCACCCCTATGCCATTGGAAATCAATCACCACCTAAGTAATATCACACTACCTAGACTCACTGAGGAACAAGTACAATCCCTCCTACAACCTATTACCATCAGCAAAATCACACTCCTACCTCCAGGGAAGTCCCCGGGAGCTGATGGACTCTCTAATCTCAATTATAAAATGTTTAGGACAAAAAAGAAGAAAAGATTTGCCCAGACCAATGTATGCAGATAACAGATTAAAAATGTACTTTTATTAATTATAATTAAGCATTAGTAATGATGAGGAAGTGAGTAAAGAATTATACAGACTCCCTTAAGCAGGGATACCTTAAAAAGTGCACGATAAAGCACTATATTGTCTACAGCATGGGTCATCAACCTGGTCCCTAAGGCCCACTAGTGGGCATTTCAGGATTCCAGGTGGGCGGTAGGGATTTCGGCGGCTAAATCCTCCGTTTGAGAGAATGGGTGGCAGGGCCGGACTGACAGCCCTAATGAATATTCTGATAAATCCTTCCCTCGGACAGTGCCAGCCTGTCAGTCCGAGGGGAGTAAGGAGAGAGGAGCTGGTGTGGCTGCCAGTCTCCCTGCACAATCTAAAATAATTTTGGCCGCATGCCCCGCCCCCAAACGGAAGCTCCGCCTCCTGTCCACAATTTCCTCCCCCATGCACGTTGCTGGAAAGCTGCCCACCGGACCAAGAGGACACTGAAAGGTATTTACCTTTTTACAGCCCCCTACCCACCATTTAGACACCCCCTACTCCTCACAGGCCCCCTACCCACTATACTGCCCCCTACCTAATATAGAGCCCCTCTACCCTTTCGGACGAATTTCAGGGAATTCGGACATTCGGGTACTTCCAAATGTCCGAATTGCTGAGTTGCCAAAGTGCCAAGGTCCCAAAATTACAGAATTTCCGAAGTATCAAAGTGCTGAAGCACAGTATTGCCTAAGTACTAATATACTTACCTAGTGAAAGAAGAATGTTACATTGTATACAATTTTAAATAAAAAGTATACAAACATAGCCAGGATTCAGCTGTAAGCATTTGCAACACTTACAACAATCAAGTAACATACATTCATATAAAATGTAAGTTACTTAGCCAGTCAGTGTACTGACAGGAATGAATAAGTAGATAACTCCCTAATTCCCACAGTATTAGGGAGCTATCTACTAAAAGACTGAAAGACCTAAATTGGTCTTTCAGACAAATTTACTAATACCAAGTAACAATTACTTAGTATTAGTAAATTATGCCCCTACTCGCTATACCGCGAGTAGGGGAATGTCTATTAAACCTGTGGCTGCTCACTGTTAAAAATAAAAAATTGCCCCCCCCCCACCCCAATGTAAAATAATGGGGGTGGGGGGGAACCTATTGTCCTCCCCCTGACCCCCCAACCCTGAGCAGTGGGTAGGGGCCCTAAATACTAATAAGGGGGGGACCTAATGTCCTCCCCCGGGCCCCCACCCCTGAGCGGTGGGTGGGGGCCCTAAATACTAATAAGGGGGGACCTAACGTCCTCCCCCTGGCCCCCACCACTGAGCGGCGGGTGGGGGCCCTAAATAAAAATGTTAACCCCCCAGTTGACTAGGGGTCCCCAAACCCCTAGTCACCCCCTACCTACCCCCCTCACCCTAAAAATAATGAGGGGGTGGGGATACCTGTAAAAAAAATAAAAAACTTACCATTCAATGTTTTCTTTCTTTCTTCTAAAATCTTCTTTTTTCCGCCCCAAAAAAGTCCAAATAAAAATCCATAATAACCGACGCAAAAAGAAAAAAAAATTCATCTTCACCGGGTGAGGGCTCCACGCAGACTGAGCTCTGCAGGGTGGGGGGGAAGACTTATAAAACTTTGCCCCGCCCTGCAATTAGGTTTAGAGCACTCTGATTGGTGGGTTTAAGCCATCCAATCATAGTGCTCTGACAGGTAAGTCTCTACATTTACCTGTCACGGCACTCTGATTGGTTGGTTTGAAATCCACCAGAGTTCTCTGTGTCATTTTACACAGCATGGGAAAGTTCTTCTGAATCTTCCCACACTGTGTAATTTGACTCATAACTCTCTGATTGGTGGATTAAGTAACCAGAGAGTTATGAGTCAAATTACACAGCATGGGAAAATTCCAAAGAACTTTCCCACACTGTGTAAAATGACACAGAGCACTCCGATTGGTGGATTTCAAGCCAACCAATCAGAGTGCTGTGACAGGTAAATGTAGAGACTTACTTGTCAGAGCACTATGATTGGATGGCTTAAACCCACCAATCAGAGTGCTCTGAGCCTAATTGTAGGGCAGGGCAAGGCAAGGCTTTATAAGCCTTCCCCTGCCCTGCAGAGCTCAGTCTGCGCAGAGCCCTCGCCGAGTGAAGATGAATTATTTTTTTTGCGCTTTTTTTTTTTGGCGTCGGTTATTATGGATTTTTTTATTTGGCCTTTTTGGGGGCTGAAAAAATAAGATTTTAGAAGAAAAAACATTGAATGGTAAGTTTTTTTTTTTTTTTTACAGGTACTTAGTTAAAAGTTCCCCCCTCATTAATTTTAGGGTGACGGTGGTTAATATTTTTTTTGGTGGGGGGGGAGGGTGTGACTAGGGGTTTGGGGACCCCGAGTCACCTGGGGGGGTAACATTTTTTTTTAGGGCCCCCACCTGCCGCTTTCTCTGTAATGTCATACAAAACAAAGGCGTGAATATAAAAAAGGGGATCAAGAGTACAGCTCAGAAGTAAGTTTGCAGATGTGCTTCAGGGCAGTTCTTGATATTTTCAAAACCAGCTTAGTAAACTTAACAATCTAATCCTCATGAGCAATGTTTCCCAACCTTTCCTTATAGCCACCAACAATCCAGAACGGAGGATTTCCCAACAACATCCAGATGGCAGAACTAGCTCACCTGGTTTAAGTACGGATATCAGTCTTCACTGTATATTCTGAAAACAAGTTTGGCCAACTTGCTCTCAGAAAAAACAGACTGAAATTGTGCCTCTCTTAAAGATAAACTGTCAGATAAGTATCTACATCAAGTTTATGCATCAAAATTAAAACCTCTGAAAAGCCAACCACGAACTAATAGGCTTGTGGTAATTCGCTGGTCACTTCTACTTGCATGAGTCTTCAAAGCTCTGGCTACACTAGGAGACCTGTATAGGCCAGGATTTTTTTGGAAACACATGGATTAATGACTATTCCCCAAGTATTCTGTCCTGCTCTATTTTGAGTACACAAAACACATTTGCCCTATATTGAAAATGTAGCATTTGAGGGTTTTTTCTTAAAACTGCAGGGTTAGATAAACAACCTTGCTGCATTTCCTCATACTAATCACCATCACTGTATTGGGTTTTGGATGATTTATTTTGGGTCAATGAAGTGGTAGGGGTCCAGTGGTCCTGTCCTTTTAAAACATTGCAGCCTTTTTTTCCTTTTAAAGAAACTGCAATGTTACATTGCAGAGTTAAATCCACAACAAATGGTGCGGTCCCAGCACGTGATCATTGTGACAGCAGTCACAGCACTGCTGGCATATCTTATCCACCCCCTTCGAAAGTTACTTTGTGTGCTCATGGTGATTAAGTTGTATCTGAAAAGTGAAACTCCTTTTTGTTCTCTAAACCCAGATTTAGAACCTTTCCCTGCCCTTTGACCACTTCTTACAGTTATCAGAATACAGATCATAGTAATTTACGGTGATCTTTTTGTGGGTTTTTTTTTTTTTTACCCTCGGGTTAAATTTTGTTTTTGTTTTTTTTCCCAATTGTGATTTAGTTTGCTTTGGAGGGTGGAAGTTAGTGGGATCTTGGGAAAGTTAGTGTTAGGTTAGTGAGGGGTTAAAAGAAAAAGGGAGAAGAAAAAAAGTGTTAACACAAAAACATGTTTTAAGGTTGTTTAGCTGTAGTTACAGTTACGTATGCAAATCCTTAGGCTCAGCGCAGAGGAGGCTTATACAATTTTATTGATTCGGAGGCTACAGATAGTGCCTCAGAGAGTGACACATTTGACTGTGAATATGTGCCTGAGCTAGGAACAAGCACAGATTTCCTGACGCTGCCCAAGATGCAGATGACTGGATACCTCCAAATGACTTTGCCCCGGACATTCCTATCTTTACTGCAACACCAAGTATACAGGCTGACATGTTCAGCTATGGCCCAGTGGAGTTTATGCTGTTCCTGGGAGATGATGTATTAGGTTAGATTGTAATGCAAATCGATCTTTATGCCAAGCAGTATCTTGTCCAAAAACCTATGTCATTTACAGCCAGGAAATGGTACCCCACCAGTGTCCCTGAATTAAAACAATTCTGGGCACTCACAATGGAAATGGGGAAACCCTATTATTCACTTGTATCGGAAAAATAATTGTATCTGTGTGGTCTCTTATATAGCACTATAATTTCACAAGATAGGGTCTACGGGGAGGAGGGAGGGATCACAGTGGCACACATTAGATTTACAAAATGCCAATCAAAAATGCAATGTGCATGGAAAATGGTGGCACATTAAGGCACAATTAGATATTTAGTGTCAATAACAAAAGGTAGGCCTTTGTGGGTTAATTTGAAGAAAGGAACACACAAAAAAAAGTCTATAATGCCCCAACATGACACATAGGGACATCAAATACATTAATCAAATGTCTAACTGTAAAAATGTAAATGGTCAGGTCTCATTTATGGCACTGTAGCTTCACAGGATAATGTCTACGTCATCCATTGGGGGTAATCGCTCTACTCAGAAGATGTAGCTGAACACAATATTTGGTTTTGTACATGAGTAGCACACACCAGGTTAACAAAATAAACACAAAAATTAAATAAAAAAACTACTAAACCCCAATACAATATTTAGTATACAGTATATTGTAAAAAAAGTGTCAATATATCCTTAGGTACATAACTTGAGATAAAAAAAAAATAAAAAAAAAAATACAAAGATAGGATAACCAATTGAAAAGATGTATGACACAATCCAAAGAAGTTGTGTCCAAGTGTTTCCAATTATCCTAGGCACCAATGAGAGGCTCCAGGGGTCCATCAGGGTATAACCTTTGATTATATTGAAGAACAAACACAAAAAAGTATATAGGTTCGCCAATAATAAACCTACTATACTTCATAGAGAAATGAATAGTAGGAATACGTAATTTAGGTATTGAATAATAAGCCTGTATCAAAGTAAATATCTTGAGAGATTCTGCAGTAAAATGCTAGGTATAGAATAAAGTAACAACCTTATACGCTTACACTCCTATGTCAAAATATAGGATGTAAAGTATCCAACATTACTGATCTAGAGGTAATAAAAAGAGCTTTATTGAGTATGGCTCTAGTCTATTTGTGCACTTAAGCCAGCACATGTTAATGTTATTGAGTGTTACAAGGGAAGGGAGGCTAAAAAATCAAATATTGTCACCAAAAAAAAAAAAAAAAAAGCATGAAATGCAAAAATAATAAATGCCTGTGGTGGGCAGGTAGGAATACAAAGGAGAAAACTATCTACATTGACAGCGAGACCAGTATATAAGGGGATAAAAAGTCTGTAAAGGACAATCCTCAGACGTAAATTCCCTATGTATAGCTATAATTGAGGTATGCAAGATCTATCTATATATAAAATCACACCAAGTTATTTCCTTAGCAATGTATAGGTGAAAAGGTAGCCCACAAAGTCTAAGAAGGATGCTAGAGAAATCAAAATTGACAGGTAGCAAATAGGTATAAACAGTATAGAGAAAGAAAGGAAAATGGAAATACTATTGCCAGTAAAAGACTGGCAAAAATTAAACTGTTCCAAGTCTCTCTCCTAGATAAGACATAGGATAGTACAAAATGGATAGCCTGATGAAGGTGCATGTAGCCCTGAACTGAAACGCACGTCGGGCACTCTAGCTTCTTGTTTTTTCACTGGGCACTTTATTTTTGCACTAATCATTAACATGTTGCTTTGACCGTTTTTTTTATTTCACACTACATAGGGAATTTATGTCAGAGGACTGTCCTCTACAGATTTTTTTTTTTTTTAAAAGGGAAACTATAGTCACCAGAACCACTACAGCTTAATGTATTTTCAGAAGAAAGTCAGTGTTTACATTGCTGCCTGCCAAGACCTCTAGTGGCTGTTACTCAAACGGCCAATAGAGAGAGTCCTGTGTCAGTGCTCTGCATGGACACGCTGAATGTTACCCATACAGAACATACGCAATATCCTTCCAATGCTTTCCTATGGGAAACCATTGGCTTAGCTGAGATCATAAAGATTGATGAACTCTGCAATGGAGGCGGGACAAGTCACAGCAAAACCTGCAAGACGTGGGAAAAAAAGGTGAGTGAAAACAACAATCAGGTGATCAGAGGGGGGCAGGTACCTAAACAGACATGCATACTTTCTCAAACACTCAAATTTACATTTTAATCCACCTCGCCTCCCTACCTTTGGGATAGCTGAGGGGACTTTCCCTGGTGTCCAGTGGGGCTGCTCTCTCTTACTGTGTAAGAGGGAGCAGTAATCTACCATGCAGCTACTCTCTGCTCCCTGTGATGCCAGGGCTGGAATGACGCCATATTCCGGCTCCCGGCATCATTAAACAGCACCAGGGAGCAGAGAGGAGCTGTAGGAAGATCGCTGCTTCCTTGCACCCTGCCCCAGCCAACCGCCTTGATGCTCCACTGAACCGGCCGCCCCCATGAAGCCCAGGGCGACTGGCTAAAACGATCAGCCGGCCAAATCTCAGGCGCCCTGGGATTTGTCGAGCCCTGGCCTAGCCTCTCTTCCCTTGTAATACTCAATAACATTAACATTTGCTGGCTTGAGTGCACATATAGAGCCATACTCAAAGCTCTTTTTATTACCGCTATATCAGTAATGTTGGATACTCTACATCCTTTATTTTAACATAGGAGTGTAACCTTATAAGGTTTTTACTTTATTCTATACCTAGCATTTTACTGCAGAATCTCTCAAGATATTTACTTTGATACAGGCTTATTATTCAATACCTAAATTACGTATTATTAAGGTTTACTTTTGGTGAACCTATATACTTTGTGTTTGTTCTTCAAATAACTTGAGATATCTACTCTCTATAAATACACTTGTGTACAAAACAGGTCAACTGCTTAAAAAAAAAATTAATAAATTAAAAAAATAACAAAAATTAAATTTAGAGATTCACCCTGAAATTTTGGTGATTTGTAACTACGAAAAATAAACTAAAATCCTAGACATATGATGTGCACTGTATATCAGGACAAAAATTACGGAGCTGCTATTTATGCACGCATTCTTGCCAGATCTGTGAAAAAAAAATACTTTTTTTTTTAAATAAGGAATGAGAATGCATATGTCACAACAAATTGAAGCCCCTTTGTCCTTTTAAAAAACAAAAAGTAGTATGTGTGTTGGTGCAATAAATGAAAACAAAATGAACAAATACATTAAACAAAAGCTAAATTTGTTTGATCCTTAAGTGATAAGCAGGCAAATGAAGCGTGGTCTTTAAAAGGGTTAAGTCCTCTTTTTATATAAACAAAAAAAACTGGGGGGATAAAAAAAAAAAAAAATTAAAAAAAACACACCCCCCTAACCAAAGAGAATGTAAAGATGGCCATTACCAGAAAACAAGGGTAAGCTTACATGCACTGTAAAATATGTATTTACTTCTGTGTACATTACAAAATATGTATTGTCTATAATACATGTAATCATCCATTAAAAAAATAAAAATAAATAAAAACATGACAATTTTTCTTTAGTTACATATGATGGATATCTATACAAAAATAGGTAGAAATGATAAATTAAAAGAAACACTGGTGTTCTCTGAATATTGAGGGTAATGTATGTATTTGCCGGCAGGATAACCACAAAGCTTCCTGCAACATTGCTTTATGAATATATAAATAAAGAATTCACTTCGTCTGTTTCCTTGAAGAGCAGTAGGAACCAACACCATGCGAAAAACCAGATGAGATCCAATTAAAGTTCAAAAGAGTGATTATCATGAAGGAAGAGAGGGGGGGGCACAGAACAGAATACCAGTTAATGGGAAGTGTATTTATACAACACAAGGAAAAGAAAATCTATATTAAACAAAAAACTATTTTCAATCAAATGAGTCAGGCCGGATTATAAAGTTAAGAAAAAGTCAATGACCATGGGGAAGAAACCCAAACTTAAAAAAAACTCAAAAAAAACCCAAGACATATTTTAATATTCGAATTCTATTAAAAATTGTTGCATTTGACCTAAAACACTATACAAAAAAACAAAAACAAAATACATTCCCCTGCACTACCTAGAGCGCCTGTCCCTTTTTGTTTTATCCATATTTTTGTTCATTGTCTTTTCATTGTCTCCTCTGCAGTCAGGGCAGTACCATTTACCTTTTGGTTTATACGTTAGTCCAACACAAGAAAAATGGAACCACTCTATCGCACACTCCTCATTGTCACATCCTATCATCTCTCCGTAGGATACTTGGTTGCACAGACAGTATGTGGGTTCATTGGGATCAATTGCAAAAGGCACAGGAGACACCTCTCTTTCCTGCTTGGCTTTGGAACGTTTCCTCTTTTTGGAAGATTTTGTCTTCTTTTCCTTGGGTGGAAGTTCCTCCCCCTCATCTATTCCATTGACCAAGTGACACAAGTCCCGACTCTCGCTGTTACGCTGTCTACGAGGTCTACGAGTTGACCTTTCAATGGAATTGGTTTCAACCTTTATTTTTTCTGCAGACTTTTCACTTTCCTCTGGTTCAAACAAACACCTACTTTGGATTTCCATCTGCTTGATTCTGTTCTCTGCCATTTCAAAAATCTGTGTAACTACCTGTATTTTATCATCCCCTAATTCCTGAGTTACAATCAGGGCCCTCTGAAGATGCTGTAAAAGACGCTTCTTTTGATTTGGGTCACTTTCATCTTTATATTTGTCAAAAACATCATCGATTTCTTTAAGTGTTTCTGCATGTCAAGAAAAAAATAAAAATAAAATTTCATTAGGAACTTAAAATGTATATACATATAAGTTTAACCCCATTAAAGGACCACTATAGTGCCAGGAAAACAAGCTTGTTTTCCTGGCACTATGTAGTCCTTAGGTACCCCCCCCCCCCCACATGCTGGGCTGAAGTAGTTAAAACCCATTCAGCCACTTACCTTTCACCAGCACCGGGGAAATCTCCTCGTTCCGACGTCAGCGCAGAATTGGATTAACCTTCAGTGTAAACATTGCAGTTTCTCTGAAACTGCTATGTTCTCAGCTGCAGGGCTAAAACTAGAGGGACCTGACACCCAGACCACTTCATTCAGCTGAAGTGGTCTGGGTGCCTATAGTGGAGGTAATTGTCCAAGTTCTGAACCAAAACCTATAATTTGAGCTTATAGGTCTTGTTAACCACAATCTACACTTTAATGGGACACTGTAGGCACCCAGACCACTTCAACGCATTGAAGGGGTCTGGGTGCAAACTCCTATCACTGTTAACCCCGAGCATGTAATTATTCAGTTTTTACAAAACTGATGGCTGACTAGGTGTGTGTGTGGACCTGAGCCAGTGCCGAGGGACATCGGTGCTGGATCCAGGTAAGTGACCGGGTTATTAACAAGTTTGTTTTCGTGACACTATAGTTTCCCTTTAAAATCACTTTGTTTATGCAGCCCTAGTAACACCATCCCTGCATGTGAAACAGCTTTATTAAGCACTTCTTATAAAGAGAGTCATCTAATGTTTACATTTCCTTTATTGCAAATTATGTTTAATTAAGAATGTCCTATCTTCTGCTCTGTTAATAGCTTGCTGCACCTTGCAGGAGGAGCCTCCTGTGTGTTATTACACTTCAATTTACAGAGCAGGATATAACACTGAGTTTAATTACATCAGACTGAAAATAAAAACTATTTTATTTGCCATCCAGGCTGTGCAAGTCACAGTCAGGGGAAGTGTGGCAAGGGCTGCATACACAGACAAAACAACTGTAACCCTTAAATGGCAGACAATTGAGCAGTGAGGCTTAAGGTTCCCAGTTACACAATAAAAAGTGATTTTTTTTTTTATTATGGGGATAACATTACAAACCCTGGGAATTGGCAGGAGGCTGCTCTATGACAGGGACTACATGCAGGCTGTTACTGAGCAATGTGCTTAGAATGTAGCAGTCGGTTAGGCGCAGGGATACAATAAGCTTGGAACAGAACTTCCGTGATGTTTAGCAGTGTTAGTGCGCATGAATACACGGCACCTGGTAACCCGGAAACACATCCCTAACGCGAGCTCTCACACAGCCCCAATGACAGCGATCAATGGCCCCGCCCACTCACGGCCCCGCCCCGGATATGACGCTCAGTTCTCGTTATACTCACTGACAGCATCAGGCGAATCCCCAACAGTAGCCCCTGCTACGGCCATGGGAGAGGGTCCGATCACCGTGTGTCACACTGTAACGCACAGTATAGTAACTCGTATCACTACCTACAGTGTGCAACTCACAACACGAACACACGGGGAAAGCTCCCGAGAGCGCAGTACATATCATAGCAGCTCTCCCTCCTCATATTATAACAGCTCTCCCTCCTCACATTATAGCAGCTCTCCCTCCTCATATTATAACAGCTCTCCCTCCTCACATTATAACAGCTCTCCCTCCTCACATTATAACAGCTCTCCCTCCTCACATTATAACAGCTCACACTACCCCCGATATTCACAGCCAGACTGAGAGTCCCCCGATACAAAGCAAAACACACTGAGCCCACCCCCAGATCCCCCCCCCCCCCAACATACAGGGACCCCACCCCGAGGTCCCTCTCCACCGAGCCGGACGATCCCACACACCGAGCCGGGACGACCCCCGCCCCCACACCGAGTCCAGTCCGAGCTCCCGAGTCCGAGCTCTCCCCCCCCCACACCCCGAGTCCAGTCCGGGATCCCCCCCACAATAACAGCACTTTCCGTGCACGGTGTCCGCCTCATATAAAGTCCCGGGTCTGTCACGGTGAGCTCCCCCCACTCTCCAAGATGGCTGAGGTAGCTGTTTGTTCGGTATAAGGGGTCTCCCTGTGAAGCAGACACCGAGCGAGCTGCCTGTCTCCCCCTCCCCCCGGTCTGATCCAGCCCCCCTCCCCCCGGGGGGCAGTCCTCTCCCGGTGTCCCCGGTGACAGCTCCCGCCTTACCCCGGTATTTGGTGTCGATCTCCCGCAGTAAGGAGACATTCCTCTGGATCTCCAGCGGCACGGACTCCACGCACTCCAGGTACTCCTCCACAAAGCCGACCAGCTGGCCCTCCTCCGCCAGCCCGCCGGTCACACTGCTCCCGGGGGAGTACAGAAAATGCTGCTGCTGCTGCCCTAACATGCTCCCGGAGTCCGAGCATCCAGCAACAAGTTCCAGCGGATAGAGTCAGGGGGCTGTGCCGGGCCGGGGGGAGGAGCCTGGTCTGAGGAAGAGCCGGCCCCGGTGGTAACGTGCTGCTGGCTGGCTCGTGCCCTGGCTCTCTGTGCCCGCATTCCAATCCGGAGCCCGGCGGTCACCGCGCGCTCTCTGCGCATGCGCGATCCTGCCCTCACAGCGCCTGACGTCTTGATTTTTTTTTTCTACTCCTCTTTCAGGGTATTTAGATTTTCCCGCATTTCACTACGGCCACGCTGATTGGAGGAGGTACCTATAAAGTGGGCGGGGTCCGTGTTGGAGAAGGCGTGGTTAACTTTGTTTGGAGTCTCGCCCTTCTTTGCTTTTTCCGTTCGCTGACGCCCCGCCCCATATGGCTGCCGTGTGGCACATTGTTATTATGTGAGCACAATGTAGGCACGGAGACAGACTGACTGTGTGATAGACACAAACCTAGTCAGTCTATACTGCCCCCTCTACCCCAACTCCCACTATACTGCCCCGACCCCAACTCCCACTATACTGCCCCCTCTACCCCAACTCCCACTATACTGCCCCGACCCCTCTACCCCAACTCCCACTATACTGCCCCGACCCCGCTACCCCAACTCCCACTATACTGCCCCGACCACAACTCCCACTATACTGCCCCGACCCCTCTACTCCAACTCCCACTATACTGCCCCGACTCCAACTCCCACTATACTGCCCCGACCCCTCTACTCCAACTCCCACTATACTGCCCCGCCACCCTCTACCCCAACTCCCACTATACTGCCCCGCCACCCTCTACTCCAACTCCCACTATACTGCCCCAACCCCTCTACCCCAACTCCCACTATACTGTCCCGCCACCCTCTACCCCAACTCCCACTATACTGCCCCGCCACCCTCTACCCCAACTCCTACTATACTGCCCCAACTCCCACTATACTGCCCCGCCACCCTCTACCCCAACTCCCTACTACTCCCTCCACCCCCCCTCTGCTCAAACTCCCACTTATTGCCCCACCCTCTACTCAACTCCCACTATACTGCCCGACCCTCAACTCCCACTATACTGCAACTCCCACTATACTGCCCCGACCCTTTACTCCAACTCCCACTATACTGCCCCGACCCCCTCCAACTCCCACTATGCTGCCCTGCCCCTCTACTCCAACCCCACTATACTGCCCCGCCCCGACCCCTCTACTCCAACTCCCACTATACTGCCCCGGCCCCCTCTACTCCAACTCCCACTATACTGCCCCGGCCCCCTCTGCTCCAACTCCCACTATACTGCCCCAACCCCTATACCCCAACTCCCATTCTCCACTCTTACTGCCTGTTCCAGCACTCCCAACTCTTACTATCTACTATACAAAGCTACACAATTCACAATGCCTCTATCCACTTCCTTACACTTCCAGTTCCTTCTGGCATAGAACTCCCACTACTCATATCCACCATTAACTAGTGTTAAAATTACAATAAATACACACCTGCAAAAACATCCTTGATAGAAAAACAATAAATAAAATCCCTGCATTCATTTGACTTGCACTCCCCACAGACTACATGCATTTAATGTGCTGTTACTCTACAATTATAATCCCCTGCATTTGGAGGCAAGGCTTTACAAAGGTTTGATTACAATGAGTACTAACTTTTAGGCCTGTCTGGTAGCAGACAGCATATAATTGTTAGCCCTGCTCACACCATGGCATACCTCCCAATTGTCTTTTTGGGACGGACAGTCCCAATTTTGCCTCAAGTCCCTGTGTTTTCGTTTTTTAGGAGCTCCATATTTTTGGTGTGCCTGGGTGTATAAAAAAAGTGTGTTCTCAAAAATGGTCTAACAAGACTAAAGTACTAACAGGGTCATTCATTATGAGAAAAAAGTGAAAATTCAAATAGAATTTCAATTTTAAGTTCAAAATAGCCAAACTGGAAAAGTCCGCTATGCTTTAATTTCTGCCAATCTGGTGTTAAATTTAAAATTCAATTTGAATTCTCAGTTCGGTGAATAAAACTGTATAGTAGGGAAGACAAAACAGAAACTGTTTAAACCAGCAAGCACATTGCATTGGTGACAGTATCTTCTCATGTTTGCACATAACCATCAGACCAGGCAAACTTCTCCCATTGCTCCATGGTCCAGGTCTGACGGGCTCACGTCCTCATTGAAAGAACTTTTGGTGGTGGACAGGGGTCATCATGGGCTGTGGTCTATGGAGCCTTATATGCAGCAAACTGTGATACATTGTGTGTTCTGACACATTTCTATGATGGTCAGCATTAAGTTTTTCAGCAATTTGAGCTACAGTACCTCTTCTGTGCGATCAGATGGGCTACTTTGCTCCCTATTTGCATTAACGAGCCTTGGGTGCCCTTGTTCCTTATACTAGTTCAACAGTTGTCCTTCTTTGTCTCACTTTTAGTAATCACAAACCATTGTGAAATGGAAAAATCAATCAATGAATTGATTATTTCTTTGTGTATCTGCCCCTGGCCAAATCAATGAAACAATGCGTGCACGCTCCCTGAAGTAATTCATACCAGACACAGGTTCCAGGTTGTTGAATAACTTGAGGAAAGTTTATTCAGAGGGGACGGCAGGTCCCTTTTAAAGCAAAATTACATCATAAGCATTGTCAGAGATAACATGGAATAATACATCAATAATTGGTTAGGTGTTAAGTGGTCTTCCTAATGCTCTGCCTACTAAGGGTGATGTCACCGGGACCATGAGGGTCTCCCACGGTTTCCCGGCGCCATCTTGCTGCACGAGGTAGTTAGTCGGTGTTAAAGGGAGAGGGGAGGAGGGGTTAGAAGCTTCTAGCAGCCATCTTGGTTAAAATATGTGTGTATAGCTTTATAATGTATATCGTGTAATGAGTAAATAGACATTTTCACTAACTAGGAAATATGTGCAGACCTTATTTCCACAACACATTGTATTCCTGGGAAAACCCCACAAGACTTGCTGTGTTGATGCTATGACCCAATCGCCTAGCCATCACTATTTGACTATTGTCAAAGTCACTCAAATCTTTTTGCTTTCTGATTATTTTTTTTCTGCTTAACTTCAAGAACTAACTGTTCACTTGCTGCCTAATATATCCCACCCCTTGACAACTGCCATTGTAACGATATATTCAATGTTATACACTTCACCTGTCAGTAGTATTAATGTTATGACTGATCCATGTATATGCAAGTGAACCTGCACATTGCTGCTGGTTCTCTTTGTATGGTTTCATTGTAGAAAAAAATACAATGGAAAATGCACATTTAGGCCAAAATAGAAGAGCTGGAAAAAAAAAGCTATGCTAAAGAATTCATTTACGTCAACTATTTTCAATTCTGCCCAAATAGCGAATAATCCCCATAGTGATAGTGTAAGTAAGACAGTTCCTTTAATAGACTTTTTATCCTGCAGCAAGAACAGTACATATAGGCAGCATTTGAGTTATTCACTAAAGTGAAAATTGTTGGAAATTCAAAGTGAATTTAAAATTTTAGGTCAAAATAGCCAAATTTGAAAAAATATCTGTCAGTCCTGTTTGTAGTTTGGCTATTTTGGACTTAAAGGGACATTATATGCACCAAAACAACTTTAGCTTTACAGAGTGGGTTTTGGTGTATAGATCATTCTCCGGACATCTGTTTAATTCTCTGCCATTTAGGATATAAATCACTTTGTTGCAGCTCTAGCCAAACATCCTCTGCATGTGACCTACACAGTCTCCCTACATATTCTTGAAAAGAGAGATCTAATGTTTAAATTTTCTTTATTGCACAGTGTGTTTAATTTAGAATGTCTTATCTCCTGCTCTGTTAGTAGTCTACTATAGCCTACATGAACCACTGGTGGGTGATTAAAGTTCAAGTAACAGAGCAGGAGACAAACCAAAAAAGTAAGCGCATGGTGCTCAATAGACCACTGACCAGGACGCACAAAGAGAAGGTATACCGCCATATTGCCAGCAATAGACCACCTGTGGAACTCAAAGAACTCCACAACCGATCAATGAAAACTGTGTAGCTAAATAGAGATCAGGGGAAAGACTTGGGTGTGGTTGGGAAAGAGGCATTCAAGTTGGGTTAATTAGGGGAGAGACATGGGGGGTGCCAGAGGAACGAAACATGTCACGTGATGGGTTAGAGACAATGTGGATGGGATGGAGACAAATAATTTGTGAAGTTCGGGAAGGACAAGTGTGGGTGACGGAATAGAATTGTGTAGTGAGATCAGACTCATACAAGTGGGAAGGGCCAGTGGGGCTGCTGGGTGGCCGATCCTGCAGGCGGCGAGGGAGCACTGATCCTCCTGTTCAGCTCCCTCGCGTGCCGCTTACTGATGCCGGAGCTGAAGTGACGTCATATTCCAGCTCCGGCATCAGTGCGGTTTGGGCGAGGGAACTAGGCAGAGAATGCTCCCTCGTGTGCCCGCCCTGTGACACCACTGCCAGCCTCAGGGGGCCCTGAGGTGGCCAGCTCCTGGGCCCCCCAGGAGAAGAGGCGGGCAAACTGGCGTACATACCCGGGTCGCAGGGCGGCCGGGCCCCCTGGTGGGCCGGGCCCGGTCGCAGCTGCAACCCCTGCGACCGCGGTATGTACGCCAGTCTTTCTCTGCATAATTATTTCTTGTCTGTTAAAAGAACACATTAAGCACCATAACCACTATGGTCCACAGGAGTGCTTATCTTGCCAGAAGTGATGTTCTCTTACCTTAAAGGACCATTATAGTGCCAGGAAAACATACTCGTTTTCCTGGCTCTATAGGGTCTCTAGGTCCCCCCACCCTCAGGGCCCCCATCCTGCCGGGCTCTAGGGGGTGGAAGGGGTTAAATTTACCTCTTTTTCCAGCGCTAGCTGGACCTGGCACCCAGACCATTTAATTAAGCTGAAGTGGTCTGGGTGCCTATAGTGGTCCTTAAAGTAGTCAAACAGCTAAATTTAAAGCTGCATTCTGAGCAAAATAAATGAAATATGCATTGTGAATTGATTAAAGGTTACATTCAGAAAATCTGAGCTAAATAAATAATAAGCATTACATTCTGAAAACCTGGCCTAAATAAATAATTTAAGTAGCAGTGTGAATGAGCCAGACTGCATATTTAACAAGCTGGGGCGTTAATAATAATAATAAAAAAAAAAGTAGAATACTAAGAATGAGTATAATTAAAGCTAATAATAAAATCAGCATTCTGAGAATGAGCCCCGTTCTGGTCACGTGAGATCACCCCCCACGCTACTTGAGTTGCTATGGTAACTGACGAGAGGTCCCAGTCCCTGCTCAACCCGCTCGGCTCCAGGAGCTTCTTGGCGGAGTGTGTGTGAGTATAGGGCGGGATTATAGCGCGCCGAGGAGGCGGGCGGCACTCTCTGCCCGAGGTCCGGGGACTTTCCCCTAGGCTGGGGTATAGGGAGAATCAGCGTTCTCAGTGTGTAGCCTAGACTTCAAGTCTTCAGAATGCGAACGTATTAGTTGAGGTATGACGAATTCTTTATATGACTACCAGAACTTATAATTTTTAAGCTATGAGTGAAAGCAGTTTATTTTAAGTTACCGCCTCAATGAGTGCTACGGCTAAAGATATATATGTGTTGCTCTTTGACATCAACTGATTGTCACTACAACTGCTATACTGTACTAACTTTCCTTTAAAATACACTCATTGAAAAAGTGAAACCAATGCATTGCTTGATGGGAAAACGCATCATGCAAATATTTCTGTGCTGACTCCACCCCTTTTGTTAGACAACATCGACGCGCTTTTTAGGTGGTGCAAGTGCTAGATAGGCACAATAGAGTTGCAAATGTAGTGCAGATTGTCGCCCGTATTGCGCAGGTCTTCACACGTCTATGGTATTATGATGGAACTTCCGGTGTTTTCACATCCGGTTCACATCCGGCAGTATGGCGACTTGTTTGAGTGTTGTCAGCACCCATACTGTGTAAAGCTGTGTATTCCTATCTGACTGCTAGTGTGGACGGCTCGTTGAAGTTATAGCCTATTGGTTGTGGGAGTTTATTATTTTTTTTTTTTATTGAGTAAATTGGTATTTTGTCATCTGCCTTTTCAGAGTCTGCTTGTATCCTGCTGGATAATTTATATATAAAGTAATTGACTGCCTAAAGGACCACTATAGTGCCAGGAAAACATACTTGTTTCCCTGGCTCTATAGTGCCCTGAGGGTGCCCCCACCCGGCTGGATGTAGAGGAAGGGGTTAAACTTTCCTATTTCTCCAGCGCCGGGCGTGGAGCTCCTCTTCGGCTGAATGCGCATGCGCGGCAGGAGCTGCGCGTGCATTTAGCCAGTCCATAGGAAAGCATTCACAATGCTTTCCTATGGACGCTGGCGTCTTCTCACTGTGAAAATCACAGTGAGAAGCGCCTCTAGTGGCTGTCAATGAGACAGCCACTAGAGGCTGTATTAACCCTAATATAAACATAGTAGTTTCTTTGAAACTGCTATGTGTATAGAAGAAAGGGTTAATCCTAGATGGACCTGGCACCCAGACCACTTCATTAAGCTGAAGTGGTCTGGGTGCCTATAGTGGTCTTTTAAACTTGGGAGCTTCTGCAGTGCTGTTGAGCTCATCCCTGCTGTTGTGCCATTTTTATTTTATAGATGGTATTAATAAATTTTGTTTTATTTTAGCATCTTTACATCCTGGTTCTACATTCATCATTCTGCATATGGCAGTGCAGTCCCTAATCTGCACAACGCTCACATACAGAGTCAATTTAGACTCCTGGCTTGTAAGTACCCATTTGGGAACCTAACTTTATACCTTATCATCACAAGCAATACTGCGCAATGTTTTGTGTGTTAATTCCCCTTCAGGACAAGATATACATCAACAGTAGGGGTGGGTCGTCTACACGGACCCAGAAGCGATTCAAACTAGAGATGGGTCCGCAGCTCTCTTGTTTGTGAGTATGTATAGATCATATATATACCCTTTTGCTATCTACCATCTACACTATGTTTGATTATCTTTTATAGATTTCAACTAATTTGAGACCAAAGTGAAAATTTACCTCCTATGCAAACTAAAAGGTGATAGTTTGTTTATCCACTACAAAAGCGCTACATTCTTTTTCTTTTTGTATATTTGTTTAGTGATATTGTAAGGAGTCACACAAATGTTTAGCTGCTTATTTACATATGATTGTTCTACATACATTGGTATATTATACAGTTAGAAACAAGTGCTAGTCCCTATCCACGTTTTGCATAATCCCCGCTGGGCTAAATCATTGGCTGAGAGTGCCCACTCCAGGCTCTTTTTCTTCTTTACAGGAGAAAGGTTGTCGCATCCGGCAAACCTCCTGTAAGATGTAACTGTTTGACTACTTATGTTAGGGGTTGCCGTGTTCCTTTTAAAATCAAAGTGGACATGTGTTACAGCCTCTACACTGGTTAGCCACAACATAAAACAGGTGAAGTTAATATCATTACAGTGACACCTGTCAATGGATTGGAGATATCAGGCAGCACGTGAACAGTCTGCTCTTGAATTTCATTTGTTGGAAGGAGGGAAAATGGGCATACAAAAAAGATCGGAAATGGGCGAGCAAAGAAGAGAGACTTTGACAAAGGGCTAAATAGTGATGGTTCATTGATGGATTCGGGGAGCGATGGCTAGCCAGTCTGGTCCAAACACACAAGTGCCACTGTAGCTCAAATTGGTGAAATACTAAATGCTGCCCATGATAGAAAGGTGTCAGATTACAACTTGCTGCGTAGCTGCACACCAGTCAGAGTGCCAAAGATGACCCCTGTACACCAGTGAAACCGCCTTCAATGGGGACATGGGCATCAGAACTGGACCATGGAGCAATGGAAGGAGGTTGCCTGATCTGATGAATCATGTTTTCTTTTAGATCAGGTGGATGACAATTGCATCCTGTTGCCTTTTCTTTACCAGGGAAGAAAAGGCAACAGAATGCCCTGTGAGATAAAGGCTGGAACAACAAATGTGATCCATAGAGGCCCTAGATCGCAACTTGTATGGCTTGAAAGGATTTGCTGCTGTTCCTCAGAGAAACCTAAAGATAATAACTAAAATTATAGATCAGGGTGGTGCAGTAGACATTGCTTACCTAGATTTCAGTAAGGCTTTTGACACTGTTGCACATAGAAGGCTTATCAATAAACTGCAATATTTAAGTTTGGATTCCAATATTGTTGAATGGGTAAGGCAGTGGCTGAGTGACAGGCAACAGAGGGTTGTAGTTAATGAAATATATTCGAAGTTTGGATTGTCTCCAGTGGAGTACCTCAGGGATCTGTACTTGGACCCATTCTCTTTAATATTTTTATTAGTGATATTGCAGAAGGTCTTGATGGTAAGGTATGTCTTTTTGCTGATGATACTAAGATATGTAACAGGGTTGATGTTCCAGGAGGGATAAGCCAAATGACAAATGATTTAGGTAAACTAGAAAAATGGTCAGAATTGTGGCAACTGACATTTAATGTGGATAAGTGCAAGATAATGCATCTTGGACGTAAAAACCCAAGGGCAGAGTACAGAATATTTGATAGAATCCTAACCTCAACATATGAGGAAAGGGATTTAGGGGTGATTATTTCTGATGACTTAAAGGTAGGCAGACAATGTAATAGAGCAGCAGGAAATGCTAGCAGAATGCTTGGTTGTATAGGGAGAGGTATTAGCAGTAGAAAGAGGGAAGTGCTCATGCCATTGTACAGAACACGGGTGAGACCTCACTTGGAGTATTGTACGCAGTACTGGAGACCGTATCTTCAGAAGAATATTGATACCTTAGAGAGGGTTCAGAGAAGGGTTACTAAATTGGTTCATGGATTGCGGGATAAAACTTACAAGGAAAGGTTAAAGGAACTTAACATGTATAGCTTGGAAGAAAGACGAGACAGGGGGGATATGATAGAAACATTTAAATACATAAAGGAATCAACACAGTAAAGGAGGAGACTCTATTTAAAAGAAGAAAACTACCACAACAAGAGGACATAGTCTTAAATTAGAGGGACAAAGGTATAAAAATATCAGGAAGTATTACTTTACTGAGAGGGTTATGGATGCATTGAATAGCCTTCCAGCTGAAGTGGTAGAGGTTAACACAGTAAAAGAGTTTAAGCATGCGTGGGATAGGCATAAGGCTATCCTAACTATAAGATAAGGCCAGGGACTAATGAAAGTATTTAGCAAATTGGGCAGACTAGATGGGCCGAATGGTTCTTATCTGCCGTCACATTCTATGTTTCTATAATGTACATTCACAATTTTTAAATCAATGTATAAGACCAGTGTGCACTATGGGACCATTTCAGACCTTAAAGCAGCTCTCTTACTTTTCAGTATGTAACAAAGATAAAATCTTTATGAAATACTAATGCTGACTGCGTTGGAATTTCATTGAAATTCTAACTCAATTGCAAGATACCATAAGAGAAAGAAGGCACTTATGGACATACCTGATTTTGACAAAAGGCAGAGCTTTGCAGACATCGTTTGTCCCATCCCAGCAGCCATCAAAGTGACAGCTGTGGGATGCAGACATTGATCTATGGAGGTCTTGTGGGCCTTTTCATAGACCTTAGTGTTGTACTCTTGTGTATGCGCAAGCCAACAGCTTTGGCAGGTGATGCGCAAGAAACTGAAGAGGTGCCCCAAGAATATGATGGCAGCAGCCATGATTAACCACTTCAGGTAAGTAAAACCTGTACCCTGCTTTAAAGAAAGGTTCCAGGAAGCATTACCACTCTTGCAAGCTGTAGTGGTTATTGTGCCAAGAGTGCTCTGATGCACCCCCATTGTAAGTGTGTGTATATATATACACACCCAAATCCAAAAGGGCTGTACTCACCTGAACATGCATACATTATAGGGTGCTGCTGGGACCAAAATATATAAAATACAGAATCCAGCACACTCGCTTATTCACTATACAATGATTTCAAATCTTAGAGATTGTAGTAGTTTTATTTAAAAACACCTCACCTAGGCAAAAATAATGGGGGTTTAGTTACATTATATGATCATATATTGCATAAGCCTGCCACACCGTCAATGTACCCTATTGTTAGCAGGTCCTATCCTAGCAGCTTAATGCTTGCTCTTATGAGATTAATACACTTACTTGGGAAATACATCCTTCCTGGGACTCCTTCATACCATGGGCCTCACTGGGACAGCCATGACCCAAGACAACCTGCCCAAGCACCAGCACCACTAGAAACCCACAGACGGCGGCAGTGTTTGAGCCCCGATCGGCCGCTGCGGAGCCCTACGCCCGAGCCACTACTTAAAGGCAACGGAACCCATCTCCCACTGAACATATACTAGGACTGGGACATTGCAGCTTCACTCACCCAGCCGGGACTTGAGATACACCCCACCACCCCTCCGACAGACTGGCTCAGTATTCATCTGCCCCCTAACGCACCCTCCTCCCACTCTTATGCCTATGGGTCACCGGGGCACAGGAGGAACTAACTCCCAGCAAGGACACGTCCGCTGATTGGAGGGGAAGGGGGAGCAAATGCTTCCCACAAGCGACCGAGATCCTCGGTCACGGTCACACCCTAATTGTTATTTTTTTTTGTTATTGTTTATTTCTTTATTTAACATCTCAGCACTTGCCCAACATCAGGCACAATTCTTCACTTACCCCTCAGCGACAGAATCCATGACTACGCCACCACGTTAACACCCACAGCTGGACGCAGGCACACGCCGCACCCCCACGGCTCATATGTAAGACACGTACAACCCACACGGGTCTTACCGGCCCTCATGCAAACCACTCATATGACGGTGGCGACATAGTCTTATTCCTATTTTCCCCTCTTTTGACTACTTAACCACTCTGTTACCCCATGGTACATTCACTACAGTCCAAACATACTGGCATAGTGACGGCACCCCCACTTCCCAGATCAGCGACTCAATGCATACACATATATACCCAACTACTGCAGACTCATTTGTAAATAATAACCCTCCGGGTGTTCTCCTATGCCTAAGCCTGACTACCACACAATGATAACTCATACACTGCCTAACACGTACATTAAGCGAGAACCCTCACACATACTACTTGAAGCTTGCTTTTTATCTGAGGTTTCAATAACAAACACCATTTCACATGTTTAATTATCTTGTTTACGTTCATGCTATTATTTAAAATGTGCACAGTACTACCCATGCCAAGTTGTATACAGATACACCAAGGTTTCCTACTGCTGTTGTGGCGTGGAGTACCAGATTGTTAAGTTGTTACATGCACTAACAAAAATAAAGAATAAAAAAAAAACCTGGCTTCTAATTTTTTTTAGCTGGCTTCTAGATTCCAAGCAAAGTTATCAAGCTCTGCCTGACACTTTCATGCTGGTGCTACCTTCCACTAGCACAGCCAGTTACTCGATAGGAAAGCCTTGTTGGCACTCTGAAAATCCACTTTCCACTCACAAGGCTGAATAGGTGCAGTGGCCTGCTTTGCCCTGAGGGGAAGAAACAGCTGAGTTGGTTGATTTCATTTTTTTGGGGGGGAATCCATTTTTTTTTTTTTTTTCTCCTCTACATTTTTCACAATGGTTAAATGGGGTCGTTTGTTTCCTTCATCTGACTGCGGATGCAGCGTGGCAATTCCTGCTACAGTCTGGTAACACAGCCAGTTACTCGCTGGTAATTCACCTTGCTGCTTTAATCTAAAAGGGAAAAAGAAAATTCCGGAGGAAAAAAAGAAAGGACCAGTCAGATGTACAGGAAACTTTGATGCTAATTGGAATACAGGGACAAATATTTTGGAACGTACAAAACCAAAAAAACAATAGAATATGGGTGGATTGGCGCTAGTTACAAAATGCAAGTGCAGCTCTCCTAGAGCCTATAATCACTTACAAGACACTTACAGTATAATAACACAAATGATACAAAAAGGGTATAATAACCACCAACACACAGTGAGATATACTTATTTATAGAAAAAAATCTGATGGTATACCTGTGATTAATCCGACTTCCTTTCTCAGGGAAACACTGACATCCTAATCTAACAGCTGTGAGACAGGAGGCAGATAAGCCTGAGACTCTCAAGGAAAAAGGGTTACAAGTCATAAGATGGTCCCTGTGGAGGAAGAGACTGTAGTCAAGGATGCCAGTGTTAATATTTTGGAATGCTACTGGCAGATTTTGAACCAAGATTAACATCTTAAAATCATCCTTAATCCACATATATCCAAGACGTGCGCGGAATCTTCACAATATCTTGGTCCCAAGCCACTGTCAATATTCCATACCATCACAAATGTGGCTAAGATCTGTCATAACTGGCAACAACCAATGCTGCAAATACATCCTGAGAAATTCTAAAATCTTCAGAAGTAGTGATAACACCAAATAATTTCTTAAATGTAATACTTTAGGAGTAGTCTATTTGCTCACATGTAGTTGTGGTATCAAATATTTTTTGGCCCCTGAAGTTATGAAATTTGGAACATGTGAACTTGGTTCGTATCTGTGATACACCGGTTGCAAGACACTAAAAGACACTTAAGGTCTCAGCCAGGTGGATTTTCCGAAGGAATGTGCTTCCTGGCCATAGAACTGGTTAAACTCGGTCAGAAAAAAAGGGATTTGGACGAATGGTTTGAAAGAAGGGGGTGCTATTGGATTTACTGCTTGAATACACGGTAAGCTTGTAGCAGAATGGAGGCCCTAACTAAACTTTTATTCCCTTTTGTTTGGCTGTCCGTACACCCCCGTTCGTTTATCGAACCAACTTTATGTGGTCCCCTGTTAACACCTCTCCATCACCCACCACCCCTGGCTGTTAACCACAAATTGCTTATTGGTTCAAGTGTTTCCCCTGTGTGGCGGCCGTTCGTATGACCAAACACATGTGCTCTAAGAAGTGGCGGCAATTTGGTCTCCCTAAAGCAGGTAGTGGTACATGGTTGTCGACAGCCTGGAACTGTTTTCGGATATGCGAACCCGTGAACACCCAGGAAACTAGTACTGCTGCCCATCCAACTTCCTGAACAGTTACAAGAACAGAGTTCAGGAGACATGAACTAACAAACGGGGGAATTTGTCTGTGTTCATGTGAGAACCCCGAAAGATGACTGGTCGTTGCCTTGTTTTCCATGGAACTGTTTTGGGGCATCTCCTTGTGGCCAACAGGTCAAAACTTCATTTGAATAGCATTTCTAAACCACCAAAGGGATCTGAGTGCTATTTCGACATTTGCGTGCTCGGACCAAAGCTATTCCGGGATATGACTTTTGTGGGGTTTCTATGTTATTAAAATGTATTTTTATGGATAATTGTAAAAATTGTATATGTACACATAAGGGTTGAGGAACATGTTAGGAATATAAAAAAAGGATTAGAAACACATAGCGTTTCAAATCATTTTAAAATTCACCATAATAAAGATCCGAGAGATATGTTTTTTTGTGCAATCAAAGCGGTACATAGAGATTGGAGAGGGGGAGACTTTAATAGAAAAATAGGGGAAGAAGAGATGAAATGCATCTACAATTTTAAAACATTGATTCCATATGGGCTCAATCAAGATTTTGAGCTATGTCATTTCCTATAAAAAGATATAAACATTTATATTATTATATTTTTAATTTTAATTATTCTAATTATTTTATAACTATTTATTAAAATTTCAATTGATATCCTTTAGAATTTTAACCTATATATTATCGAAAGAAGGGGAAGGAGGGATAATTGATTATCTGACTATATTCCTGTTTCTTTTCCATATCAATTTATTCACCTATTTGTACATATACTATAACAACACATGCATGGTCACTTTATATGGAATGAAGTAATTTACTTGTTTTATATAATCAGCACTATCACTTTAAATATTGGGACTTAATATGCACATTGAATATATGATATGTAACAAACATTGGGTGTATGCCTTTTTTTTTTTTTTTATAATATTTGACATGTTTTTGGAGAAATAAAGGAGAAAAAAAAAAGAAAAAAAAAAGGGAGATCTCATATAACTATGTTTGATATGAATATTAAGACTGTTTTTTTTTTCCACCTTTGTGAGACACTCTTGTGGGACGAGGAGGAGTCTTAGAACGCATATTCTGCGTTCCATGTATACATAAGAATATGCAGAAATGTGTCTGGGACGAAAAGAAGACCTGGAACGCATATTTTGCGTTCCATTTATATATGAGAATAGGAAAAAACAGACAACATTTGAAGTGGAACGCATTCCGCGTTCCACTTAGAACGGAACCCGGAAGTGACGATATCATATTCACGTGACCGGAAATACACGTCCCCACTTGGAACGGAACCCAGAAGTGATGTCACCGCATCCACGAGGTTGGGAATATGGTAATGAAGGTGTGGAACGCATGTTTGCGTTCCAAAGGGAATTTAGCCGCGAATTTCAATAGACTAAAGAGGTATAAAAGAATATTGTCTGGACAGTGGTTGTGAGAGCTGACTGAGGAAGCCACAATAGGCGAAACGCGTTTTAGCTCACTTATTTTATCCTTGATGGTTTTTATGTTTTAGTTATATCAATTTTGTTCAATAAATTTGTTCATTTATTCCACCTTTTGGACTCTTCTCCATTCATCTGGAAACAGCACCATCAGCTACAGCAGGGCTAGGATCACCCTGGAATAGATCCTGAAGCCATCTATACCAGAGCCAGGTTTCAAATTGGCTCTGATTTTGTGAGTGTTTCCTTGCAAATACTACTTTTACATTTATTGTAAATTGTCTGCACTATTGTATGCACTTTTCTGTTTCTGCAGCATTATATTGAGAAGAAGAACGTTTTGAATAGCTCCATCCATTGTGTTTACATTGTAAAAATTGTATATGTTTCCTGTATTTGAGAGATAATTGACTTATAGTTTTCTCACTCAATTATCTCTTAGAAACAGAGATACTTGGGAAGGAAACCCATGTGATTTTGAAGTGGAGGCCCCATACTAGGGTCAGTGCGTAAAAGCTGTGTGTGGCCAAAGTAAACTCAGTTGACTCCCAGAACTATGTGTCGTCTAGTTGCTGGGGGGAAGTGGTCTTGAATTATTACAGTGCTTCTTTCAGCTACGAGGAAGGAATAGTGGAGATACCTATGCTGGGTATAGGAGCTCCGCTACATACCTAATGGCCTAAAAAGGAAGACTTTTTTTCAGCACTGGTAACGGATTAATAAACAGCCTAATGCATGTCTACTGGACTTCATTACATTTTAAAATAATTTTTGTTTTCATTTGGTGCTTTTTTTTTCTAATTGAGTTATGTTACATGTTATACATGATTAAGGCCTCACATCTGAAATGTTGTTTATATATATATATATATATATATATATGTGTGTGTGTGTATATATATATATATAAATTTATATATATATATATATATATATATATATACTCTCCCATTAAACTTATATGATTATTCACCTTACGCTGTGCTGCCTGAGGCTCTTCACCTTTGGATATATTTTGGAGATTAGCAGACCTCTACAACTGAGCTCCATTATTAGTAATCCCAGTATGCAACACTATACTACTTCTCTACAATTATGTTAAAATTCCTTTACAATGTTATGAATTCAATTTGAAAATCCCTCTCCTACAAATGCAGCATAACTGGCAATTAGAAGTTTGTAGCCAATATACAATAAACTACATTATCGGTTAAATACATTCATGAATTACTGTTATATAAACACCAAAAAAACAGGTAAGAGTCTGGTTTGTGTTTCCACCTTCCCAACAATTAGTATGAGTGCCGCGCTATAGTGTTCACAGAAGAAAAAATAACATACAGAACAGACACTTACCACTCGGAATATGTGGGGGTTGTATATGAAAAATAAAACAGAAGACAAGAAATAGTGCAATACTGTATGACAGAAGTAAAGTGATTATTTTGTGCAGTGAGTGAAAATGAACTCACATTTCTTAGAGCTTTTTATATGGATATAGTCTCTAAACACTTCAGCTTCCATCCCTTTAAGGTAGGCAAATGTACCCCTTTCGGGCTAGCAGTATTCTAATTGTTTGTCTGGGTGCTCGCAATTCCTAGGGACAACCAGAAGGTGGCAGCCATCTTGTTCGCATGAACGCAGGCAGCGGTGTTTGGGCATGAATCTCATGGAACTAAAATTGGACACAGAAACTCCCGAACACCGCTGGACTTCCATCATCGCCTGTGTTCGGTTCTATACAATTTAGAAAGGCACTGTTCGGTGAAATCATTCGTCTGGATGAGGGGAACAAGCTCCAGGGTAAGAACATTGACTATGTTCGGTAGTTTGTTCGTTTTCCAAACTAAACCGATCGCAAGCCCTGATTCTCTGGAACTATTTTGGGCATGGGACCGTGCGGTCGGTCAAAAATAAGACTTCCAGGAAATTACTGAACCCCTGAACTGATTTGGGTGATTTTTGGATATGTTGGTCACCCAGATCAGGGCTATCAGAGGATGTAACTTTTGTGGGTTTTTTATAAAAATGTGGGTTTTCCTGCCTGGAGATAATTGAGTTAGTACAGTCCATGACTCAATTATCTCCCAGGCACAGAGTAGGGGTTAACCTATTATGTATGGGAGTGTCCTGGATCTGAGAGCCAATGTAATAGTGTATGTGTTTCTACTGTGGTTTACTCTCTGGTCCAGGGGGGAGTGCCCTTTGCATGGGGACATGCATATAAGGCCTGTTGTGGCTACCATTAAACGAGTTCCTGCCTAACCTCAACATAGAGCCTCGTCTCATGTGTGGGGGGAACAGCTGTATCTGCTCTGGGGTTTGCTATACCTTTATATAATCACTTGCTCTTGCAAGAGCAGCCTGCTACACTCTCTGGAATAGGAGAGGTCTGCCTACTGGAAGCTAGATCCTGGTCTTTGGTCCAGGGTGGGTGGAGGATGGCGAGACCCCAGTCAAGCTGTAACGCTGGAAGTGGGGACTACAGTGCTGATGGTGTCTGGTGGAGTGCTTGGAAGTACTCGGAGGTACTAGAAAGCAGCGACTGGCAGAGGCACCCAGTCGGGCTGCCAGGTGGTCTGCCACAGGCGGGATTTCCAAACTCCTGAAGACCGGACAACAAGCAAGGGACAGCATACCAATTGAAAAAAACGAAAGTGAGGGCAAAACGCGTTTTGGTAAAGGAGAAGAGAAAGAGAACTATTATATATTGCACTTGTTTTTTATTATTTTAAAGTGTATATACCTATGTATCTTCATCTGCAATTTGCACCTTGGATTCGGTAAGGGTAGTGTCACCCTGCAAATTGACACAAAGCCTACAAACTTAGAGCCAGTTACTAAAAGGCTCTACAAAAGGTGAGCACCCATCTTTTATTTTTTTATACAAAAACCCATAATAATAATAAAATAAGTTTATTGGGATATATACATATATATAAACACACGACATTTCAGACGTGAGGTCTTAATCATGTATAACATGTAACATAACGGATATTTAAATTCAATAAGAAAAAAAATCATAAAGGCACCAAATGAAAACAAAAAGAAACTGCTATGTTTATAAATAGGTTAATCCAGCCTCTAGTGGCTGTCTCTTGACAGCCGCTAGAGGCGCTTGCGTGCTTCTCACTGTGATTTTCATGAATTATGAATGCTTTCCTATGAGACTGTCTGAATGCGCGCGCAGCTCCTGCCACGCATGCGCATTCAGCTGAAGAGGAGGAGGAGAGCTCCCCGCCCGGCGCTGGAGAAAGAGGTAAGTTTAACCCCTTCCTCTCCCCAGAGCCCGGCGGGAGGGGGTCCCTGAAGGTGGGTGCACCCTCAGGGCACTATAGTGCCAGGAAAACGAATATGTTTTCCTTGCACTATAGTGGTCCTTTAAGCTGTTTATTAATCCATTACCAGTGCTGAAAAAAAGTCTTCCTTTTTAGGCCATTAGGTGTGTAGCGGAGCTCTAATACCCAACATAGGGTATCTCCACTATTCCTTCCTCGTAGCTGTAATAATTCAAGACCCTTTCCCCCCAGCAACTAGACGACACATAGTTCTGGGAGTCAACTGAGTTTATTTTGGCCAAACACAGCATTTATACACTGACCCTAGCAAGGGGTCTCCACATCAAAATCACAAGGGTTGTCCTCCTAAGTGTGTCTGTTTCTAAGAGATAATTGAGTTAGAAAACTATAATTCAATTATCTCTCAAATACAGGAAACATAAAATTTTTTCAATTTTCCATAAAAATACATTTTAAAAATACATTTTAATAAACCCCACGAAAGTCATATCACCAATTTTTTTCCTCTGTGAACACTTATACAGCACTGCACTCATACGAAGTGTTGGGAAGGTGGAAACACCAACGAGACTCTCAGCTTTTTTTTGTGTTTATATATTGTAGTGGGATTCTGGAGTACCTACTGAGTGTAATCAGCAGCTAACCTAAATAATAATTTATGTACCAAAATATGCCAATCTTTCCTGGTCCACGTTCCTGTTCTTGAACAATTTTGAAGTCGAACTAAAATTTAGCGTAAAAAATGTCTCAGTACGCGAACAATCCTTGGTACCCGAACACATCAAGTGGCATTCACAGAGGGACATAAGTGTGGGGAAGCATGGGATACAAGTGTGAGATGAGGAAATATGGGCAGATGAACTATGTAAAGGGATAGAGGGGAATATAGGGAGAGGAAAACCAGAGGGCAGAGGGACACAAGTAAGGGATTATGGACATAAGGATACAAGCAGAGGAACGAGGGGTATTAGATATTTTGAACCTGATACAACCATTTTATATGCTTTTGTATGTAATGCCAGAAGAACAGCAACCATGTAATTTTGGGGGTCTGGAACGGATTAAACAAATTTACATTAATTCCTATGGGAAATGCTGATTCGGTTCTCGAGTTCCGAGGTTCCATTGTATTTGGTTATAAGTATATCCCAAAAAATACAAACAATAAATAATATAAAAAGCAATAATACTTAGCTTATAAAGATGTATGACAGCCTCCCTAGGTCGTTACCCAAACAAGCGACCTATATCATGTATAGTATAAACCAAAACAAAGAAAATTCGGGATATGGCTGTGTAAATCTACAGAGAAAGCATAAAACAAAACATAGTGTGATATTGTTATAAAACACAATATTTCATGCGCAGTAATCTTGTGCACTCACAGGATGTAGACAGTAAAAGCGCTCTTAAGGTGCCTTCCCCAATGAAATGGGGGGCTAGCTGGTATTCCTTATCACCTCTGGATCCTTGTTCCACCAAAAGACATCCACAGGTCAGGGTTCAATAATAAAAAATTTATTTAGATAAAAAGTGTAGTCATCCATTGTATTTGGATCTGCAATTATCACTTGAAACTAAAAATGTATCTAAATTGTAACATACAATTGGTTAAATAACATTATGAGTTATCATAATGACATCATAATCTCAGTGCCATGATACATAGTCTAGTATTTTAAAGGGATACTATTTAGGCACTAAAGCAACTTTAGCTTAACCCTTTAACGCCGTAACGGCGTTCTATGCCGTCCCGCATTAAAAGGGCTTTAAAGCCGTTGCGGCGGCATAGAACACCGTAACGGCTTTCTGCCCCTGGAGGTCCGGTGGACTTACCTCCGCCGCGATCCTCTTCTGGAGGGCTGCCTGACAGCCCAGACAGCCCTCCCCCGGCAAATGAGGCCCCCAGGGGCCATGTGATCGCTCTCAAAGAGCGATCACATGGCCCCCTATAGCTGGCTGTGGATCTGCCAGCAGGGGGACTGTCTGAAATGTCAGACAGTCCCCCTGCTGGTGGAAAGTATATATAAAAAACGTGTAAAATTAAAATAGAAATGTATTTATATATATAATACATGTATATCTATTATATATATATAATAGATATACATATTATATATATGTAACGTCATACAAAGTGTATTTTAATATTAATATAAGTACATATATTAGTATTAAAATACACTTAGAATGACGTTACATATATATAATATGTATATATATATTAGATATATAATAGATATATACACATATATTATATATATACGTATAATAACAATAATAAATAAATAAAATAATAAAATAAATAAATAAAATATTTAAACAAAATTTAATATAAATTATATATTCAGAATTTCATTCCTACTGCATTTTGTTATATATATATATATATATATATATATATATATATATATATATAGATATAGGTAACAAAATACACTTCTGAATGACATTCTATATATATCTATCTATATATAAAATACAAATAACCGCAAATATGTATACAGTTGCAAGAAAAAGTATGTGAACCCTTTGGAATGATATGGATTTCTGAACAAATTGGTCATAAAATGAGATCTGATCATCATCTAAGTCACAACAATAGACAATCACAGTCTGCTTAAACTAATAACACACAAAGAATGAAATGTTGCCATGTTTTTATTGAACACACCATGTAAACATTATGACCAATTTGTGCAGAAATCCATATCATTCCAAAGGGTTCACATACTTTTTCTTGCAATACTTTTTCATTAGTATACACGTAGAATTTAAATACCTATAAATGCATATATATTAAAATTCTACATGTATATTTAAGTAATCTTTTAACATAATTATGTGATTTGATTAAAGGACCACTCTAGGCACCCAGACCACTTCAGCTTAATGAAGTGGTCTGGATGCCAGGTCCAGCTAGGGTTAACCCATTTTTTCATAAACATAGCAGTTTCAGAGAAACTGCTATGTTTATGAATGGGTTAAGCCTTCCCCTATTTCCTCTAGCGGCTGTCTCATTGACAGCCGCTAGAGGCGCTTGCGTGCTTCTCACTGTGATTTTCACAGTGAGAGCACGCCAGCGTCCATAGGAAAGCATTATGAATGCTTTCCTATTTGACCGGCTGAATGCGCGCGCAGCTCTTGCCGCGCGTGCGCATTCAGCCGACGGGGAGGAGAAGAGCTCTCCGCCCAGCGCTGGAAAAAGGTAAGTTTTTCCCCCTTTCCCCCTTCCAGAGCTGGGCGGGAGGGGGACCCCGAGGATGGGGGCACCCTCGGGGCACTGTAGTGCCAGGAAAACGAGTATGTTTTCCTGGCACTATAGTGGTCCTTTAATTAAAATTTGATTGACATGCCTGACAACACAGGGAGAAAGTGCAGAGAATTTAATTTGCAAGCACTATATTTGACCCTGTAACTCTACAAGACACCAAAAAACCTGTACATAGGGGGTACTGTTTTACTCGGGAGACTTCGCTGAACTCAAATATTAGTGTTTCAAACTGATAAATTGTATTACAATGATTATATTTTAAGTAAAAGTGAAGTTTTTTGCAATTTTTTTACAAACAAACGGCACTTTTATGGACTATATTATTGTAATATGTTTTACTGTTTTAAAACACTAATATCTGTGTTTAGTGAAGTCTCCCGAGAATAACAGTACCCCCATGTACAGGTTTTATGGTGTTTTTATGGTGTTTTGCATTTCATTTTTTGCCATTGAAATTTGCCAGATTGGTTATGCTGCCTTTGAGACAGTATGGTAGCCCAGGAATGAGAATTACCCCCACGATGGCATACCATTTGCAAAAGTAGACAACCCAAGGTATTGCAAGTGGGGTATGTCCAGTCTTTCTTAGTAGCCACTTAGTCACAAACACTGGCCAAATATTAGTTTTTTGCTTTTTTCACACAAAAACAAATATGAACGCTAAATTTGGCCAGTGTTTGTGACTAAGTGGCTACTAAAAAAGACTAAACATACCCCACTTTCAATACCTTGGGTTGTCTACTTTTTCAAATGGTATGCCATTATGGGGGTAATTCTCATTCCTGGGCTACCACACCGTCTCAAAGGTAACATTACTAATCTGGCAAATTTCAATTTAAAAATGAAACGTTCTATATTTGTCCCAGTAACTTTCCCAAAAAAACATAAAACCTGTTAATGGGGGGTACTGCTGTACTCGTGAGACATTGCTGATTACAAATATGTGCATTTTCTTGCAGTAAAACCTAACAGTATTATGACATTCACAGCTAAAATGTCAGACGGAAATACAAATTTAAAAAAAATCTTATTTTCTCACATTTTTTTAAAATTTTATTCATAATAAATTATGTTCCATATATGAATAGTTAATGATAAATTAAAGCCCTGTTTCTCCTGAACAAAATGATATATAATAAGTGTGGGTGCACTTAATGTGACAGCGGTGAATTACGGTTGAACAGACATATAGCGCAAATTCCAGTTTTTGTTTACGTTTTGTTTTGATCAGAACGTGCACTATTGACTCCGTCCTGAAGGGGTTAACCCCTTAAGACCGGAGGGCGTACTATTACGTCCTCTAATAGGCGGCTCTAAACGCCGCCGGGCGTAATAGTACGCCCTCCGGTCTTTCTGTACTTAACCGGTCGCCGGCGGTCCCACGCCGGCGATCGCGGTGGGGGGGACTCCCAGGGAGCCCCCCGCGGCACGACCGTCCTCCAGGAAGCCCCCCGGCCGTGTGAGAGTGGGGTCCTAGCGAGGACCCCACAATCACATGGCCGGGTTAGCTGGCTTCTGTATTGCCAGCAGGGGGGCTGCCTGTAATGACAGGTGGTCCCCCTGCTGGCTGAAAATAAAAATGAAATAAATAAATAGTGTAAAAAAATAAATATATACTTAGATCATATATATATATTATATATATATGATCAAAGTATATATATACACATATACATACACACATGTACACCGTCTAGGTGTATTTTACTATTAATATATATATAATTATATATATATATTAATATCAAATTACACGTACACTGATACTGATTAAATATATATATATAATTATTGTTATATATATATTTATATATATTATAAAAAAAATTAAAATGTAAATACTTTAAAAATAAAATTACAAAAATAATTAAAAATAAATAATTAAAAAATATATAGATGTATGTTATTTCGTTCTAACTGTATTGTGAAATTAATATATATATATATATATCAAAATACACATAGAACGAAATAATATATATATATTTATACACATAAATATATACGTATATATCACTATATATATACCTATATATAAATAAAAATATTTAAAAAAAATTATATAGATATATACACATACGTATATATATACATATATTGATTCTACATATATATTTATGTAATATTTTTACATAATTAGGTATCTTAATTAATTACAATTAGCAGGACCTGCATGACAACCAATGCCGAAAGTAAAGGGAATTTAATTTGCTAGCACTATATTTAACCCTATAACTTTCCGAGACACCATAAAACCTGTACATGGGGGGTACTGTTCTACTCGGGAGACTTAGCTGAACACAAATATTAGTGTTTCAAAACAGTAAAATGTATTACAACGATGATATCGCCAGTAAAAGTGACGTTTTTTGCATTTTTCACACACAAACAGCATTAAACGGACAATATTATTGCTATGATACTTTTTACTGTTTTGAAACACAAATATTTGTGTTCAGTGAAGTCTCCCGAGTACAACAGTACCCCTCATGTACAGGCTTTATGGTGTTTTCAAAAGTTACAGCGTCAAATATAAGGCTTGCGTTTCATTTTTTTCACATTAAAATTAGCCAGATTGGTTACGTTGCCTTTGAGACCCTATGGTAGCCCAAGAATGAAAATTACCCCTATGATGGCATACCATTTGCAATAGTAGACAACCCAAGGTATTGCAAACAGGGTATGTCCAGTCTTTTTTAGTAGCCACTTAGTCACAAACACTGGCCAAAATTGGCGTTTTTTGCATTTTTTCACACACAAACAAATACTAACGCTAACTTTGGCCAGTGTTTGTGACCAAATGGCTACTAAAAAAGACTGGACATACCCCATTTGCAATACCTTGGGTTGTCTACTATTGCAAATGGTATGCCATTATGGGTGTAAATTTCATTCCTGGGCTACTATACAGTCTCAAAGGCAACGTAACCAATCTGGCCAATTTCAATTTCAAATGTAACGTGCTATATTTGACCCTGTAACTTCCCAAAACGCCATAAAACCTGTACATAGGGGTACTGTTTTACACGTGAGACTTTGCTGAATACAAATATGTGTATTTTATTGCAGTAAAAGCAAACAGTATTATGACACTGACCGTTTAATTGTCATGTAGAACTAAAAAAATCCAATAAAATCGTATTTTCTCTCATTTTTTTCATATTAAATTATGTTTCATAGCTAAATATTTGATATTAAATGAAAGCCCTGTTTCCCCTGAATAAAATGATATATATAATAAGGGTGGGTGCATTTACTATGAAAGAGGTGAATTACGGTTGGACAGACATGTAGCGCAAATGCCAGGTTTTGTTTACATTTTGTTTTGTTCACAACGTGTACATTTGGCTCCGTCCTTAAGGGGTTAAGGACTGAGCCAAATGTACATGTTGTGATCAAAACAAAACGTAAACAAAGCCTTGAATTTGACTATATGTCTGTTCAGGCGTAAGTCACCTCTTTCATATTATGTGCACCCACACTTATTATATATCATTTTATTCAGGGGAAACAGGGCTTTCATTTAACATCAAATATTTAGTTATGAAACATAATTTAATATGAATAAAATGTAAAAAAATGGGAGAAAATAAGATTTTTTTAGTTCTATGTGACATTTTAAGTGTGAATGTCATAATACTGTTTGCTTTTAATGCAATAAAATACACATATTTGTATTCAGCGATGTCTCAGATGTAAAACAGTACCCCCTATGTACAGGTTT